ACCACGGCCCCCTCCATCAGTGTCGTGATGGTCAGGTTAATGTCTATACACGGGATGTGTTGGCCTCCATTTGACTGAAACTGACATGCAATGAACATGAAATTTACACGATATGGACACCTATGTAACTCACTCACCCGCTACTTGTACACAGCCTTCCTCATAAAAACGACCTCTAACGAATCTCGTTTTTACTTATTATCAGATTGTTTATAACCCGTCAAGGATATCCGGGTCATTGGCCGTCGTCACTCAAGCGAGACGTGTGGTCCTCTACAGCATCAGTATGATTTAAAAGTTACTTGTTAAGACAGGACATGTACAAATACCATGACCCATACACCTGAAAATACTAGCAGATAGATTACATCGTAAGTTCAACTCGCTTTCCCTCTGGCAAGTATTCCAGGTGAAATACCAGAAATATTTCACTGATTAAACAAATTCATTATGAAACATATATTATATGAATCAGAAAGAATGTGGAAGAAATTTTTAAACTCTCTCTTAACGTATGTAATGCTTACACAAACATAGGAAAATATAAGATAGCAATAACGGATTTCAAGTTTCTAATTGGTCATCTGAACAGCATGGATAAAGGCATAAGTTAATTACTGATTGTAAATAATCTGATGATGTTATTTTTTATTCATCTCGTTTTTGCACTCATGCAATTATCATAATTAGTAAACCTATTTAAGAACACATATAGAGCACACATTATATACTCTCCCAAAAAAGAATCGCATACAGGAATTTCAACTGTATTTTTATGTATATTTTAAAACATCTTGTAGGCTTTATGAGTCAATGAAATATAGCGAAATTGCACACTGGGAATGCAGACTTATCCCTCATTGGCACCAACTCGAGGAAAGTCAGTTTGAGTGTCACATGGAGACGTGTGGTGGCGCTGAAGTCAATACCTCGTGTGACCACCGTGGGCATCCAGAACTGCACGGCATCGCCTCGGCATCGAACGAATAAGTCTCAGAATCTCGTGTTGCCCAATCGCAACCCACTCTGCCTGTAGTGCCTGTGCGAGTTGCTGAAGTGTCTGGGGCTGAGGGTTACGGCGTCGCACCCGTCTGTCCAGGGCAGCCCACAGATGTTCGATCGGGTTTAAGTCCGGTGATCTTGAGGGCCAGGGGAGCACATTGATGTTGTGGTTCTGGAGGAAGTCTCTAGTGTGACGTGCTGTGTGGGGCCTGGCATTGTCCTGTTGAAACACTCTCTCTGGCGATCAATGATTGGAAGGAGGTGTGGGCGTAGGATTTCGTCACAGTACCGTTGAGCTGTCAGGTTGCCCTGGATCATCACCAAATCACTTCTCCTACGGCAGGTGATCGCTCCCCACATCATAATACTACCCCGGCCGAATCTGTCCACCTGGGGAACGCAAGCGTCGGCGAAACGTTCACGTCGACGTCTGTACACCCGTATTCTTCTATCGCGTCGTTCCAAAAGAAATCGTGATTCATCACTGAACCAGATTCTACGCCAATTCGGTAGGTTCCAGGCCTGAACGTTGGTGCACCATTGAACTCGATGTCGACGATGTTGTTGTCGAAGCACAGGGCAAAAGTAAGGTCTTCTGGCACGTAAACCAGCCTCTCTCAACCTGTTCCTGACGGTCTGTGCAGAAAGCCTCCTCAATCCGAGTATTTGTCGAGAGGTACTGGTCGCCGTAGCTGTTCGATGACGCAGGTGATGTACCCGGATGTAGCGATCCTGCGCCGCAGTGGTCGCTCGAGGTCGCCCACTACGAGGGGCATCTGCTACCGCATTTCTGCCGGCGATATCTCTCCCAGAGCCGTGAAATGGTGCTTTGGTGATCATTCATGCGTCGGGCAACTGCACGTTGAGACTGGCCAGCTTCAAGAAACCAATGGCGATATGACGGTTGGCTTCACTTAGACGTGGCATTTTGCGTTCGTCAACAATATTCCAAATACAGTGAATAATCGACAGACAGCGATCAACCTTTTATACCCATCATTGAGACTATCTGATCCCCAACTTTCACGTGCATGGCTATGAATTGTGTATTCTGTGACACTACACGCCGAAATTGAAAATCATGCTGTTAAATACGAGTATTTTACGGATGGTGCGTTTTGTTGTGATGTTTCAAAACATAAACACCATAGGACTCATAAACAGCAAAACCTTTTGTAAAATGAATCACGTTTTAATTCATTGCTACATGAAATTGCTATTTTCAAGATGCGTTTCTTTCTTGGGAGAGTATACATACGAGCAATTAGCAAATAGCGTACCGTGCAAACTCGTTAGTCCAGACCAGACATCTTGAATTCTGGAAACACACCAAAAACGGATTTGTCAGTCCGAGTGAGTGAGTTTAGTTTTACGCCGCACTCAGCCATATTCCAGCTATATGGCGGTGGTGTGTAAATAATCGAGTCTGGACCAGACAATCCAGTGATCAACAGCATGAGCATCGATCTGCGCAACTGGGAACCGATGACATGTGTCAACCAAGTCAGCGAGCCTGACCACCCGATCCCGTTAGTCGCCTCTTACGACAAGCATAGTCGCCTTTTGTGGCAAGCATGGGTTGCTGAAGACCTATTCTACCCCGGATCTTCACGGGTCTTGTCAGTCCGAACATTTGTTACTAAGGACGAGAAATTAACTCGTAATAAGGGGTTATACGTTATCTGTTAAACTGGAAATTATGTGAAATGTGTGTATGAAAAAGATATTTGCAATAACATATCGAATGGGACTTTAAGTGTATTTCGTTTTATTTATTTTGTTGTACTTGGTCGTATATCACATGAAAACAAAAGTTCAACCATAATAATGTTTAACAGATTCCATGTGTGCGTATCAGCATGACTGAGAAAGCTGAGAGCATCTGACTTCCTTGAATACAACGCCTAAGGGTACAATGATATCCGGTGATAAGTAAACACAAAGACACTGTCACTTACACGTTGTTTCTTGGGTCACGCACCTCGAGGCAAGAAATTCTATGTTAAATACAACGCGAGTGTGCTGAAGATAACAGCAAACATCACACTTTAGGAGAAACGGGTAAATGTTAAGGATGACTAGGTAGCATATGACAGACACGATTGGTATTTCGGGATCCGGACCCGTGAACATCCGGGTTAGTGAGACTACAGCAATCCATCGGGTGGTCAGATTCACTGACTTGGTTGACACATGTCATCGTATCCCAACTGCGTAGATCAATGCTCATACTGTTGATCACTGGATGGTCTGGTCCAGACTCGATTACTTGACCACCGCCATATTGCTGGAATATTGCTGACTGCGGCGTTAAACATAACAAAACCCCAAATATTTCAGGTTCCCTGTTGGCGGAGGAGTGCATCGTAAGCGGATGGAATGAAATATCCTTGATCTCGGTTGATGGTGGGCTTTTGGGCTTTTTTCATGTGAATGGCTAAAGTGAGTGAGGCCTTAAAATACAATAAACTCTTTTGACTTTGCGCTTGCGTTTCGTGAAGTCCATTGGGGTGTTGGCAAGAATGGTGATATCATCCCAGTTTATATGGTGATTAGGGTTAGATTGGATGTGATCAGAGATGGCTGATTTACTGTCGGAATTGGTAACGGAAGTCTGATGTTCTTTCACTCGGGTGTTGATAGGTCGGGATGTTTCGCCTATGTAGCTCTGTCCACAAACCAGGTTTATTTTGTAAATGACCCATTTCGGGTTGTTGTTCAGGATGGTTGGTGGCTTCTACCGTTAGCATGGAGAAGGTTGTTGAGGCTGGTCGAGTGAGTGAGTGAATTTAGTGTTACGCCACTTTTAACCAGCAATATCACGACGGGGACACCAGAAATGGGCTTCACACATTGTACCCATGTGGGAATTCGAACCCGGGTCTTTGGCGTGACGAGCCAACGCTTTAACCACTAGGCTACCCCACCGCCCCGAGGCTGGATGATGATGAAAAGGTGGTATCGATTGCCTGGTGTTTTAGCAGCTTGCTGATTTGGTGAGATGGTTTACCAATGTAGGGAATGGAGATCTTGATGGGGGCTGAATCTGGTGACTGTATAGTTCACAGTTCGATCAGTCTATATTCTCTGTAGAAAGGTGCTTGGTAGCTTCAATATTAGGGCTGCGCAATATAACCGGTTTACCGGTATTTACCAGTTCAGACATGAAAACGATACGTATTGCGATACGCTGATCGAAAACCGGTATTTTGACTTGCATTCGGAAAACTTCGTAACACTCCGAAATCTTCGGATATTTCCTTGTTTCATTTGTGCTAAATATTATTTACATTATTATTTTGTCATGATTAAAAGTTTTTATTAAAGCTTAATCAAGCATAGTGATTTTGTTGTGTTCATGCATTATAAATCAAGCATTAACACGACTATACGTAGTTTTTTTGTTTAAAAATACTTCTTACAATATATTGCAATACATATCGCAATATATGCTTTCGCATCGCAATATATCGCAATATGAAAATTCTTTGCAATACCCACCCCTATTGAATATATTACCACCAGGTTTAATGCTTGCTAATAGCTCTACTTTTGGATTCACTAATGCTTCTTGTACTGATGCTGATGTTGCTACTACTACTTAAGTTACCTTGCTTCGTACTATAGTAAGGTGAGATAAAATAATGTGACTGCGACGCGAGGCGAGGCGAGGCGAGGCGATGCAAGTTTTCCAACTAACAGTATGTAACGTCTTTACGTGTCGCAGCCATTGGAATCAAGCCATCGACTTTCTGCTCGCCTGGAAAACGGTCTATCCGCGACATCGAAAAGGTAACGAAAATAAAAGTGAGTGAGTGAGTTTGGTTTTACGCCGCTTGTAGCAATATTCCAGCAATATCACGGCGGGGACACCAGAAATGGGCTTCACACATTGTACATGTGGGGAATCGAACCCGGGACTTCAGCGTGACGAGCGAACGCTTTAACCACTAGGCTACCCCACCGCCCCTCGAAAATAAAAGACTCCAAACAGGTAGTTATTATACACAGCATTTGTTCGTGTAATTAAGTTTATTCAATTTAAGTGTAATACATTTACAGAACTTTTACGTCAATTTGAACAGTATCGCAGTTATACCAAGGCGTGCCAGCTGCGTATGGCAGAGAGGTTTACATCACTGACGACATTAATCAAGCGGTAAGTGGCATAATATTACCCCGATCGGTGGATCAGCGTGCACTCGAATGCTAGAAGGTTAACATTCATGTTAAGATTCACGTTACCATTTCACCATGCCGGATATCCATTGTTTGTTGGGTGAACAATGGGCATTGCTGTTGCGAACAAAGACCACCACATATAACAGGTGTTTCACTACAGGACAGGATCTAACAACTTAAAACCCTCTAGAGCTTGACAAACACAGTCAGCCATGCACCTTCTCTCCGTGGCCAATATGGTTTAGCTTTTCCTGACATCTGGCAGTCAGTACACAGCACCACGCCACCTCACAAAGCATGTGCATGTTTTATAAGGTGACAATAGATAATATGTCTTCTGTCTATGTGGGCGGTGGGGTAGCCTAGTGGTTAAAGCGTTCGCTCGTCACGCCGTAGGCCCGGGTTCGATTCCGCACATGGGTACGATGTGTGAAGCCCATTTCTCCCGCCGTGATATTGCTGGAATATTGCTAAAACGACGTAAAACTCAACTCACCCACTTCTATCTATGTAATAAATTTTGAAAATAAACAAACAACTACGAGGCATCTGTCCCTTGCTAATGAATTCCCTTACAGCACCAACCAATCTTTTCATAGAATTAGTAATCCTTAGTACCTAGTATGTTATAGCTAATGATATAGATCCATGCGGTTCCAGGTAAATTGTAGGTGACAGGCCAAGGCTACAAGGTAATTATGTTGTGATGAGAGATCGAGACTCACGTTATACTTTCTGAGACAGTCCTGACACTATACAAAGCTAAATGGTTTTACAGAGAAGGCCTTTGAAGATGACATAACTTCAATATAACGACTCCATCTAAAGGGATCACATCTAGAGACCACTAGAGCAATACACAGAGACAATTATATACTGTAAAGGCACTTTACTAGAGTTAAGTCAGTAGTTCTAAAGACGGAATTGTATTGACTGGTGGCACCATGAAAAAGACATGAAGGTATGTCCTATGGTTCTTAACAAGGTTTCAACATGATGCTTTCTCGTCTCAAATTGTGTCAAGTCTTTGCATAGATCAGTGGTGTTAATATTTCGGTTCCTGTTGCTGATGAGTATCAGAGCTTTTCGCAGGGGACGTGCTCAGATGGGTTATTATTTCAAGGTTCCTTCTCAGAGCCATTAGACTGACTGACTGAGTTTAGTTTTACGCCGCTTTTAGCAATATTCCAGCAATATCACGGCGGGGGACACCAGAAATGGGCTTAACACATTGTGCCCACAGAGCCATTAGACTCTCCAGTGACAGCTGTGTTACTCTGACTATCGGTGCCAGTGCTGTAGGTGGATTCCTTTGTATTGGCTGTTCCAGTGACACTGTACAAGTTCGATTTCGCTCGTTGAGTCTTCTTCTTGCAGCACAGCTCTCTCCAGCTGTCTCTCACCTCCTTGTTACGGGCTGTGAAGAGGATGAAGATGAGGAAGCCCTGTAAGGTGTTGGTGATGGTGAAGACGTACTGGAACACCACCCTAGCATCTGCGATGGCCAGGTAGCCGAACACCCAGCTTAAACCTGAAATTGTGGGATGACCATTAGTTAACTGTTCACCGTTAAAAAATGACACACTAGACTTAACAAATAGCTTATTTAATCTGAAGTTCGAAACATGTTCGAAACATGAGACGTGTGGTTTCACCTTAGGCAACTGAGTTTGTTCAAAATTGCCTCTGTTCACCCAGCAGGAAATGGGTACCCGGTGGGATAAGTCATGTAACCTCCATGCTTCTAGCGCCTCAGAGGCAGCTTGGGTTATCACGGGTAATAATAATCAGATTGTTTGGGCGCTTCGAGCATGCATTGTGCATGGAGAAATGAGCATGATAAATTGACTGCTTTTAGTATATTATTATCATTATTTAGATATCAGTGATAATATTGCCTTCTTTACGTCATCTTATTGATCAATATCTTACATTGTGAGCCTTTAAAACTGGAGTTGGTAAGCACAGCGTGTCAACTTGCCTTAAATACATAGCAATATTCGTCCCATAAACACCCCCCATGTGTCTGTAAGGCTGACAATACAACAACCCCTCAAGATGGAACATTTAACCTCAAGGACACCACATACATATGTGAGATCGGCATGCCTCTTGAAAAGAAAGCAACTGCGACAATTACTGGTAATAATGCAGCCTACACGTTGTAAGCGACTCCGTTGATCCCGCGGTTAAACGTGGTGACGTTGTTTATAGCTCTGAATCGACGCTCATAATGTCACTCACTGGATTATTCGGTCAAGATTTGGTACAACCTGCAGTCATATTGCAATGTCCGGCTCAAACTAACAAACCAAACTAGGGATTATGCTTATACCGCTCGCAGTTTGGTATACCTCAAGACGTCCAGGTGTATTTTACTTACCAAGAAGTATAAAACAGAGACACGAAGCTCGGACGTTCAGTACTATTCTGTCACGATCTGTTTGTGAGCTCCGGACAGCGGCTGATGACGTTCTGCAGATATTGACCACCACCATGATGTAGAGGACGATGTTGCTGACGATGATGAGGCCAACGGGGAGGGAGAAGCCGTAGTAGAAAGGTGTCAAGGACATCCAGCAACTAAAAATATAATAATACTGACACTTTCGAAAATGTATCGTTTTGTAAAGATTTTTATTCCAAGAATGGTCGTGCAGAATGTTACATTCTATGCACACACTGAACATCTATTGAGAATACACTTATGCTCAGGGTGCAATGAAGTTCTTGAATAGTGTTTCAACTCCCGTGATCCTGGGGTAAAATGTAAATCACCCTGTGAAACCTGATAAAATACTGCAATCGATCGTGATCAGAACGAATCTAACTTTCGTTTCGTACTAAATGATCCTTACACGCTAAAGGGACGTAACTTAAAGGTTGACCCATAAGTCGGGAATCAACTTGTCTGTTTAGTGACATCACGTGTGAACGTAGTACATCTTTTGTCCATTGATAGAATACTCTTTTCAAACAAAAGACGAATTTACTTACTAGTTCTCGCCTCCTCTGTAGAGGCCAGGGTCAATGGCCAGGATGATGATGGGAGGGAGAAGTGGTATACCTGGAAATCACGACATATATATATGTCAGTAAACGATCATCTTCAAGCATGATGAGTCGCTGGTGATAATGGTGTTGGCTGTAATGATGTGGAGAAAATGTCAAACTTGGCGGATGATGAGATGACTCCTAATATTCTCTCATAATTATAAGCACGTGTTCATTCCGCGAAGTAAGAGCCAGTCCATATTTCAAAGCCTTACTCCTTGACGTGTTGTTTCCCTTTAAGCTCATACTGAGATGTCAAAAACTGAGCCATGGCGTTTCTCATAATCAGTACTTCTCACAATTAATACTTAGGGACATTTACAGGAACCGGCTAATACGGCACCCTAAAGTGCCCCGCCTTCATTATTAACGGATATTTTACTATGATGCAATCTTCCTCTGGGTCACGATCTAATAAATTCGCCATATTAGTCAGGTGACCTTTTTAAGCAGCCAATGAATTGCAGCAAGTGAACGAAATGTTATGACAAATGTTATGACTTCTGTGTCTTGAAAATAACATAAAGGGCCTGTTCTGAACCAGCAAAGTCCGCGTTATTACATGATGTGTTGTTAAGACGTAAATTGTAGTAACGCTGTAAAATGTAATAAACTGCGGCAAATTGTAATAACACCGCGGTAAATTGTAATAAAAAACACGGTAAATTGTAATAACTGCACCACGGTGTTATTACAATTTGCCGCAGTTTATTACATTTTACCGCGTTATTACAATTTACGTCGTAACATGTGTCTATATTACACACTGTCATTTCTGAACGGTATGACCTCTACACCCATGATATTGTGCTACAGAGGATAATAATATACTCGTGTTGTTGGGAATAGTTTGCACATCTAGGATATAATAAAGACACACTTTACAAATGAAATGATTTCGCCCACACTCACCCCATGCGGGTATGGCCGTCTTCAGCATGTATTTGGGGATGTAGGTACCAAGGACTTTGACAAATTGAAAGTAGTGAAGCACTGCCTCCATCAGCATCCACATGAACGACACCAGTATGAGATAGTGCAGCAGCACCGCGACCGTGATGCATCCGACATAGTCCTGGGTCTGGTTGATTCCGGCCAGGAACACAATCCACGAGAACAGCTCGGCCAGGGCCAAGTTAAACAGCGTCTGTTGTACACGGTTGCGACGTAACTTTCTGTGGAGCCAAAATCGTAATTAATACTTTTTCTTCTTTTTGAATTACGAAATTTGAATTTTTGAAAACATGATAATATTTAGCTTACCTGAATACTATAAATGTGAGGACTGTCAATGACAAGCCGAGAATGGAGAGGCTGAGTCCAACGATTGTAATGATGCTGAGAGCTAAGGTGTGTGTGAGGGTGCCTTGCCCGTAGAAGTCCTGGAATTGTATAACAAGGAATTACTAACAACATCATACAGTTGCTTTGCTGCAACAGTACCAGTGAGTGAGTGAGTATGTTTTACGCCGCTTTTAGCAATATTCCTTCAATATCACGGCGGGGGCCATTGGAAATGAGCTTCGCACATTGTACCCATGTGGGGAATCGGACCCGGGTCTTCGGCGTGACGCTTTAACTTCTAGGCAACCCCACCGCCCCGCAACAGTACAAGAAGCTATTTACTACGCTACTGTGGCGTAAAAACATTAAGTGTTGCATATATATATATAACACAATCAAATAACCAGAAAAAGGTCTTCGACTGAAATGTGTTTACAGCAAACGCCTGGTCACATATTACTGAGTTGTGACTGTGTAGTTCTAGACCTCATGTGATTAACATTACAGTGTAATGTGTCGGAAAACATACGTTGAGTGAGTATGATTTTAAGCCGTTTTAGCAATATTCCAGCAATATCACGACAGGGGACGCCAGAAATGGGCTTCACACGTTGTACCCACATACTTTGAGACGCCTTCTTTAGGCATGGTGCTGACAGAGGATCCTAATCGGGATTCAAACCCACAACCAGAGAATCCTGGATGAAATGAGGGACGCAACTCCGGCCAGTGTTCAATGGCCACTGGGCTAATTACACGCTTACTATATGCCAGCACCCTTTAATTTTACACTTTATTGAAAATACAAAATTACAATAGTTACATATTTCTATTTGATGTAAAATTATTACCCTGATAATTTCTGCTTAGTCTGATACCACTTCTCGGCTCGGAGTCAGTATACTGTGTCTGAGTGGAATATCACTTTGAGACTGCGTCAGAGTATCTTAGCGGAAGAAACCCGTGAAGATGCGGGTTAGAATTGATCTTCAGTAACCCATGCTTGTCGTAAGAGGTCAGGCTCGCTGACTTTGTTGACACACGTCATCGTATCCCAATTGCGTAGATCTATGTCCATGCTGTTGATCACTGGATTGTCTTGTCTGGACTCGATTAATTACAGACCGCCGCCATATAGCTGGAGTATTGCTGAGTGCGGCGTAAAACTTAACTCACACAGCGGAAGAGCATTATAAAACAGACGAGAGCAATCAATCACACAGTTGCGTACATGCACGTCGCTGGAACGTCAAATAACCTGGCTTATTCTCAGTTTAACTGTAGACCACCTAAAGGTCTAGTGAATAGAGCGTCCTACCCAGGAGCAGAAGGTCGGCGGTTCTATCACCGGGCCAGTCATACAAAAGATGTTAAATAATGGAACTTGTTGTTGCCCTGCCTGGTGCTGGGCGTTAAGGGGATAGAACTAACACCTCAGAGTCAGTAGAGTGTAAGGTATCAGTGAGAATCCACCATAATATGAGGTGCTCGTTAGGAGAGTCCTTTTCACAACCTCGTCTCATGGTATTGGTTATACTTATTTTAACTGGTTTTATATCGATGATCAAGTATATTATCGATCTGAACAAAAACTACAATTACCAGCAACACTGCGAAGTTCGTAAGATGATCACAAACACAGACATCACGGCCATTCTCCTCGCTCACATAACGACAACCGTCTGTCGACCAGGATCCGCCGTTGTCATTTCCGGTGAAATTCCAGTATCCACAGGTGGTTAAATTGCTGCGTTCGTCTGTTGGAAGGGCCTGTACAATAGTGAAGAAATATATTAGATCCCAAGATAGCCATCAAATATCACAGCAATAATCAAAGCAATTATTATATCAAACACTAGAAAACTTTAAGTACTTATCAATATACTTGTCTATATCAATATATGTTTGCTAGTGTGACCATGAGGTACCTTACTGATCTTTAGTCAAGATCAACTGATCGAGGATTCGAATCTCATTGTCGCCGAAGGGGCGGTGGGGTAGCCAAGTGGTTAAAGCGTTCGCTCATCACACCAAAGAGCAGGCCTCGATTCCTTACATGGGTACAATGTGTGAAGCCCATTTCCAGTGTCCCCGCCGTGATATTGCTAAAAGCGGCGTAAAGCCATACTCACTCATTTTCGCCCAGATCATAAGCTTGTACTTAATTTGAGTAATGATCATGCGTTTCATCAAAATCGATAAAGATGTACATTGTCACTTCGGGATGCCCTCCCACGTGGAGCAGACACGCGTGGTATAATTGAACTGATATTCGCAGATGCAAAACAGTCTCACTCCGTCATACCTTATTTGGCAGGAACACAACGGTGACCTGTGTACCGTCCAGGTCAGAGATTGGGCGTCCATCAACGAGTATTTTCGCCGCGATGATGTTGCTATTGAGTTGATACTGACGACTGTCACCGGCTGATTCTTCACTGACTTCAAACAATCTGGTGTTTTGATATACATTTACTGAAATGCGAACACGCTTGACAGGACCTGAAAATACATTTAACATTGGATGTGTATACTTGATTACATTTAACAATTATAAATAGACTCGAAGAGATTAAGGTGACACTTTGTCTATTCTATGTTCATAATTGTTATCACATTGTTAATAACTGTCTATATGGTTATCTCCCAATTGACAGACAGTCGATTGACAGACACTGAACTAAAAAATTAATTAGGGTAACACCTACGGGTATAATGGAACAGTGCACTGTCTTGTGAGTAGACTCGGGTGAGCCTGAAACAGGTTCATTACTGACAAATTTGATTGTGTGTAAATAGAACTTTGTTGTGATTAAATGATAATGTCTTCTCTTCTCAAAATTGTTTTTACTATCAATTACAATCGAATATAAAAACAGGTTTGTCGCTGAGAGGTGTGATTGAGTTGATTGATTGAAACATACTTTATTCATTCAAGAAAAGGATTGTTCAAAATAAATCATAATTAAGTGCACTCATCATATATCTTAATATTGTGTGGCAAAAATTTAACTTCCTTATTCCATATGAATAATATTTAGGTGCACATTTTTCTTTCACGTGGATATAAGATTTAAATAATGCAACAGAGTCGCAACTTCTAATAGCTAAGAGAATATATTCCACATTTTAACTGCTGATGGAATAAAAGATGATGTTGAATACCTCAGTTTTGAAGGAAAACTAAGTTCTATGGATAGTACCTCAGTCTTGTACATGGTTGGCTCAAGTTATTGGAGTTTCTTAACTCATAACTTGTCCGGCTGCCTACTAAGGTGGGAGTAAATCCGGCTGCCTACTAAGGTGGGAGTAAATCCGGCTGCCTACTAAGGTGGGAGTAAATCCGGCTGCCTACTAAGGTGGGAGTAAATCCGGCTGCCTACTAAGGTGGGAGTAAATCCTGAAGAAAAACACCTGTTGTTTCTATTTAGTAGGAACTTTAGCAGGCTCCAATTATTTTAAATGTATTTTTGACAATGTTTTCAATATGATGCCGCCAACTCGCGTTAGACGAGAAGGTTAAACCCAAAGGTTTATGAAAATCAACTGTTTATATATTGCAGCAATCAAATTTCAAATTAATGTCTTTTCGGCCATCTTTCTAAGTAGATAATATACCTCCAGTTCTTTTCTTGTGTTTTTATTTGGACTATTCCATTATAATGTGTAGGTAACAGGTAGTAGCTAATCTGTTCATTGAACCGTAAATGTTGTTGTTTTAAGGCGTCTGTGAACTGCCTGTCTGCGTAATGGGAAGACACCGTCTATATTTGTTCAATTACACACTTTGACATGAAGATCCGTGAAGATCCGGGTTAGAATTGATCTTCAGTAACCCATGCTTGTCGTCAGAGGTGACTAACGGGATCGGGTGGTCAGGCTCGCTGACTTGGTTAACACATGTCATTGCATCCCAGTTACGTAGATCAATGCTCATGTTGTTGATCACTGTATTGTCTGGTCCAGACTCGATTATTTGCAGACCGCCGCCATTTAGCTGGAATATTGCTGATGGCAGCGTTAAACAACAAACCACCCAACCTTACGTGTTTGATACAAACAGCGTCAACTTAATGATGGTAACACGTTATATTTGGAATTACACATTCTCAAGAACGTACAGATTCTAGTACTTTTTCGTGATTCGAACCCCCACTCACAGAGTCGGGCACCTAATCGCCAGCACACAAAGTCAGCCGCCTAACCCGCTCAGCCACCGCGGCTTCAACATAAATGGAAGTCGGACAACTGGTAGTCTAGACTGCGGACTTTGTGAACCTCTCTGATAAGTGTAAATTGGCAAGGCTACCACGGCCGAAAGCTATAAATAAACCATGTCATTTAGAAAGTGGTCAAATGTAACACGTTATATTTGTGATTTGGGCGGTGGGGTAGCCCAGTGGTTAAAGCGTTGGCTCGTCACGCCGAAGACCCGGGTTCGATTCCCCACATGGGTACAATGTGTGAAGCCCATTTCTGGTGTCTCCCGCCGTTTTGTTGCTGGAATATTGCTAAAAGCGGCTTAAACCAAACTCAGTCAGTCAGTATATTTGTGATTTTAGTTTATGAGTAAAGTACAGATTCTAGTACTTTTGTAGTGTTGAGTCCCATGCGAGATTCGAACCCCCACTCTCAGAGTCAGGCACCTGATGGTGAGCACACAAAGTCAGAAAACTAGAATATGTACTCAAAATATTATATCCTATCTCCTAGCAAAGCAAAGCAAAGCAAAGCAAAGCAAAGCAAATAACATCTGAATGAAAATGGTATGCTCGCCATTGCTCGGTACTTAAGCGGGACTGCCAACCTACGTACATTTTCAAGTAATGAACAATCATTAGAAATCGAATATCAGCAAATCCATATTCATTCAAGTTAATATTGTAGTTACAATATCCGTTTATAAAATTGTTTATTGTATACACTAAACGCCAATAGAAACGTTACCCTCCTACATTTATGAATTACTTAAACACTATCAAAGATATGTTAGAAGGTATTAGTTTACAAGAAAGCTTAACAACACAGCTTTATGCAAATTCCGAAAATAATATCTCAAACGCATTCATATTTAGGTGAAATGCATCTTTTTCAGAAGAGTTAAATTGTCCTATTTTCGTCCATGCCGAAATAAACAAATAACAGTGATTTAGATGTCCAAATGAAAGGTTGAAATATAATTTTGGTTTTGGACAAAGATAAACCATTTAAAGACACCATTTTTCAACTATTAAAACAAGAAACAACTGTTGTAGAGTGTGTAAAATTGTAAAATAATCATTCCTATGATTTCAGTCTTTTAAAACATTTTCTGCTGATTTGCATTAGTCAAAACAAGTAAAACGTGTCTTTGATATTGTGAAAAAATGTTTAGGAACATCTAAAGTTATCTTTGTTAGCATTTTTGCTTGCAAAGGAACATTTTCCATTTTCTGTTTACACATAGCAATATCAATCGCCAAAACGAAGCAATATGCAAGCAGTATTTGCATCCATTTCACATGTAGAATGATATGATACACAAGTACGAGAACTATGCCACGATTAGCAGCTGAAGGGAGAGAAAGAGCCATAAGGATGGTGCAGATGGGGTCGACATACAATGCTGTTGCCAACGCCCTCGGATGCCACCGTATCACGGTTATAAGACTTATTCAGGGCTTCAGACAGACTGGGGTCCCCGTAGACAGACGAAGAAGTGGACGTCCACGCATCACAACTCCAGCTGAAGATAGGTACCTCCGACATTAAGGAAGGAGGGTAACGTTTCTTTTGGCGTTTAGTGTATATCGACTTAGGTTTGTCATCTATTGTATTTACAAAACAATTCACTAATGTTTAAATTAATTTCGACGAAAATGTTTACACTGTTCCATTGGCTCAGCTTATCACGGCGGAGAACACCGGAAGTGGTCTTCCCACATTGTGCAGATATGGAGACCGGGTTCGATTCCCCACAAGGGTACAATGTGTGAAGCCCATTTGTTGTGTCACTTGCCGTGATATTGCTGGAGTATAGCGAAATGCAGCGTAAACATATACTCTACGTTGCTATGACATTGAGTGATGTCGATACATCCTTACCTTCATCAAGCTCAGACAGGAAATCGTTCTTGAAGAAAATACTGCCGAATGTGTCAGGATTCAAATCGGAAGTTCGGAACATGGGCACCAGGCTCTCATCTTGCAGCATTGTGCCATTGTCTATGAGCTGCAGACCAATTCTTAGGTTACCTGAACCCATCCCTGTTGTTTCCCATACCTCCGTACCAATAGTGTCTGAAACAAGCTTTTGTTGGCCAGATGGCTGTGTCTTCAGTTTTCCCATCGCCATGTCCGTTGCCTTTAGAACCCTGTTTAAACATTACAACACATTTCAAGTTGATTATGACTTCAACAACATTACTAATTTCAGAATAATTCCATGGACGGATTGATTGCCATTGGGGATACTGAATGTAGTAGAGGTATATTAAAATTAGATAAATTTGAAATACTTACGATAGTTTTATATGAAAAAGATCTCTATAAATCCCCATTTAAGTTGAACAAATATTTCAACGTACATTGTTTAGTGTTGAGTAATCATACCTGTTGGCAACTTTGCCTAATGTTTGGGATTCCACCAGGACTTTGTCACTTGTTTCCAAAACAGTCTCGTATATGTCGAGAAAGCGTTTAGCAGCCTGAAATATACAGAATGTTTCCGTACGTGAGTAATGATATTTAAAGCCAGCACATTACTTCCATTTTGTGGAAACTAAAGAAAAATTGGGGATAACTATCTTGTATTTTCATATTTTGTTATGGTTTAGTGTATTTAACCCCTGAAGTTACATGTTTACCAAAATGCGGAAATATTCTATTCCAGGTTGTTTTTTACACATTAATCGAACTTATAAATATATAATAAATATGTCATAAATGTCGGAAGCCACTCATGAAAAATTGAAGCAGTGAAAAGTTCAAAAATATCCAGTGTTACGACGCAAATTGTAATAAAACGTAAATTGTATTAATTGCAGCAAATTGTAATAACCCTTGACGTAAATTGTAATAAAAACGTAAATTGTAATAACCCTTGACATAAACTGTAATAAAAATTGACGTAAATTGTAATAATTTTAATTGCGGTAAAGTGTAATAAATATTTACGTAAATTTCAATCATTCGTAAATGCGCGTGTGTTCATTTTTCGCTGCATTTCGTACATCATATAAGCTTGTTAGGGCGATAACTCAAGAAAGAAATGATTGAGTTACCAGTTGATTGGGGAACTTGTGCTCATCCCCCAAACTAATGGATGGAATTTGTTCGCATTTTGTATCAAGGCATCCAATGACAGTTTCGGTAATGTTTAGATAATTTGCAGGGTCACGCAGAGGATTATTGCGATATTCAGGTATCAACCTGTAGCGGGTGTAATATCTGAGTTTGTGACAAAAACGTTTTCATTACGGATCTTCAAAATTTTGTTAGCAATTGGTTTCTATAATTTCATGTTAATTCTACCAGCTGTGAACTTATTCGTGACACGTCTTAAAACTACCAGAGATTATTTGTGTTTGTTTTGAATATTAAAGTTTATTGTTTTTCATTATGGAGTTATTTTCACTGTTGACGCAAGGACATATTTTACGAGCAATAGCTTTCAATACTTTAATGTTTATTCTATTACCTTTTGAATTTCTTCGTGGCATATCCAAAAATAACAGGATATTGTTAGTTTACGCTTTGAAAAGTACGTTTATTCTTCTTCATCTTGGAATTATTTTCAATGTTGCTGCAAGGGCATATTTGAAGTTAATTTGATGTTTTTATTATGATTTATGTTTCGATCATACATTCATATATTGCGTTGTCATAGTTTAACCTGGTTCGTATTATTTTCTTCATCATATTACTACATATTACTGTATATTTTATGAAAGGGAATTTGATGTTAAATTTGCTAAGGATATCATGAATCGCTGGCGCCTGGTTATTCCTTGCCACATACATGTAGCAGTCAATCTGTCTACTCATTTGTTGTATTTGATTGATGCATTTAAAATAAAATGTAGAAATGCTATTAAATTGTATTGATTTGTTTCAAGAAATTGATCATATGTGCTCGTTATCAAAGTAAAGTCAAACTTTCTGTAAGGTATACAATGTTTGTTGACCCTTGATTGTTATGTGTATACTAAGGAAAACATTAGTTTCACAGCCCAAAATACAACAAAGAAATCAACGGGTGACATTAACCTCAGAGAATGATAATAACAATGCTTATAACATACGAGGGGTCCTTTGTTTCCATACGATATGCACCGGGTAAAATAGCACTTTGTCATGGTGAAATGACGCCATGAAACAATGTTATGACGTCACGTTGCTTCTAAGAAGCCGCCTTCTAAATACCATGATGACGGGGAGCCTGCCTTTGTTGGAAAGTAGATTATCGCGTAATTTTCTCAATAAAAGACTTCGGTAATAAATAGAAAATTATATGCGTGACCATATCCTACTATGTTAACGACCTAAATATCGGCATAACCCTTGCTCTGGTTCAGAAAATACCAAGATATAGGAAGTTTGTTTGAGTGGCATTTTAGAAGTTGAGACATATAATATGGAACAAGTTTTTATGGATAACAACTTCTTTATTTCGTGAGTGCGACGTTTCGATACAGATTCTTGTACCGTTGTCAAGCAAGAGATTCTTGTACCGTTGTCAAGCAAGAATCTCTTGCTTGACAACGGTACAAGAATCTGTATCGAAACGTCGCACTCACGAAATAAAAAGTTGTTATCCATAAAAACTTGTTCCATAATAAAGGAAGTTGTGTCGTAAACATGATAAGACAAGGGCACTCATATTTATTATCTATTAAGTCGGCTATATTCCAACCATGAGAATGTCGTCAAATAATTTCTTATAAAAGTTACCATAGATTTTAGAATCTATAATAAAAATGCACAACGTCATTACTTGTTTGTTAAATGACAAAGGTTCATTAAACCATATTAAAAGGTTTTCAGGCTCGAAGGACGCAGCTCATTAAAAAATCCATCGTAAGTATTTTTTAGGGGCTGAAAAAAGGTTCGAAAATGTGGGTCATTAATACATGATGGTTTTTATTGTTGTATGTTATATATACCCCTTAGGACTAGAACTACCCCCTCTGTGTATTTAAGTATGTTAGATATAACCATTAGAACACCCCACCCACCCCATCACCACCACCCCATCCCACCCCTCCACAGGTATTAAAGTTTGTTTGTTTGAACATACATGTATTTTATTCAGTATTTAAAGGAATTGGGCTCAAGTTATTGAACTTATTAAAGCCCGCTTCCGACAGTTGCATGGAAAAATTCATGTGATGGACAATGAACAGAGGAAAGACATATTACACATTAATTGGAACGCTTACTATGTACGAAGAATTTATGGACTTGATTAAAGATATTTTCATTTATAGTTTGTGGCAGACTAAAGCTGCCGTACAGAATGGTGTTAATATCTAAGCTAACTTTTAGGATTTCAAAGCCTTGTATTAAATCAAACCGGCAGCTGACATACTTTGGACATATTAGAAAGAAATGATTGGCATCTTCCACAAGAGCACCACAATGGCAAGCTTTACTTTCAGATAAATTGACACGAAAAAGATCACCATTTAAGGAACTACATGAATGTCTTAACTTAGTGTGTAGGATATTCATCTTCCTTTCACCAAATAGGAAATCTTTAGGAATAGTATCATTTTTTTCAGATAATTTCAATTTAAATGATGGAAATGAATTGGTATATTTTATTGTGGAGGAGACATTATTCCATAAACAAGCACAATCATTTATAAATGACTTTTGAAGAACTGTCGTTCGGAACTTTGGAATAGCCAAATTAGACTTGTTCCGCAAATTGTATTGAGAAATCGTTTCAGTAGATTGTGGATGTAAGTCTATAAGATAGCTTGCATGTCAACAATTTTGGTAAAAGGTTCAAAGTTTGTTATGTGTACGTCTAACTTATAAAGGTAACCAACTAGTTTTACTGTACAAACTAGCTCTTGAAGTGAATTTTGGCAGGTTACAATTTTTGCTGATTCAAGCTGAACCATTTGAAGTTTGTCACAAATATCTGCGGGACAATAATTTGTTATCCAAGACCTCAGAGGCATATTCTAAGATAGGTGTTGCGTACATTTCATACATGCTTGATAAAATATTTCTTGGTAGGACGTACTTTAACGACCGTAATGAGGAAACTATTTTAGAGGCCTTTTCTATTAAAGCAGTTGCATGATAAGACCGACTTGTATTGCTTGATAAGATGACATCAAGATGTTCATGTTGATGTACACTCTCCAAATGTTCATTATTGAAGATCAAATCAGGGACATGAGGCCAATGTCCATGGCTGAAACGCATAGATTAAGTCTTATAAGGGTTAACCCCAACTAACCACTTTTCTGCCCTTTTATTCAACTGGGCTAAAATTCTATGGATTTTATGGATTTTACATCTATTCCCGCAACACCGATTGATGCCTCATCGGCAAAAATTCTTGTGATATTTTATAAATTTCCAGGTAAATCATTGATATATACAAGGATCACAAATGGACCAAGGACAGATCCTTGAGGAACCCCTGCAGTAACATTTAGTTCTTTTGACAATGTTCCATTAACAGAGACAGACTGTCGTCTATCAGATAGATAGTTAACCCACTAAGTTCGTTTCCACGAACACCATAATTTTCTAATTTTTGAAATAAACCTAGAAGCTTTTGAAATGTCACAAAATACCAAACAGTAAAGGTGGCTATTATCTAGGACTGAGCATATGTTATGATGCATTTCTATGAGTTGAGATGTAGTAGTATTACTAGCAGTAAAACTTGCCTTGAATTTACTTAAAATGCTATGTTCATGGAAATGGTTGTGCACATGCTTTACCATTATTCTTTCAAGAATTCTCCCCAGGATAGATAGTAAACTAATAGGTCTGTAATTAGTGATATATCCCAGAATCCTCAGTTACAAGAGGGGGAATGGGTCCCTATGAAGTAGTACCTTTCAACAAAAAAGGTTGATTAAAGATCATCCAATAACCACCTGATTGAGTAGACTCAGGTGATAAACAGTTATCAAAATTAGAATAAAAGTTTTCCTTGGCTATTTTTTTCATATTGTTTACTTTCTTCCTTTTCTTTTTTGTATCTAAATAGGTCAGAAGTATTCGAAATCTTTTAAGTATGTTACGAGGGGCCTTGAAAAATTAGTCAGCCTAAATATATTCTCGATGTCCATTGTTTGAAAAGCTTCCATTTTATTTTCAAGGAATCATTAGCAAAGTCATATCCAAAATTGCGCATGTGTTGGTAATGTGGTTAACGAGATATTAGTCATCACAACACTTTGAGGTATAATATTCTTTAAAATTTGCCTAACATGAAAAACGATCTGTCACTGGGTACCTCTTGGATAATGGTATGCCTTTAGATAATATCATATAAAATATGTTCAGTATAGTAATGGATGACTTCCCGTCATAATCAACATTGAAAGATTAGGATTGTTTGACTTATATTTATACGGTGACCGTTTTTTAAGGACACCCCCATTTTAATCTTTCAAAAACATCTTGTCTAGACATACAACATATTGAGAGCTGACATTCATTATTTAGTTTGAATCCTTGGCATCATGTATGAATAAGTGAAAACATTAGAATACGTTATGTCCTTAGGATTACGTCATCTGAAAGGGGTGTGGGTAGTGTCTCCAAAACAAGTTCTTTCAGTCAACATGAAGGGGGAGTTACTTACACAAGCGATTGTAGTTTCAAATTGCCTTTTTGTGCACTTTGATATCTAAGTATGATTCTAGCGGACTTCTACCAATCTTAAAAAACATACAAAATGTTTTTTGCACAATGTTTGTTGCACATTTTATGATGGTTATCTGTGGATGATTTCAACATTTCTTGTAGTGGAAAAAATACACATCTATGGAAAGACAACTGCAGCTTTGTTTAAACAAGATTAATAAATGGTGTTTGGAAAATGGATTCAAATTTTCAAAATCAAAAACCTAAAATATAAATCAAATATAAACCTCACAAAGACCCAGACTTATATTTAGATAACACACCCAAAGTGGTAAAAGAAGCGAATTCTTGGGTTTAATTTTTGATGAGCACTTGACCTTTCGACCTCATATTAAATATTTACAAAATAAATGCCTGAAGGCCCTTGATTTGCTAAAAGTTATCTCTAATACAAAGTGGAGAGGTGAATCAGAAACCCTCCTCAAATTCTACCGAGCACTTGTACGCACCAAACTGGATTATGGCTCCATTATCTGTGGTGGAGCCTGCAAAAGCAACCTTAAAGTTTTAGATTCTATCCACCATCAAAGTCTGAGACTTCGTCTTGGATCTTTTCGTACTTCTCCAATCGACAGTCTATATGTCGAGGCTGATAAGCCATCATTAAAACATCGCCGTATCAAATTATCTTTGCAGTATGTCCTTAAACGTTTTTCGAATCAGTCCAACCCTATTTATAACTGTGTGTTTAATCCTCTTCGTGAGGATCTGTACAATAAAAACACCTTGTCTTATTCCACCTGTTTTTATATTGCATTGTCATTTATAGTTAAAATATTTTGGATTTATTTACTAGTTTTAAATTTATATCTGTGAATCTAGTTGTTTTACTGACCTTTGCAGACAATTTAGTATATTCTCTAAATTTGTATTTTTATTCATTTATAAATTTACAACTTTCTTAGTCACGATATGGCTGAAATACTGCCTAAGTGACTTTAAACATTATCCTAACTTATAAAAATGTATGCAAGTTTATGTAATCGTAAACGTCAGACATAAGAGACATAACATTTGGGTAATGTTTGTGTCGCTTTTCTTGTTGTCCATGAGGCGGAACCGTAATGGATGGCCACAATAGCTCCGGTTAGAAATGAAGTCTATTCATCTCGTCATCGATGACGTCTGAAGACGGCTTCTTGGAAAAGACCACTGTTCATTTGGTTGACCTTAATGATGCAACCACTGGCTAGGTTAACATGAAACGTATGGCAAACATACCTACACAATCACTATCTTACATTAAACGACTACCGCTCAACATTTTGATATTAATCATGTGAGCTAGTTTATGTAATCGAAAACATCAGACATACAATTTGTGTAATGTTTGTGTCGCTTTTCTTGTGGCTCATGAGGCTGAACCGTAATGGATCGCCACAATAGTTTAGCTTAAAAATGCAGTCTATGTATCTCTAATATTCAGCAGTTAACAAAGTCGAGGTCGCCCAGCCCCACCAGTTGGACACGCAACAAACTTCGTCCTTGGCCCAAAGTAATAACAGGGCCTATCGTGTAGAATATCTCAGCAGCAGTAAAAGTGTCAACCACAAAATCAGTATGACACCATCCTCCAGAAAATTTTGTCGCCTTGGAACTAGCCACAGAATGTCCAGGTTACTGACAACAAACAAGGTTTACCCCCACTGCTTGTCTCACACAGTCCACGTCTAAGATATGAGTACCCAGATTGAGATTAACAGTATAAACTGCATGAGAATGGTGCAAACTGTAAATTTACTGTTCATGAACAAACAAGGGGGCAGGGTTCAAAGTACGAGCAAGAACATGAACCTTGGAAAGTTATGAACTTTTGATATACATAGTGTAATTGAAATATTACTATATTACGGTCAAAGGGAGCGGATATTTCCTTTAGATGAAGATTTTTTAAATATGTAGCTGATATAACAATAGGTGTGGTTAAGTCATCAGAGGAAACAGCGAAGAGCGACAATGGCGAGTGACTTCATGTAACAACCATTCTCTCTCAACTCTGATCGATCATACACTGTAATTAATACCTTCTTCTTAAATTTGGTCGAATGAATAGATAACTATGATTGTTAGTGGCTCTACCCGCGGAGATGGTTGAAGTAGCGAAAAATATTGTCCTCCGAAGAGGGTACATAAGACCACACCATACAATGTTTGTTGATCATTGCCAGAAGGTTGATCGTAGAATGTTTGTAGTTTTAATTTAAGGCTAAATTGCTAAAACATTCGCCAAAAGCTTAGGAGATGATATAAATCCAGCTAGAGACCATGCAGGTAGCAAAAGTAACGTAAGTCCCCATGGTCCCTAGCATGGCGATCTACCTTCCGTTGCCTTCTGTAGCCCGATTTTATATTGTGTTGTTTTGAAATGATTTAGCATTTTATGCTGAAGTCAAACTAGTTTTTATTAATGTGTGATAATCTACTCGTTATACTGTCCGTCGCTGAAAGGTTATTAAAGTGTATATAATACTATATATATATTGTTAGTAACATACCTAAGAAATGGCTGAAATATTGCCGATTTGACGTAAACTTTTAACTCACTCACTCACTTGCACATTTTGTTTGAGATGCATTTATTGCAGATTGTGCGTTTTTTGGAGTACCAAGACAAAAACTCAAACAAAATTAGTTATCGTGAGGATAGAACATAGCAAAACAAATTTGCTTTAGATTGACAGATAATATGTAGAAAAATAAAACATAAAACAGCTGTAATTGTATCATATTCTTGGTGAGGCTGACTACTTTTTGAACGCCCCTCGTAGATATACCCGTTAGAACACCCCCTCCCCAATCCCAACTCTACATGCATTTAAGTGTGTTAGATATACCAGTTAGAATCTCCCCTCTGTCTATCAAACCCTCAACAGATATTTGCCCCAAAAACATGACACATAGGACAGTTGGAGATTTTATATCGATGTATAAGGACGAATATCAGTTTTCGTCATTTAGCTAAGAGCACCCTTGATACTAAGGTATCCCAAAAGTATTTATCAATCTGAAGGTCGCCCAAATCAACTAGTGTCCGCACATCCTTAGCACCTGGGTACGACCTTTAAGCGAAATCTGTCAATTCTCTCTTGAGTTATCGCGCTAACAATTTTTATATTGGCAAAACCCTCAGATTTTTGCTGTGACCTTGCAAGTTGTCGCAAGGTCATTAGATTCAACTGGTGTCGGTGACTCCCGCCACGACACCTTGGTACCAAATTTGAACAAAATGAAATGCAACGAAAAACGAACACACGCGTTTTTAAATTAAACTCACTAGCTCACACAACCAATAACACTCTCGTATTGCAATTAAAGCTTGACCTACATTTATGTTGATTTCCGGTACTTGCTCACTGTTTTCCATTATACTTGTCACATAAAGGAGGTCGATCACGGTCAAGGTCGTATTTTTGATGATGGTTGAAGCATTCTGAAGGACCTCCTCCACATTTTTATCTGTCACAGCAACCTGGGACAAGCAATGAGGAAGAAATCTAAGCTAGAAGATTGAAATTAATAACGACGTTAACATAGTAGACCCTGTCGGATCATTAGTGGGGATGGGTAGAGCATTATTTTGATATACGCATTAAGTTTAATGACAAATAGTTTTGAGCAAACTGAAGGAAACCTAACATTGAAAGTTTGGTACAATGGCACCAAATCGACAATCCGATCCCGTTGGACTGAAGTAAATGGATGAGACACATGAAACGTAGAAAATATACCTTCGACAGTATCTCTAGGGATGGAGATATGGGGGAGTCAGGTAGTTCAGGGACGTCGCAGACACGATTAAGCTGGAAGTCTCCCCAGTAGGCGCCGTACAGTTTGTCCCCCTTGCACTCGATTTCACCAAACGCTCGATTGTCTGTTTGAAACATTAATGAGGTCTTATGGTGATAAAGGTGGAACCAATAACTATGAGTGTATCTTTTGTCACAACTTAAAAATATACTGTTACTACTACTACTAGTACTGCTACTACTACCATATAATATACTACTACTATTACTTCCCTGTACTTTTTAGATACCTGACGATGAGACGACAACGTAATATAATAATGATGATAATAATATCTGCACAAGCTGCAGAGTATACATACTGACAAGACAGCGCTGTGGAGAGTAGAATGTCTCCCCGAGTCTGGTCTGGGGAATCAGGAACTCCTGGCCCGTCTCCTCCACCACATGTTTGAAGTCAAAACAGTAATCTGAAGACAGTGATGATAGTTTCCCAATACCGGAATTGTGTGGGAGATCACAATCTAGAATATTGTGTTGCATGTTATAATTGTACCGATATTGGTCCTTTTCAATAGATTTGTTTAAATTCTTGTCTCAGTGGTACAATAGTCCACTTGGTACTCTTGAGAAATATACAGTGAATGAGTGAGTTTGGTACAACGAAAAAACGGAAGCGATGAAATGGTCCTTGAGGGACAAAAATATGGCAAACAAAGAAACATAATCATAGGGAAGGCAATCATCGGTGTCTGGTACACATAAGGGACACAACTCTGCACTGAAAATCCCCTTTCTGAATCATACATTGAAACTTTTGCGGTAGCTATTATATGACAACGACAAACCCGTGATGAATACCATTACATTTTGTTGTATTGATACCACAGATGAATCCATGAATGCATTACCAATACTTCTGAGTTGAAGAGTGCGGGGCTGGAAAAAATTCCGCTGGGCGATTTTAATGCTAAATCCTGTCTGTAAGTCCTCTTTGGTCATTTTCAGATTTTCCTTCTGATCAAGAAAACCATCAGTCATTATTGAAGACTGGTATGATATGAAATCCAATACTGCGCCATCATTTCTGAAAAGTAAGGGAAAGTAAAACATCAGAGCCTACGATCAATCCTTCATTCCTCAATGTTTTGTTTGTACATGAAAATGGCCTGTAGCCCAGTAATAATAGCAAGATGCTTCATGATGACAACTTCTCTTAATCTGTTGCACCAAATATATTGTTATGAGAGGGTTTTTTTGTAATTTGTAATATCACATTGATTAAGTGATAATTATTATGGGTCACAATGTTTAAAGTTTCGAGTGTGGGTTTTAGCTCGCATCTCACATCATAAATGTTCAATGGCAATATTATTTTTAGCGGTACGCCTTTTCATAGCACTTCAGAGTTGCCTCCCATGGCTGGCTATATTTTGTTGTGACTTCCGGTCGTATGTTCGAGAAAATCCTGCATCGTTCTGAGAGAATTATGAGGCCTAGGGAGTCTAGCTTTGCTAGAATGCTCGAGAACCGTGTAAGAGCTATAAAGGCTGGTTGTTGAGTAGTGCGACGGAACTTTCACATGACTGGATTTATACACATCTGTCTGCCATCGTCAAGTTGTTCAACGTGCTTGTCTATTCAACTGCTGTCATTGTAAACTACCTTCAGTCAGTATATTTGATCTCACTGTGAATGTTAAGACTCTGGTGAGTTAGCATTTTATATTTGTGACCAGTATTTTAGATTTGTGACTCAATTACATATTGTACTAGAAATTTGTATTGTCATTCATTGTAGTTTGCTCATGGTTTGTTCAATATATTATTGAATATTTTAGACTTGTCTGTGTTCTATTTTGCTGGTTCAAAGGGGACTCTTAAACCTTTTGTCACGGCAAATTGTTAACCGTAACAATATATATTATTAAATAACTAGGTCATGAAGTGTGGACACCTGGCACATTCAACCGATTTCTAAGCGGACAAATTAATTACTTAAAACCAGCCTAATTAACTCTGGTCCAGTACAAACAGCCCACACACACTCGTGCAAAGACGTCACTATACTGGGCCAAAATGTTGAGGGCGACGATATCCTCCCTTTCACCTCTCCTCACTATACAGTGTCACATAGATTCTGGATTTGTCCTCTGAATCACAGTCCATATTAAAATGTAAGAAACACGGATTCTCTTACCTAAATCTCAGTGGATGTATGAAGACAGGAAATATGTTCCTTGGGGTGCTGTTATAAGCTTTCACAATCTTGTCTATATCGAAAGTGACGACCCCAGCTAAGTTGAACATGTTATAAGTGCTTGGAGGGATCAGTCCAGTTTGTTGGAGCTCAATGCTCCCCGCATGCAGATCTTCATCTGCACAAAAAAGAACAGAAAAGGTTTAAATACATATCTCACTCAAGGCACGTCAGAGTTGATTGTACTAGCAAAAGGTCGAAGAAAACTGTGTGTCCACAGCATCCTCTGGGCTGGCATTCAGGTAATACTAGTCTAATCGCTGGACCCATTCCCGTGATTTTAGCGATCGAAAATTATCCGCTGATCTGATATGGTGTAATATAGTTAGCTACTAAAGTCCCTTGAACAGACGCAGTGAGGCAAGACATACTGAATCTTTTCGGGAACACCTCATGCCCGGGTTAGAATTGGTCTCCAGTAACCCATGCTTGTCCTAAGAGGCGACTAACGGGATCGGGTGGTCAGGCTCGCTGACTTGGTTGATACATGTCATCGTATCCCAGTTCCGTAGTTCGATGCTCATGCTGTTGATCACTGGATTGTGTGGTCCACACTCGATTATTTGCAGACCACCTCCATATAGCTGGACTATTACTGATTGCGGCGTAAAACTAAACTCACTCACTCACTCGTGACATCTCCGATTCTCAGTAAACCACACGAGAAGTAGAGAGAACATCATAGTAAGATCCATACATAAAGATTTAGAGCGACCCATAAAATATCCATCAGTCTGTATGACAAGAGATGTGGCTTCCACAATCCAACAGCCAACGTTTCTTTCTTGTCGAACAATACTGTCTACATTTCTTAACGTCTTAGCTAAATGAAGAATGTACTTCCTACGAAATTGTCCACGGGCATCATACGACTCTTTAAAATCGATATACTAAGCCCCGGCTTAGAACCGGATTTATATTATGTATTGGGTGTGCTGGATAGTAAGCCGGGGCTTAGTTTATCGATTTTCTGACCCGCGGTGGGGGGATATGTTAAAACATTCATGTTATTAAGTTTCATTAAGTTCCCATGTCTGCAGTGGTGAACACTTGACTTAGCTCTGCGTGTGTTTGTGACTTGTGTCACCGATTGAGCAGGATACGCTCAACGTTTTGCGAATAGAGTCTAGTCTTGGGACCATCAATAACTGAACATGATTCATAGATACATGATGTAGAAGGAATCGTACGACATGATTGCAAAACTATCTGGAACGAATTCTACCTGGATAGGTAATTGACTAATGACAATAAAACAGTCATCCAATTGTTTTAGCAAATGATAGAACCATTTTAAAAACAGAAATAGAATAAACAACAAGTAAAATGTTCGAGCTTGTGATAGGTTATTTGCCTGTAGAGGTTAATTACATTATCCAGTTTCTGTTAAGCGCAAAACAATGTATACGTTGTGATGGATACACTTGTTCAGGGTTTTGTCACTACACTGTGTGTTGTTAAACGCCGCACTCACCAACATTCCAGCTATAATGGCGGCAGTCTGTAAATAATCGAGTCTGAACCAGACAATCCTGTGACCGATTCCGTAAGTCGCCTCTTACGATAAGCATGGGTTGCTGAAGACCAAACCTAACCCGGATTTTAACCGGTCAACGTAGTACTACGTCATGTAAACGCTTCCACGAATGAACATTAAACGTTGACTAAAAGATGACAAGTGTGTAGATTCTTACCTATATAGCGTAGGAAGATGTTATTTGAACGTTCAAGCCTCGTCGCGTTCCTGTTGAAGGTTTCGCACCAGTAGTATCCCACCAATGTTATTGGTGCGTCTCGCAAACCGAGAGAGACGTTCAGATGGACTCCGTCCCTCGACGTTGAATACATCACCACGGGTAGTGCGGTACCATTACGGTACCATGTCACGCCATGTTTCTCAGGGTTATAACCCTTGAAGTTACAGTTCAGTCGAGCAACTTCGCGAAATCTGGACTCTTTGGGTAGAAAAACCTCCAAATCGCCGGACTTTCCAATTGGACGTGTAGTGAGCTCTGTTAGTACCGAAGCAGTAATGCCAATCTTCTCTGAAAAACAACAATATTTGATTCGTGTGTTCAGTGAACAGATTAGTGAGACGACCAAATGGCGGTCCCTCGAAAAAAAACCACCCCGGGTTTTGTTCTCCGAGTGAAAGTCTTATAATTGGACATATTAAATTAGATCCGCATTGAAAGGTATTTGTTTCGTTCCCAATTTACACGTTTTATCGTTACCCGCCCCGACAACCAGGCTTGCTAAACGTGATTTACAAATACAAATTTAAACATCTCCATACCATTATTTTTCATGCTTAGAGAGAGTTTTTAATTCATATTTGTTTGGCTAAAATAAATGAAAAAAATCGACAGTCTGATCCATTTAACGGTAATGAGAAACAACAGACAACAGTTTGATTGTGGCCCTGTCACGAAAGTTAGTGTTTTAATGGGGACCATAATTCACATTGTGGACGGTAGGTTTAGGGATTAGTAAGCGGAAGAAAGTAGACAAACTGACAACAAAATATCAGCCTTGTCTGTGTATGTGTAGTAGGGTTACCTTCATAAACAGCGGGTGTTTCACATAAACCCGGCAGTCTTGAGTCGCAGTTCCAGTGGTAAGACATACTGGACCACTGTCTGTCGATGACGTTGCACGAACTACCAGCACCGACCCACGTAGGCCCACTTACCGGACTTTCCACCTCTTCTGCAAACAGTTCAAACTCCACAAAAGTGTCCATAAATGAAGAATAGTGTGGACATTTTCGTGAACATGCACTTTACCAAACACATTATTTTCCAAACTTCTGTCCTGCATAAAAACACGTTATGATTTTCCAGCATTTTCGGGAGCAGAATATTTCCTTCAGAACATCGTGTCATCAGGTACCAATTAAAAAGGAAGATGGAATATTTTCTATTTATAGACTCGTCGCTACAGTTTCTATAATGAATAATCTATAGGCTATGCGTACCATTATATTTTTTAATTTACTGTTATGACATCAACAATTATTATTATTGCAGATGTGTAAAATGATTCATGTGTCGAACATATGTTGACTGGTTCATGTCCGTTAATGTCAGTAGGCAACTTGTCACAGATACTCTGAACATCACACAGTGTTTACACAATGCCATTTAGTAAGTGGTCAAATGTAACACAAGTTATACTTGGGATTACACTTCCTCAGTAAAGTACAGATTCTAGTCCTTTTGTTGGGTTGAGTCCCATCCGGGATTCGAACCCACACCCTCAGAGTCCGGCACCTAATCACCAGCACACAAAGTCAGCCGGCTAACCCGCTCATACAAGTAAGTCTATTACTTAACAATAAAGAAGTCATTTCTAAGTGTGATCTTAAGACACCTCTGATATTTCACGTCTTTGCGCGAGTGTTTAAACAGAAAATTGCAGCACTAACACAAGGAACGTCTTGGCCTGCACTCTGACCTCCAGAGATTGCAGGCGCATGGAGAAATACTATGGCTGTCAATATCACGTGAACGTTACCCACGGCGTTGGAAATACGTCAAATACGGTGGAAATTCGTCAAATACGTTGGGTCATCAACGTCAGACAGATCGATAACATTAAGATATTACAGTTATATATTATGGATACAGTTCTTTACACCCATTGCTCGTTCTGGTCGTTTCGAATCAGCAAGTGGCCGGGAACACCACTCCAACCCCCAAAACATTTCGTTATGTCCGGCGTTCGTTATAACCATGTTAGTTAAAACGTAGTTTACTGAGTGAGTATATACCTGTTATACCCATCATCAGTTGAGTGGTTGCCCGGGAAACCACGTTATGGTGGAATATGGAGTCTACTCGGGCTAGCCGTCCACCGTCTTGTGTACAGACATTGTCTGCGTCCTCAAAAGTAGCAAGACCTTGCTCCTTGTAGCACTGTTGGAGCCATGGGGAGCCGTAATATCCGCGCGGACACGACGACACTGGAATAACGAAAGAATATAATAATATTATGGTCATTGTACAACAACGGTACTGGTCAGATGCAACCCCAGATGGACATCATAGACACGGACAAGTTCAGAACTGGTCACTTGAGGCAGCTGAGTGTTTATGTGATGAAGAATCTGATGGAGATGCAATAGTGTATGGGCGTGTTTGGGAGGACGGATCCTGTGCAACACAGATATGAGGTGAGGTGAGGTGAAATTGGATTTAACGTCGTGCTTGAGAATATTTCGTTCATATGACGACGTGCATGCGGGTGTATGTGCGGCTGCTTGTACTAGCCCTGACTTAAGCTGGTTTTATAGTGCTAGCTCACTGAGATACCATGCCGCAGTTAAGCATGAATACCCCACTCAGACACATTATACTGACTCCGAGCCGACCAGTCCTTGTTGTACCCATTAATGCCGAGCGCCAGACAGGGACCAACAAGTACCATATTTTAACGTCTTTTGGTATGACGCGGTCGGGGACGCTCTCCGGGCGGACGCTCTAACCACTACACCACGGAGGCGGTACACAGATATGATATTGATGGTGATGATATTATTATTGTTCTCATTATTGTTAGTCTTCGCTTTTATCGATCGCTTACAATCGGAATGCATGTTTAACGGATTTCATATTGTGTTCATAAGTCTGTTGAGAGTACGCTTTTCTCCACTCAAGATCTCATATTCCACAGGCAGTGTTACATGCATACAATTTGTTTATTAACACCAAGAGGCTACACCGTAGTAGTATGTTTTATGTGAAGCTGGCATTTGGGATCCAGCTTGTATTGCACTAACTTGAAACAAAGGATCCAGGATTCACATTGTATTGTGGCAGTTATTTGAAACAAAGGATCCAGGATTCACATTGTGGCAATTACACGAAACACAATGGAAAAACCACAAACATTTCTAGTGTCCCCCGCCGTGATATTGCTGGAATATTGCTAAAAGCGGCGGAAAACTAAACTCACTCACTCACTCTATGGAAACAAATGGATCATACTTATCTGGAGATTAAGTCTCAAAAGTTGTTCGGTTACACAAACGTATGGTAGGCGCACTGCATCACAGTCGGTGAGTGACACTGGTGTATAATCCCATCTTTGAGGTTCAGGAGTCTCTTGCTCTCTTGTCTCAGCAGGTCCTGAAATGACGACAAAGCATATATTTGATCATCCCAGGGATACTATATCTTTTCATGATCCAGGATTCACACTGTATGACACGATTACGCTATGATGACAGGGATCATAATCAGGTCGAATCTACATTTTCAAGCACCAATAAACGGGTCCTGGCAGGGTGAAGGGACGCCTATTTCTGCGGAAGGAGAAGCGACCCCTCAGACAAAACAACATTTCGCCTTCGAGAAACAGTAACTGTGATATAATAAAGAGGAAAGGGACCCGTCAGATAGAAGTATGTCAAGAATATAACTATTTTCCGCCAATTAGATGTAAGGCGTTATACAGTAAGGTCAAGGATCAGTACAGTTCAATTCAGTTGAAACATGTTAATTCCAACTCTGCCCAAGATACGACAATGCAGCTGCACATTGTATGTACTCTTCAAAATAAATGTAGGGAAACTTTTTTTATTAATTTTTAATTTACGATTGAAAACATTGGGAGATATATCGGAGTCAATCAATGTTGATATGATAATAATGAATGTTTTGAGAGTGCATCACCATTTGCACTTCCTTATGACAATAGTTGTTTGTACAGTAATCGCTCTTGAAAGATGATTGGTGTATGACGTGAAATGTGCATGTGAACAATTTTCATTTTCAAACAACTGTGTGGTGCAAGATGATTGTCAAATTTATGGTCTACAGTGATTTATCGACCTTCTCGAAAACCGTCAAAATCATGAAACACGTTCATCACAATTCTTGATTTTGACGGTTTTCGATCGCACGAACGTGTTTCACATGTCAGGTTTCCCTGCGGGTTTTTAAAGGGTGTATTTTCAAAACAATCATTGGTTACTGACTGCACCATGTCTCTGGTTCCTCCTAAATCAGAGCTTCAGTCAGTCAGGTTCTTGTTGCTTTGTTTAGTAATGACTCTGATAGTGAAATATTCGTACCAGTGAAGGTTGCTGATGTACACAACTGTCTGTCTCCTGGCTCTCCTTCGTCAGGTTGTCCAGGACCCCAATATATCCTGGTGCAAAACAATAGGGAACAATGTTGAATATTTCATTTGAAACTCATGTATATACAAATAGTACAGTATTTAGTATATACAATTATTAAAATTGATTTTTGAGAATGTTCACGGCAATTGTTGAATTCAAACTAAAAGCAAACTTCGAAAATGTTATTACATTAGTATATATGTTCAATTGTTAATAATTGACGATTTTATTTCTAAATGTTAAAATTACAGACAGTAAAATCAGACTTAGTTTCTCTTCAAATACGAACCCACAAAGAAACAGAGGTCTCAGGAGATCCTCTATCGGGTCACGTCAGAACGACTTTTCATCCGACTCGGAGTGTCTCTTACCAGATATGAAACATTCGTCACCCCTCGACAATTTCCGTAACATACAAAAAGGCTATTGATGAGGGGTATGTCCGATTATAATGCGCGTATGACTCCAAGACTTGGTCAAACAATCATTCAGAATTAGTGTGATGTGTTTTAATAGCATCTACAATAGTGAAGTTTCGGATATATGCTTAAATCCTAAGGGTTGACAAACCTTTACCTACGCCCGTTTGCGCTTAGACGGAACCCAGGCCACAAAAATTGCCACTGCAGGGACTCGAGTACCATTCGGCTTACCATGGAATAACGCGAGTCAATCACGATTGTTGCAGGCTTTGCCACGGCATCCGTCAAAATCATTGTCTCTCGCTATTATTAGGAATCAATGTTGGTTTTTCAGAGCGCCGTCGTGAATGAAAGTCGTGACACAAGTGTCGTTAGGCTCGATAGTGCTGGTTTTCTAATGGGTCTATGTCTACTTCTTGTCGGTCACAGCCTGTGAAAGTTCGTTCGGACATGCCTTGTAATGTGATGTGCTCAGATCATATGTATAATACTTGGTGGGGGTGTGTGGTCCTGTGCATTGGGCTCAGGTCACAAATCAGGTGAAGTTAAGCAACGTCGGGCGCGGAGACTATTTGGATGGGCGACCGTGTTTGGCAGCTTCACTTCTGAGAGGAGTGTATGAAATAATTATATAAGGCCCGTCCGACCGCCCGAGACGGGCTAGATTTCTGAAGGACGGTCTAATTTTACATCTTGCCAGCCCGACATCTGAGTGAATCCACCATATCTTGGTGTCTGGTCTGGTTAAATCCATTTTCGGCTGGTAACATTTTAAAGTTACCAGCCCTGATGTCTGGCTGGGCTTTTGGCTTATTTCATACACTGCACTGAGAGTTTCTTGGAATTCAGTCCTGCCTCACAACGAAGCACATGTGATACATGTGGTCTCACCTTAGGCAAATGAGTTTGTTCAAGATAGCCTCTGTTCACCCAGCAGGTGGGTGGGATAAGTCATGTGACTATAACCTTCTAGCGCCTAACAGGCAGCTTGGGTTATCCGGGGTAATAATGTGCTGTGCCTTGATTGTTATCGCTATGAGCATACCTAGTGTGGAGTTTGGTGCTATATAAATGGACACATTATTATTACTTGCAGGAACTACGATCCGACTGTAACGAGACAGTGTTTCTGAAAAATCAGAAAAAGAGTGAATTTCATCTACAAACCTCTCTGAAATATCGCCAGGGTTCTCGAGAGTATCCATTCTAAGTTTCCCATCAAGTATGTGTATACCGGTCCATGTTCGATTAATACCTGCGTACAGCAACAGAATGTACTGTACATAAATTTAAGAAAAACAAACAACGTTGAATAGATAAAAAGACAACATTTTAAAATCAGACTCTTTACCTATCATGATAAAACGTTCTCTACCCCTTAACACCATCACACGGTGCTCTAAACTATAACGTCTACAAACCCATAATATTCAAGAAAAGAAACCTTATTGAACATAAAATCACGATCAGTATTCATATTTTATGATTAAAGTACATTTAGAAACACAAATGTATTTCTCCCTTTGTCTTTTACTAACGTAAGGTTAGTTAATCGTTTACTAGCGTAATGTCACTTTGTCCTGTCCTAAACCCGACTCGATGAAAGGCACTTATATTTTTATGTTTAAAATCAACAATGTCTGCATGGTGTTTTAAACAAGGGTGTTTTATTCCAGTAATGGACAACATCGTATGATTTCATTTCGTGCGTGCGAATCTGTATCGAAACGCCCCACTCACATTTTGTCATAAATAACATTTGTCATCTTTGTACTTCTTCTAAAATGCAACTCAAAGAAGTATTTTATTTTATATTGCTTAACCAACTTATGAGCACTCCACAAATTGGTCAACTTTCTATTTCCTCGTGCTATTCGACATGCTGCGGCAAGACAGTGTCCAGTTAGCCTGATAGTGCTCATCTAAACCCAGATCTGACCAAAAGTTAAGTCACCGTTAAGAGAAGTCAAACTCAAATGAAACGCCAATTAAAATTCAGTTTGAGATGAGAGAGAGAGAGAGAGAGAGGGGAGGAGGTACTCTAAACGTTTTGACATCCATCCCAGACAAGTTCGACATATCATGAGTGGCATCGTCATTGTTATTTAAGCGTAACGTCGAACTGTTAAACTGCTTCACGTCATGACACTTGAGAAATCCAAACAGGGTTTCGTGTGACTTTTTTTGCTTGGAAATGAACGTCAGGATCTACTTCATCTGCATACCCACCATTTATGTTGAGGTAGAAAGAAAACGGAGTGCCTGGCTTCGTCGTGGACAGGTCATTGAAGCTGTACACAATACCAAGGTCACTGTGACATTTTTTCCAGGCGTCCGTCCACGTGGTCGATGAGCCGATGTAGAAGCAGTTGGTATTGTAGTGTGGCAGCCGAAAATATTCCGGGGGACACCTTTCATCTAAGGAAGGAAGACATGCTAGTCACATGTGATAATTCGTACAAGGGAAGTAGTATTTTCGAGAAATGGGTGATAGCAATATGTAAAACCACGCTTTGTAGTTTGCGTCCCTTGGGCGTACCCGGATCCGCGGGTCAGTTCGAATCCAATATTTCATTGTCATTTGTCTTACCTCACACATAAATGTCGTTTTCTGATGTACCCCGCTTACGAGCTTACATATTTTCTATGTTACCCACTGGAAATGCCGAACTGTGGGAATTCGTTTGATACTTCCTGTTAGTAGTGTTTGGGCTGTTGCCTAACTCCGGTACTCCTTTTATGATCCAATACCCGTGCTTCAAACAGTTCAAACTTAACATTGAGGTGTTCGGTAAGATAACTACGTTGTTCACTGGACCCTCGGGACCCATGGGTTGATGTACCCTCTATGTTTGTTTGTTTGTTTATATGCCTTCTGGGGCGGTGGGGTAGCCTAGTGGTTAAAGCGTTGGCTCGTCACGCCGAAGACCCGGGTTCGATTCCCCACATGGGTACAATGTGTGAAGCCCATTTCTGGTGTCCCCCGCCGTTACATTGCTGGAATATTGCTAAAAGCAGCGTAAAACTAAACTCACTCACTATATACCTTCTCGTAGGTATCACCAATCCGTTTACTTACTGCTTCACTCTGGGCTTTCATTTCACATTAACATGACACGCTATGATAAAACTCAACTTATGATACACACCGATTATACATAGGATCCTCAAAGGTATTACAGGGCGGCGTGTCTCATTATAATAGTCATCTAGTCTTATTCTCCTGTTGTCCCACAAGATAGGTCAATGGTGTTCAGATGAAGACTGAAGCAATATTGAACTCACGAAACAATTCAAGTGAACGTCGTTTTGGAACTATATCCTTTTGGGCTGGGACGGGTAGAAAAAATGGAATCGAGTACCCGCATGTGCTTACCCGAATCGGAATCGAGTACCCGGAAATGTAAGGAATACAACGCTTCTGTCATCTGTCTGAATATTCAATCACGAGTTGACAGAGATTATTATAGAAACTTGAAAGGATGACAAAAAGACATTAAAACAGATCTTAGTCTATTTAATTTACGTCTATTTAACCAACATAAAGAGTAACAGCATTACTTACATTCCTCGTTAAAACACAGAACCTTTCGTTCCCCCCGCTCATGCGTAGATAAATTACAGTCGTTAATAATAACCTTCATTAATCGGACAATACCAATGATGTAAATGTGTGTTACGTCAATTATGAAAAAGACAAGTTATTATCTGCCCTTGTTATTACAGAGTTCTCTCCCTTTCCGGGTACTCGATTCCTAGAAATAGGACTCGATTCCAGGTGTACCCGACGCGGATTTCGAGTACCCGAGTACCCGTCGCAGCCCTAATATCCTTCAGAATGTTTGTGTGAGTTTTGTATAACGCCACTGTTAACAGTACTGAATTTTAAGCAAGGCGTGTCAGACAGACTAGTTCTCAGGGGATGCTGGGCTGGCGCTTCACTGAAGCATACTTCTCTCTCATTGACTAATTATTCTTTGGGACTTTTCCATAAGTAGGTAAAATCCCTTTGTTTTTTTAACTATGGGTAGGGGTACTGGGCTGTGGGTGTTTTGGGAAAAAACATTCTGTGTGCCAGCTTGATGTGGCACACCAAATGAAGGCTACTCGGCAAAGCTAAATTGCCCCTTATTATAAAAGGCTAGGCCCCGAGCCAACCATCTGAAGGCGTAACATGATTTACGTGGCTTCAAGAAACAAGTGTTTCACGCCTGGGAGAATAGTGTTGTTGTTGTTGTTGGTGGTGGTGGTGTTTAACGTCACAATCTTCAATAATCCAACAACGTGACTGAATGGGTGCACTGCAATTCTGTAAACAGAATGACCTCCCGAGGTAGTTTGCACCGTTCCCACTGGGATCTCAAATGGGGTATAGTTCCAGTGACGCTATCTAAATGACATAGATAGGTGTACATTACCTTCCACAACGAGCGCCAGGGATACAGACGTCGCCAACAACAGATGAAGCGATGGCAGGCTTGGAAACAAAACCATGGTCAGCTGAAATTAACGAACCGTAGAAAATTGAAAATCGAAAATGCCTTAGACTTCGACGCTTGTATAAATTCATACTGATCACTGGATTTGGTTCAGGTGCCAGACAAACAAAGTAATAGTAGGTTCGAACTTTTGCCTGGTGTCCGCAAAGTTTGATTAACAATAAAGTTGTCTATCATTAGTTGTCCGTTAGTGACAACAGTTGATGACGTTAATGGAGACAATTCATGATCTAGTCATGAGCAAGGAAGATAATTATCGAGTACACAGGTGAGTGTACCACCATCTTTGTTTGTTTTGTTTATTGTTTAACGCGGCACTAAGCAATAATCCAGCTCTATGGCGGCGGTCTGTAAATAATCAAATCTTTGCTAGACAATCCAGTAATCAACAGCATGAACATCGATCTAAGCAATCGGGATACGATGATATGTATCAACCAAGTCATCGAGCCTTACCGCCCGATCCTGTTAGTCGCCTCTTACGACAAGCATGGGTTGCCTAAGGCCAATTCTAACCCGGATCTTCACGGGTCATGCACCATCTAAAATTCATTAAATACATAAAGGAAAGATATCAAACACATATTGCTGAATTGGCCACAGCTAAATCAATAAAACGGCAATTAATGGCAGAAACCACAAGCCGTAACACGAAACCCAAAAAAAGCACAATACTACCACATTTACAAAAATAAGTCACGATCCATTTACAAATGCATGAAATGATATTTACTGCGTTTTTCACAAGAGTAACAATACGCCGCGGTGTCCAGTCAAATGTTGCTTGCTCGGTGTTTATACCATTCGCCCGTCTGTGGATCTTCCAGGTCGAAGCTCTGGGACACTACGCCGAGGGCGGCAGTGTGCGTCAGAGTGTGAAGCAGTCTTTCTCTACCGAATAGGTTCATGAGACATACGGAAGCTCTTTAAGACAGCAAAACGCACGCTCTCTGTCTATCTGCCACTATGACTGCGTTCTACACCAGGACGTTAAACTTGCTCGGTATAGAAAAGAATGTTTCAGATTACGCCTCATCGAATATTGAATTCTGAGGACTTCTATGCGTGTTGCCTTTTCCCATGTGAATACTTGAATACTACTGCGGTACAGAATGTATCCAACGACATGCAACGTACTTCCCGTTAATCGTGACACGCAATATTACATATAGTATGAATTCGTTGGTATTGTTTGGATAAACTATGAAAGTTTGAAAACTGAAATTTTGGAAACTGTTTTATTCACAAAGGATCGTCGCAAGGAACGAATCTGTAGACTCCAAATCAACACGAACAGTGACTGTGTGAGTATGGTTTTACGCCGTCGTTAGCAGTGTTCCAACGATATGGGCTTCGCACATTGTACCCATGTGGGAAATCGAACCCTGATCTTAGGCGTGACGAACGAACGCTTTAACCATTAGGCTACCCCACCGTCCCATCAACGTTAAGAAGTCACTGGAAACGCTGTCAGCTTTCAAGGTGTTAAGCACTGATGTTAAATAACAGGCCTAGGTCGTTCTTAACCACGCCAAAAGGAGATCAAGTACAAGATAACATGCCTGCCTGACTCGTCGCCAGATTGAACGAACTTGGGAATGAGTATGAGACGGACCGAGGTGAAAATGTTCTAGACGCGGGAAGGACCTGTGAACACACCTCGTTCGGTACGGTCAACCGTCCCGTTCACAGTTACTTCACAGGTGAGAAACATGTCTATCTTCGTCATCCTCCAGTGACTTTACACAGTAAACCAAACACTGTCACGTGATCTATACAGTTTATCGAGTCACTTCAATACATCTTACGTTAAAATATATTAAACATAACACATTTCAGTTGAAATATACACAGGTATTAAATAGACAACGTTACCTGACAGTTGGATGTACCCTGGACTGGGGTGCTTCTCGCTGTGTTTGTCTATGGGGAGGGTAGGGCTCTGTATGGGTTCAATGAATGCTCGATCAATGAACAGCTCAGGCGTGACCAATGAACGCATATCCAATGTCGTCGTAAAAGGATAACTGAGTCAGAGATTCACGGCCGCATTCCGAACTTGTACTACTGGTTTGGGTGAATTTACGTGTACACGTGACGAGTTGTGATTACACATAAAATGAATAATATTTGTGAAGAAGGGGTACACTGTTAGGTGAAACAGGACAAAATTTAGAGTCAAAGTAAGTAATTATACTCTCTCTCTCTCTCTCTCTCTCTCTCTCTCTCTCTCTTTCTCCCTCTCTCTCTCTCTCTCTCTCTCTCTCTCTCTCTCTCTCTCTCTCTCTCTCTCTCTCTGTGCACGCGGAAAAAACCAATAGACACCTGGAAGAAAGGCTGACGTGATCCAGCATGTGAAAGAGAAGACATTATGAAGACGGCAAAGGGCAATTGAGATTGCAATCCATCGAAAGTTCAATGTATCGTTACAGCCTATTGACAGTGGTATAATCGAATCCTGATATTGACTGATATTGTGGTGCACAAAATGAACAAAGTCATCAAGCCAAAATCCGGTTTCATTTGGAAATAGTCTGACCCGGAATCTCGACGGGAATTACAACAAAGCACTTTGTCCTGTCCCACGAGTTAATAAATAACACAGAACATTCGAACACTTAATATTCAGGTGTTTTGGTCGAGGGAAGGGGTAGTTTTAGTTAGAGACACTACTTCAAACCATACACAAAGCTAAAACATCTTCATAGTATTACAATTTCTATTGTTTCAGGCCATTTTGCTTTGCGAACAAATATAAAACGTGCGGCCTCGCAGCTGACATGACAAGCCACTATGTGCTAGGGCTGCGCAATATAACCGGTTCAGACATGAAAAGGATACGTATTGCGATACGCTGATCGAAAACCGGTATTTTGACATGCATTCGGAAAACTTCGTAACGCTCGGAAATCTGCGGATATTTCCGTTTTTGAATTGTTCTTTTCCCTGTTTCATTAGTGCCAAATGTTACTTAAATTTTTATTTTGTCATGATTAAAAGTTTTTATAAAAGGTTAATCAATCATAGTGATTTTGTTGTGTTTTTGCTTTATAATCAAGCATTAACTCGATTCTAAGTAGTTTTTGTTAAAAACATAATCCTTGCAATATATTGCAATACATATCGCAATATATGCTTCCGCATCGCAATATATCGCAATATGAAAATTCTCTGCAATACCCACCCCTACTGTGTGCATTGGTCGTCAGCTGACATCTTAGAAGTGTTGGATTACGATGCCATGGATCCTTTCAGGTCATGCAGGTCATGCAGAAAGGTCACGTTGTCGCCAGGTACCAGGTTGTATTCACCATCGACAGTCAGTTCAATGCTATTTCCCGACGAGTCACGTCTCTGGGTGTCCTCTAACGTCCAGGCGAATAGATGAATGAACTAAAACGTTTTAGTCTAATTTATAATGCAGACATGACGAGATGTATCAGAATTACCCCAAAGAGCTCTTGTCAAATCGGTCTAAGATTTGGAGTGCGACAGGGTAAGGTGCTATCAGCAAGGTTCTACTTTTTATGTTTAGTTTATCTCCTGATATCTAACCTGAGGAAAGTTGCAGAGTATACTTGCACTAGAACACTTGGTGTCCAAGAAGGTGGCACCATCGAAACCTGCTCAAGATTATCTTTCATGCAAGGATTTATACTTGAAATATAGGAGACATACATTGCCACAAATGTGATGTTGCTCTGATCTTCAGTCAACAAATACGTAAACTATATCATGTCACCAATGCTTAATATTCTTTGATACTAGTACGTATATAATTACGATGTTATACTACGCTTCTCTCCCAGGCAGATGTAGATGTCATCAACAGGACCAAAGACAGATACAGCTGATAGCACGTCAGCTGAAATGTACATGTAATGTACACCACCAGGGACTGTCGCCGTCCTTTCTTTTGTTGCAATTCATTATTATTTACACATCTGAGTGTGTTAACACATTCAATGTACTAGTCACAACTGTAAGTCTTTTCTACAAATTCTGCTGCCACCCACGGCACCCCAACGTATTAATTATATGTCGAGAGGAATTGTTTGTTTTCCTCGTATACAAGGAATTCCTACAAGATGTTTCAAAATAAACATAAAAATACAGTTGAAATTCCTATATGCGCTTCTTTTGGGGGAGAGTATATATATTATATTGTACAAAACATACACTATTTTGATTTGTTGTCGCAATACTGAATCATAAAAAAAATTGTCTAAATGAAAGGACCAGGTGTAAGTAGTGTAAAATTATTCCAATATGTCATCGAAACATTATTTTAATTTCATGTGATAATTCAGGGACATTTCAGATAAAAAATCTTTGCTTAGTGCCAAGTAAATATGCATGTAATGTTTGATTTTAAGAGAAAAAGATCGTTTTTCCTATGTTGAGTAATGCAAGATAAGACATGACAGTCAACTTGGATAATGAAGGAACATGTGTCAAGACCCGTGAAGATCCGGGTTAGAATTGATCTTCAGTAACCCATGCTTGTTGAGGCGAATAACGGGATCGGGTGATCAGGCTCGCTGACTTGGTTGACACATATCATCGTATCCTGATTGCTTAGATCGATGCTCATGCTGTTGATCCCTGGATTGGCTGGTCTAGATTCGATGATTTGCAGACCACCGCCATATAGCTGGAATAAATTGCTGAGTGCGGCGTACTAAATTCCTCACGTACTTGTCAAGGTCAGGTGAACGAAATCCATCCCTATGCATTCTTTTTGTTGTTAAAGGGTTACGTTCAAAACCTCCGAGGATAATTTGTGCTGGATATGCGTAGGACAATTCCTCAACATTGATTCATCAGTGACCAAAACAACCGATACAGTTGTTTCGTTTCACTTGTACCGGTTTGTGTGTGTGTGTGTGTGTGTGTGTGTGTGTGTGTGTGTTGTGTGTGTGTCTCTATTCGTGTCAACAACTGAGTTGCCGTTGCGTGTGTTTTTGACGGGTCAGGATGCGCTTTCTTCTTCGTAGTATCATTAGCATCTGAAAGTGACTGCTCCTGATAAAAAGTCAGAATCGTACAACCGCCTGTGGGGTCGAATCATTTACCGACGCACAACTGAAATAGACACTGCCATCGACAGTTGACAATGGGAATCTGCAGCTCGGTCATACTGCGGTTGCGTCACACAAACAAATGGTCTTGGCGAGACTGGTCGGTTGGTTCGCGCCGACAAATATCCCTATATAACGGCGGTCTGTAAATAATCGAATCTGGACTGCACAATCTAATGATTGACATATTGTGCATCGATCAACTCATCAATCGAGAACATGCATCAACCAAGTCGGAGAGCCCGGCTATATAACGGCGATCTGTAAATAATCGAATCTGGACTGCACAATCTAATGATTGACATATTGTGCATCGATCTACTCATCGATCGAGAACATGCATCAACCAAGTCGGAGAGCTCGGCTATATAACGGCGATCTGTAAACAATCGAATCTGGACTGCACAATCTAATGTTTGACATATTGTGCATCGATCTATTCACCTGCGTCACTTCTTACGACAAGCGTGGGTGTCTGAAGATTGGTACCGATTCGGATTCTTCATGGGTGTGGGGAACCCAAAACGTTGAGTGAATGTGAATATCAGTAGACCCATGGCCGTGACATGAGTATGGTAGCACACACATCGCACGTGATACAATACGTGCCTCCCTCTTCATATTGAAACTGGACGCTACAACAGACCCTCCACCCCCTTTTAACACAGAGTTTGCAACTTTTGCTCAAACAAACTTGAAAATGTAATTCACTTCCTCTCCGAATGTTCACTAAATGAAGACAACAGATACGACATTAAACAAACATATATTTACAGCAACCCCTCAGACCTACTTGTTAACCCATGAGTGACAAAAACCCCAAAATATCAAACACACTGCAGTTACACCACACAAAATGACTGTATTACCCAAATTTACTAACGTCAGGAAATACTCGTTTCATCCGGCGGCCATATGAACAACGTTTGAAATCTACGTATCATCTGGCCGTCAGATTTACACACGTTTAAAGGGGTGTTAAAATAAACGAACATTCAACTCTGCATTTACATGTATTTCACAGGTGTGTAAATCTGGCCATTGTTTCCATGTGTTTCCTAACATGTGTAACATATGTAAATGCTGTGATTGTAGGACATGCATTTCAATACCCTTGAAATCTCGTATGACCAGGGTTAGGTTTGTCATATATTTAGTACATGCGTAAATGGTTGGAAATGAGTAAATATAGTGTTACAAGATTAGCACTACTTTAACATGTATTTCAATGGTTCTGTAATGTAACTGTCACATAGGGTTCGTTAGCGCGTCCGACCACGCCATAATGTACTGAGATAATTAGAAACACATGGTGAAGTGATACCCATGACTGAGCACCACTAATAACGTGCGTGTCTTCCTTGACATACACATGATGTCTGTTTAAAAGGTTCAAATATCGGGTCTATGGGCCAGAGCGATATGTATGTTAGGGAGTGTGTGTGTGTGCGAGGGAGAGGGTGTGGCATGGGGGTAGGCTTAGGGTGGGGTGGTGGCGGTGGGTCGGTGTTGGGGTACTGATAAGTCTTTCTAACCAGTAGGTAATATCGTTTATACTTTTTGTAATGGAAATTACATAACAGTTTAAATAACTGACCTTAGGTACACTTCATATATATGCTATACAAGGAGACACTGCTAATTAGAATAAAACACAGACAGATGTGTTCACACAGACATGAACCGGTAGGTCCCTAATTTTAGTGCTCACTTGTATGAGTTATCCGACTGATCATAACTGAACAAATTTCATTATCTATACTTTCATAAAAGATGATTACAATGTATTAATGATTCCCGGTGTAAATTACTGTTGTAAATGTGTGAACATGCACATACTTGGTATGACCTCTTTTTGATTCGGAATACAGGTATTATTCCATACGGACGTTTTCTCAAATTTCAGTTACCCGACGGAATATACTGTAGACATATTTTGTTTCCACCTCTTTGGTAGACTAAAGAAAATTGTAGTGATTGCAATTAGCTCATAACTAAGCAGTTTCGATAATTATTGAAAGCTTACTACCTGACAGCATTATGTTGCTCATGCGTTTTCTTTTTTGCTTTTGCTTTTTGCTGTCTAATTTGTTATACATTATATAATTATGTTAATCATTTTGGTATCTCAATATCATGGAATATAATTTGTACTTATTAATCTATCAAAGTACCGAAACGTATTATCTGTATGCTTTTATTTGTATGGGTGGAACTGTTAAAAGTACCTTCGTGCAGAATTTCCAGGAAATAGAAACTGAAAATTACTAGATCAATGGAAAACTAAATTGGATAAAGATCGCAAACAATCATTATTTATATTCCACTTTTTAAATTATCAGTGTGCAGATCATGTCACTAACATAAAAACTGAAGGATATATGGTGACAAAACTGGGTTCAATCTTGAATGTATAATAAATGTACAAATGTATATTCTTTAACAGTATCAAGGAATGATGGTCCGAGATATGTTTTTAAGACGCCAAATATTCATTTAACACCCGACACACACCCTATATCCCTTTCTCAGGTATTTATTTACCCATTTTACACCACACCTTTATTTTTTACCAAAGTGTTATACATATGTTTTAAATGCTAGTGTCTCATAAGCCAGGATATGGCCAGATGTTAAACATTATTTTAGTTTCTTATACTGTTGTAACTTAATTTTATGTTTAACATGTGACACTATAATAAACTCATTCTGTCTGCAATATTCAGAAAGCTGTAAGACTTCAAATGACGATTTTGGATGCAGATAGTAAGATTGTTATTGCACTAGTAAACGCAATATGCCAAAACAGCGAACCGACCGAAGCGTCCTGTAAATCAAAACCTGACAGACAAAGTGATAATTTGAATGTTACTGCGTCAAACAGGCATGGCTGTTGTGAAGATGAACGATTCTCGGTAGCCATTACTAAACTTGAGTTGCTTGGCAGCATCACTGTAGTCGGTTGTGGACAGACGAAGGCAGTAGCATGCGATCATATACACTGCATTCCTATAATAAGCGCCCGGGCACTTATTTTTTCAACGGACTTCCAAACCGGGCGCTTATTGGAGACCCTGCACTTATTGGAGACCCTGCGCTTATTGGAGTCCCGGCGCTTATTGGAGACACGGCGCTTATTTAATCATGCACTGAGTGAGTGAGTGAGTTTAGTTTTACGCCGCACTCAGCAATATTCCAGCCATATGGCGGCGGTCTGTAAATGATCGAGTCTTGACCAGACAATCCAGTGATCAACAGCAGGAGCATCGATCTACGCAATTTGGAACTGATGACATGTGTCAACCAAGTCAGGGAGCCTGACCACGTGATCCCGTTAGTCGCCTCTTTCGACAAGCATGGGTTACTGAAGGCCAATATTCTAACCCGGACCTTCACGGGTTAATCATGCACTGACACACATGTTTACAACACCCCGTCGCTCCTATTTGAAAACATAACATTATCAAAGAAACAGCAATAACTCTGTGTTTCAGCGGCATGCACATCTTCCCTTTATGTGGTCTTATAAACAATAACAAATTCGAATTTCCAACAATTTGAACAAAGGATTTCTGAACATTAGGTCGTAAGAAACGTCAAACACTTTTTACACAGTTGACAATTGTGAATTGAAAGTTCTTGAATCTCGTATCATCTAGTTCTCTGGGTCCATCTCTTAAAAAACCAAAAACCAAAAAAACCATATCCAGTGCTTATTAGAAGAAATACGGTAGGCTACACAGTTATGTTAGGCAGCTGTTTGCGACCGAATCTGAAACTGACAATTTAATAACATATATGATATATATATATATATTGATCTTGTGTGTTTAATTCATATAAAAATATAACATATGTGATATGTGTTGATTTTTGTGTTTAATTATACGCTTCGCACATGACTGTATTTCGAAACAATATTTGTTTTGATGTAGGGATGCCATGTGGCTCGATTTGAACAATAACGCCATATATAACGTGGTAGTCAGTGATGGTCGTTGTCGGCACAGGTACTACAGATACTTACCCCAGGTACCCCATACTAAACAAAGTCAAAATACGGAAGAGTCCATATTCCGCAATCCAAAACCGAAACCGCATGTAGTTGTTCCCGTTCAACAGATTGCGAGTGGTATTCAAAGTGGTATTCAGTGGTTACTGTGTATTCTCATTACTTACATAACGCAATCAAATGTATCTAATACAACAGCATGACAGTTCCGATCAAGAATACGACACAATGGGAATGGAATCGTCCTAGGGTACGTTTCTGTATTCGCATTATGGCCAGGGTACATATCTGTGTACAGTGTACAGAAACGTACCTGGGGTACATATCTGTAGTACCCGTGCCGACAATGACCCCATCAGCGTCAGTGATGGGTGATGATGACATGGTGCGTTCAACTGCCTCATACGCGTTATGATTTGTAAAGTGTTTTCATCACAAGGAATAACTAATTTTCAGTCGAGTTCATTTGTCTGAATAGGTATAGTAACAATCCAGATGTAAACAAGCTAGAGTTGCTCCCCGCTTCGACCTCTTATTGGGCAAGAACATTTCCGGGTTAGACAATCACGTGCGGTTTCGTAAATTGTTGATTTCATATAGAGTTTCCCACACAACTATTTAAATATGTATTTGGTGGCAGCTGCTGACTTTGCGACAAATGACACATGAAAATGAAACAGCGTCGGTGCACATCATCAACATATTTATATCACTAGAAACTGAGAACAAAGTAGCACTAGTAAAATAATATTCATAAGAAACAAAAAAATATAAACCCAAAATACGTACAATACGTACAACGTACAATACACTTTGCATAAATGCTGTGGTAAACACTTGTGTATGATTACAAATATAACTCCCAAATATCAATAACTTTATCAGATAATAGTTCCAACGTCGACAATGTTAATTACTCCCTCCTTCCCGTTCACTCCGCATATCAGCCTTTCGCCAAAGCACTAAGCAGATGTTTGTAAGGGAGTAGGAAATTAGTGCAATAATGTACGCCTATGTTGATTAGTTTTGAGTTAATAAATTTAACAGTGCAAAACTGTTACAACACAAGAATATATTACAAATCCATAGACAGACTTTCATATGAACACACAGATGTATGACATTACCCATTTCTCATAGTAATCGTTATCACAAACTTCAGCGGTAGAATTAGAAAGAACGATTGACTTAAGGAAAGTAGTATATACAAAAATCAAGATGGAGGCAGTGCCCAGGCTGCCGATGTTATCCTTCGAATTAAAACACAGCCCAGAATACGTAGAATTTGGACCATCACTGAAACAGGTAAAATATCATATGTGAATAATCAGTGTATATGATATTTTCGATGGGTTGCCATTTGTGCCACGATCACTTTATCAGTCGGCCTGCATTGGTAATCAAAACACTGTTTGACATTTCCGCATTTATGTTGACCATCGCACGTTTGTTTTGATAATTTTTTGTTTGGACACGGAAGCATTGGTCATGAAATATACCACACTAGTTACGCATAATTATGATATTGTTCTTATATTATATAATGTGGTTGTACACATAATAAGAGTACTTTTGCGAGAAGTTTCAACCTCGAAGATGACGTGACATAAATCTAACCTTTATGCTATCGTTGATCACAAATGTCAATGTGATTATATGTAAACATTGATATTCATTTTATAGTTCTACTATCGGCATGACTGTATATTGGTAATAGGCCAAGGACTGCCGATTGTGATCTTCAGCAACCCATGCTTGTTGTAAGAAGCGACTATATAACGGGATCGGGTGGTCAGGCTTGCTGACTTGGTTGACACATGTCATCGTATCCCAATTGCTTAGATAGATGCTCATGCTGTTGATCACTGAATTGTCTGGTCCAGACTCGTGTATAATTACAAATATAATTTTGATATATATTTATCATGTTTATACAAGTGTCTGAAAAGTGACCGCTATGCGGCTCTGCTACTACCTAAGACAATAAAATTACATGGATATGTAGAATATTACATTTATCATGTTTATTATCCAATGGTGTAAGTTTCAGTGGAAATAGTAAGGTGGTTTGAAAAGTAGACACTGTTAAAGGTTGTCCAACATTTTGTTATGTGTTAAAAAGCAGTAAGTTTCTCTCAGTTTTATTGTATACTGAAGACCGTGAAAACTGTGAGTGAACAAAATACTGCCTGAACAACACAACAGCATAAAATGGATTTGTATGCATATGTATGACATTATTCATTCAGTATATAAAATAGCTTCCCATAAAATGTAATACTGAAAACTGATTTTCCTAAGACTTCAGCTGACAACAGAGTCACATGAAGATGAGGGGTATAATCCTGCTATGCTGAACACTGGGTCATTGTGACTCGGGTCACTTGGAGAGAATTAGCTTTGGACCATTACAACATATTTTCATGATGTTTTGTTCATGGTGAACCTAACTATTCCATACAAAGATCCACTTTGTAATCAGATATGATTGGGTAGTATTACAGATTATAAGAAACGATGAAATTGCCCAACGCAACAAAGGATGTAATAGTGAAATGGATGGACCATGTAGTAATTAAATTAGTACTAACATTCTCGGTTTCTCCTGCTTGTGTAGATGTATTTTTTTAGGATAGGACCCTTCTTTAATAGTTATTATGTGCCTATTTCTCTTCATAATCATACAGTTTAAGATGATAAAATATTGCTTGTTTCTTTTTAATGGAACTACCAGGATGTAACAGTTTGAAAAAAAGGAGGACATGGCATCATTTATAAAAATAAAGTTAACATTTTTCATCATTACCACGAGAAGTAGTCTGAAATGATGATCATTCCCATTGTTGTTGTGCATCATTTTGTGTCAGTTGTGGCATCATGCAGCATGAAAACCTTGGACAATTTCCTTTGAATTTACCAAGTCTTTGTATTTCTAATTTCCTAATTCCTGCTACATTCATATTCTAAAAATATTGAGAGAATGTGTGCAACTAATAGATGAATGGATCTCTTAAAATTTGAGAAAATGCTACACAGTGTAAACTCTCATTTTTGGGGTTTCATTTCAAACAAGCAGTCTTCCGAGCACAGTGTTTGTTTTCACACCTAATATATTTTCTTTGATTTCATGTGGACACTTTGTATTGGTGAAAAAGGCCATATTTTATTATATTCTAAAATGTATGAGGATTTCAGTGATGTTTGTGTCCCTGCTGACTGTGAAATAAAATTCAAATATACGCTTCGTGAAATGTGATTTTGTAAACGATATCCCATATGGCAGAAAGCTCACATTGTCGTTCGTTTTCACATATTTTCCAAAACATCCTGACCAATTCTAGGTTTATCAAGGGTGTTACAGAAGCATCACTGGTGATTGGAAGAAAAACAGATATCAGTGATCACTATGCTATTTCTGAAGTTCATGCCTCCAAGTAATTATCCCCATAAAGGGCATTTACCTTTGGATTCACTTACTTGTCTAGCTCACCTTTATGTTACTCAGTTTAGGTACCCCTTTAGTAAAACCTCCTTTGCAATCATTAGGTGAATTCAAACATCCTTGTACAATTCTTAGGATTAAACAGGCAATCTGTACCCAAGGAGATTTGTACCCAGACCTATTCAGCAGACTTGAACCCAAGTGTTGACGATCCATACTCACTTATACCTAAACAACTGGAAAACTCATACCCAAAATGGCTGAATTCCCAGATATTGAGCCATCAAGACCTCAGTCACGAATGTATGAATGTATAATGAATATATGTTTCAAATGTTCAATGAATGTTATTATATTATTATATGCCACATTTCTAAAGCGCGCCCCTTTTGAACTACTTCAAGATCACTCTAAGGCACTTCACAATTTGTTTTTTCACTCGATCATTGGATGTCAATCTCAAACGGCACATTGTATTATCAATCTCAACTCCCTGGGGATCATACAACTCTTGCAGCCATTAGGTGCACCGAGTTAATGTGGCTTTCCCATCCTTACAAGGTACCCATTCACAGCTGGGTGGACTGGGACACATAGTCACGGTACTTTGTCCAAGTTTACTGCACGTCGCTGTACCCGCAACTAGGTGTTTGCACGTATTCACATGATTCATGTGGCCACCATCTGGTCATATACCAACGGATTCGTGTGTTCTTTTAAGTGCACAGGGTTGTGTACTGTACACTAGGGGTTGTGACAACCCTGAAAGAGTCTTCACACAAAGCTGACTCCAAGGTTTTTGAATGTATAAACTGTATGAAAGTTTGAAATATATTAGGAATAAATGTTTCAGAATTGGGTATGAGTCATCCAGATTTAGGCATGAGTCATTCAAATGTGGATATGAAGTATCTAAATTTGGGTACCGGTCAACCGAACGGTATGAATGGTCCAAAAAGGTATGAATCTGAATGTTAGGTGGGAGTTTGCCATTTTTGTTGGGTACAACTACAAATCGCCATGGATAAGGATATAGTACCTAATTAGACACCTTTTACAATCCTCAGGGCAGTTGAGAATCAGGGTGTTGTCTAGTTATCACTTCTCTCGAAATCTTTATAATGTTTCTCAGAGAAAACATGCTACTGTGCATAAGCACAAGTAAACAGATGATTTGTGTAGCACCTGTGATACGGCGATGGCTAATTAGATTAAGTCATTAATTTAAAGGCACTATTTCACACCACACTTCTCTAAAAATAAATAATGCATTTCTCTCAATAATACTAACTATCGTATCAGCCCTCGTGCTAGGGTTACACTATGTTCTCGGCAGCCCTGTTTTTTGACTGAAACATCATGAAACAGGGACAAAGCGGGATGGATGTGAGACAACGTATCGGGACTGAATCAGCAAATGTTACAGTCTGTGATTGCCATTGATGCCGTGCCCAGAGTTTTAAACTGTTCAAAATATTGTCACGGCAGTTTACAGTACTAATGAGAAACACAGTACTATTAGTAGGCCGTAGTAAAAGGGGGGGAACGCAACAAAACGTGACAGCATGTAAAAGGCTGTAACAAAACTTGACGGCGGTCCGTAGTGGGACAGGAGGCATGTGTATTCCCAGGCATCTCACAGTCATTTCAATTTTGTCACGTTTGGCCGACACCTTAAAACAACAACATTTACGGTTCAGTGAACAGATTATCTACTACCTGTTACCTATATATTATAATGGAATAGTCCAAATAGAAACACAGGAACAAACTGAAGCTATATTATTTATTTTGAAAGATGGATGAAAAGACAGTAATTTGAATTTTTATTGCTGCAATATAAAAACTGTTTATTTTCATAAATATTTCGGTTTAACCTTCTAGTCTAACGGGAGTCAGCTTCATCATATTGAAAACATTAGCTTAGCTATTAGAAATTGCGACACTGTTGTATCATATAAATCAAATAAAGAAAAATGTGAACCTAAATATTATTCATATGGAATAAAGAAGTTATATGTTTTGCACACAATATTAAGATATATGACGAGTGCACTTAATTACGATTTATTTAGAATAAATATTTAAAATATGACGCATCATGTGAATGTGGCCATGGATGAGAGAATGTTTTTCATTTCTTCCTTGAATGTCCATTGTATACTACTCAAAGACATAAACTGTTACAATCTTTAGAAAGTATTGTTAAAACTAGAACACTGATTGGTATTAATCATATCTTACATGGCAATGCAGGTGTCTCATTTACTGCAAATCAGAAATGTTTTCAAATATGTACATATCTATATCTCTCCAACAAAACGTTTTCTCAGTTAACTTCTATTGTACATATGCTATTATTGGGAAGGGTCTTTTCTATCAATAAACACAATCAAACCTCTCAGTGACAAACCTGTTTTTTATATTCGATAGTAATTGATAGTAAAATCAATTTTGAGAAGAGAAATCATTTATCATTTAATCACAACAAAGTTCTATTTACCCACAATCAAATTTCTCAGTAACGAACCTGTTTCAGGCTCACCCTGCTCTACTCATTAGACAGTGGACTGTTCCATTATACCCGTAGGTGTTACCCTACTTAACCTTTTAGTTCAGTGTCTGTCAATTGGGTGTCTGTCAATTGGGAGATAACCGTTTGGCCACATTTGTTTGGCATTTGGTCACTGTTGTTTCACCCTTGCAGTCCGTTTTGTCCCGGTTCTCATGGCAAGCTGGGTTGTATGGTAGCCGAGTCATCCCGTTCTATCACAACGCATCCAGCAGTCAGATACGCCACATTGCGTTCGCTGACAGTCCATTTTTGCAACTGATGCTGGCCTTCTTGCTGACGCAAGGACTCAATGTATGCCCAAAGCTGGCCGGCGTCCACGTTTCATCCGTAGAAAGTCTTGACAGAATGCGCAAAACGTGTCAAAACCTTGATCAAAACGTGAGAAACATGAAGGAACCCATAACAAGACAGGCCTGGAGGAAACGTAATGGCATCCGTAGTGGACTGCAGGCCGAGCCGTAGTGCGTCTTTCAGCTTCCAGGACCCGTTTATCACAACGGCCTATCACGGATAGTGTGATAAACTGTGAAAAATTTAGCAGCACCAAACAAAACTTGACTTTGGAGGGAAAAAATGGCCGAAATTCCACGCCACACTATGTTTCTGGGAAATGGGGCTGCCGTGGCCTCCAAGAACATAGTGTAACCCAAGCATAAGGGAAGCTACCATATAATTTATTTAAAAAACAATTACGTATTCAGATATTTAGATTTACAATATTAAATTAAAAAGTTTGAATGAATTAATGCAATGTTGTAGGAAATGACTCTCGTGTCCTCTACCTGCCGAACATTATTTCAAGCAAACCCCATAGAGTTATGTCCCTTGGAGTGCTCTCTATGAATATTCTACGTACCACTTGGGATTAAAACCAGTTTGGCAAACACCGACAACACCGCGTGCGACAGTTTTCGATGTGCAGAGCAATTGTTTACATTCCATATATGGCAAGTGCTCTCTGTTTGGAAGCTGTTCGCCTCGAAGTTTCAATTATCGATTTCAGGCAAATCATAAGGGATAATAAGTCTTTTATTACGTCAATAGGAAGCTAAAGTGAGTGCATATGCCCCAATATATATAATATAGGCCAAAATATTGTTGAAAATGTGTGAAATTGTGCCTTTAACCTAGCTTGGCTTCAAACATTCAATGTTGATGGTTAATATATTGATCATGTTATAAATGTTTGCAGTATATTCGAGAGCACTATGGGGAGGACCCTGCCCTGTACAACAAACCATGCACTGACCTGGAACAGCTCAGACAGGTAGGACTGGGGCAGATTATCATCCATAATAAGGGCCGTGCAGATAAACATGCTGGTCCAGAATAAGGTACACTGGTATCACTGATAATTAATATCCATGAACAATATGATAATTTATACAAGCGTTGTGAGAGCAATACAGATTATCATTATTTAACATGTATTTCATATGTTTTAGGAAGTTTTCTAATATTCTCTGCCTGACCTCTTTGACTATCCTAGGGTCGGTGGAATAGCCTAGTGCTTAAGGTGTTTACTAGTCACACCAAAACCCTGACTGATTCTCCTCATGTGTGAACCCTTTTTCCGGTGTCCCCCACTGTGATATTGCCGGAATATTGCTAAAAGCGGCATAAAACCTGACTCACTCACTCTTTGACTACCTGTGTTTTGCTTGGTGTACTTCCAGGGTGCCATCCACGTGAAGCGCGACTTCATGGGTTGCAGCACTCTTAAGAAGTACTATGCCCAGCTGCAGTTCCTGCAAGGTAGATTCCCCATGGGGGAAGGGGGAGAGGCGGCGATAGCCTTCACGTGGTGAGTAGCTGTCCTACTGGAGACTTGTGTGTTAGACCTGTGATGTGAGACAACTCACTGACACTATGGCTCTTGTGTGTTCCAGGGAGGACATTCAGACAGGAAGAGAATACATCCTCGGGGACATCAAGTTCGAGCAAGCCTGTATCCTGTACAATATCGGTCGCTCTGCATTCCATCCTGGGAGCAGTGGATACTCGCCATAGTGCTGAGGTAACAATATATCAGTCTTATTGGAATCAGATGTTTGTACTTGCTGCTGCTCAGAGATCTGTGGACATTCCATTACAGGTCACTTCAGAGCATGATCACAAAAGTAAAGGTCCAGATGTTTTCAAATCATGCAACTTTAGGATGGGGATCTCCAAATGACAGTTATGGGCAGCAAGACTGATTGCATCACGGACCCACCCTCCACATACCTCCCACCCTCCCTACATACCTTGTCCCTCACATACACCCACACCCTACATACCTCAACCACCACCACCCCAACACACCTACATACCTCGTCCCTCACATAACCCCCTTACCTCGTCCTTCACATCCCCAACCACACCCATACCATATGCATTACTCACTTTTCACCAAAACATTTCTCTAAATAGTACTATCAATGAAAGTACCAAAGTAATTCAAATGTATAAATGGAGAATCATTTGATTAGTTTTTAGAACACACAATGTGAGGTGGTATTTTCATGTGTTTGTTGTCATGTGAAACATGTCTTGACTTTCTTGTAATATATGTTACATTTGGGATTACGCTTTCTCAGCTAAGTACAGATTCTAGTACATTTCAAGTTTGAGCCCCATGTGGGATTTTAACCCACGCTCTCAGATTCAGGCACCTATTGTGTTTTTTTTGTAATGTTTTCAAAATATGATCTTTTTTCAGGGTATGAAAGTGTCATGCACACATTTCCAGTGTGCGGCGTGGGCTTTCGAACATCTGCGAGACTATTTCGGGAGTTCGGCAATGAGTACAGACATGTCCCACGAGCTTCTTACATTTCATGTCAGTCTCATGCTGGTAAGTTGTCCCGAATGTCCGATCTCCATTAACTAGCACCCAGGCTGGGAGACCAACACTTAAACTTTGCCTTATTCTGGGATTGGGGTTAAGGCGTTCGCTCGTCATGCTCAAGACCGGCTTTCAATTCCCCACATGGGTACAATGTGTGAAGCCCATTTCTTTTGATCCCCGCCATGATATTGCTGGAATATTGCTAGAAGCGGCGTAAAACCCAACTCACTCACTCACTCTGGGGTAGGGTGCGCATGTTTAGGATATGACCATATGTTAACTGTCCTGGCACACATTTCATAAGAAGTTCAATCTCACCATCAAACAATGACATCTCTTATTTTTTATTAGCGTCCCAGTTCTTGATAGAACTTGAAGCTCCCTGATTTTACTTGAAGACTCTTATATTTGAGCTGTTCAGGGCCTTTCACAAAGCACTAAGGTGATCGTAAGTCACTAAGGTAACCTTAGTACAATATTCATAATGGGAATTAAGGTTAACCTTAGTAAAGGTTTCTTTATGAAAGGAGCCCCAGGTGTTGTTGTTTACGTCAGGTGTTGCTTTTGGTCGTGATTCAGAGTTATTTACACATTTGCTTAAATTTTCTTTCTGTGCTCAAGGCTCAAGGTCAGGAATGTATTCTGGAGAAGTCAATGATTGACAGTCGGAAGAACACCATCACAGCCAAGGTGTCTGCTCAGGTGGTAGACTTCTATAGGACAGCCATCAAAAACCTGGAGACATGCAACCAAGAGGGCATTGTCAGCTCCAGGTGCTATAAGGTGAGCTTTTCGGGTTACATGATGGTCAGGAGGGGGAACAGTTGCCTGATGAGAGGGTGAGATTGTAGGAATGAATTGTGTGTGCAGAGCTGGCTCAAGTTGATCAGCTGGAGCTTGAGGCAAATGATGTTGAAAGAAACATAAGAATCGGACTACACAGATCAGTCACAGGCTGCTTATCAAGAGTTATTCCCCTTTATCTGCATCATTTTTTATCATTTCTGTATCCAGGACTGGAGGAAGTGTTTAGAGTTGAGGGTGTATTATGTCTGACTGGTGTTGTTGACCATGAGTGTTTCTGTATCCAGGACTGGAGGAAGTGTTTAGAGTTGAGGGTGTATTATGTCTGACTGTTGTTGTTGACTGTGAGTGTTTCTGTATCCAGGACTGGAGGAAGTGTTTAGAGTTGAGGGTGTATTATGTCTGACTGGTGTTGTTGACCATGAGTGTTTCTGTATCCAGGACTGGAGGAAGTGTTTAGAGTTGATGGTGTATTATGTCTGACTGGTGATGTTGACCATGAGTGTTTCTGTGCCCAGGACCAGAGGAAGTGTTTAGAGTTGAGGGTGTATTATGTCTGACTGTTGATGTTGACTGTGAGTGTTTCTGTATCCAGGACCAGAGGAAGTGTTTAGAGGGTTGAGGTTGTATTATGTCTGACTGTTGATGTTGACTGTGAGTGTTTCTGTATCCAGGACTGGAGGAAGTGTTTAGAGGGTTGAGGGTTTATTATGTCTGACTGGTGTTGTTGACTGTGAGTGTTTCTGTATCCAGGACCAGAGGAAGTGTTTAGAGTTGAGGGTTTATTATGTCTGACTGTTGATGTTGACTGTGAGTGTTTCTGTATCCAGGACTGGAGGAAGTGTTTAGAGTTGAGGGTGTATTATGTCTGTCTGGTGTTGTTGACCATGAGTGTTTCTGTATCCAGGACTAGAGGAAGTGTTTAGAGTTGAGGGTGTATTATGTCTGACTGGTGATGTTGACCATGAGTGTTTCTGTATCCAGGACCAGAGGAAGTGTTTAGAGGGTTGAGGGTTTATTATGTCTGACTGGTGATGTTGACCATGAGTGTTTCTGTATCCAGGACTGGAGGAAGTGTTTAGAGGGTTGAGGTTGTATTATGTCTGACTGTTGATGTTGACTGTGAGTGTTTCTGTATCCAGGACCAGAGGAAGTGTTTAGAGTTGAGGGTTTATTATGTCTGACTGTTGATGTTGACTGTGAGTGTTTCTGTATCCAGGACCAGAGGAAGTGTTTAGAGGGTTGAGGGTTTATTATGTCTGACTGGTGTTGTTGACTGTGAGTGTTTCTGTATCCAGGACCAGAGGAAGTGTTTAGAGTTGAGGGTTTATTATGTCTGACTGTTGATGTTGACTGTGAGTGTTTCTGTATCCAGGACTGGAGGAAGTGTTTAGAGTTGAGGGTTTATTATGTCTGACTGGTGTTGTTGACCATGAGTGTTTCTGTATCCAGGACTGGAGGAAGTGTTTTAGAGTTGAGGGTGTATTATGTCTGACTGTTGATGTTGACTGTGAGTGTTTCTGTATCCAGGACTGGAGGAAGTGTTTAGAGTTGAGGGTGTATTATGTCTGACTGTTGATGTTGACTGTGATTGTTTCTGTATCCAGGACTGGAGGAAGTGTTTAGAGTTGAGGGTGTATTATGTCTGACTGTTGATGTTGACCATGAGTGTTTCTGTATCCAGGACTGGAGGAAGTGTTTAGAGTTGAGGGTGTATTATGTCTGACTGTTGATGTTGACTGTGAGTGTTTCTGTATCCAGGACTGGAGGAAGTGTTTAGAGTTGAGGGTGTATTATGTCTGACTGTTGATGTTGACTGTGAGTGTTTCTGTATCCAGGACCAGAGGAAGTGTTTAGAGTTGAGGGTGTATTATGTCTGACTGGTGTTGTTGACCATGAGTGTTTCTGTATCCAGGACTGGAGGAAGTGTTTAGAGTTGAGGGTGTATTATGTCTGACTGGTGATGTTGACTGTGAGTGTTTCTGTATCCAGGACTGGAGGAAGTGTTTAGAGTTGAGGGTTTATTATGTCTGACTGGTGTTGTTGACTGTGAGTGTTTCTGTATCCAGGACTGGAGGAAGTGTTTAGAGTTGAGGGTTTATTATGTCTGACTGGTGTTGTTGACCATGAGTGTTTCTGTATCCAGGACCAGAGGAAGTGTTTAGAGTTGAGGGTGTATTATGTCTGACTGGTGTTGTTGACCATGAGTGTTTCTGTGCCCAGGACTGGAGGAAGCGCATGGAGCTGAAGGTCTGTTTCTACCAGTGCATCACATTCTACTACATGGGACGACAGGCAGAGGACCAACAGAAAATGGGGGAGAGACTGGCGTACTTCCAGGCCAGTCATGACAAACTCAACGAGAGCATCAAACTTGCCAAGGTCAGGGTCATTCGCAGGTCTTCTCACTGCAGACAATAGTTCTTTGGTTTCTGTAAATATGACATGAGAAGACTTACAGTTACTTCTGGTCATTCAGCCAGGGATAGGAGATTTACTGTTTCTGTCCTGGCTGATCGTAGTTTGTCTATTTGTTATTTTGGTGCTAATGTTTGATCTGTGCCTTGCATTCACAGAATGAAGTTCCTGAAATACAAGATGCCCTGAAGTTTGCTCAAGATGTGGTTGGCGGAAAGTAAGTGACTGGTAGCCACAGTAACATGCAGGTGGGCTTAGTTGGCCAAGTATCCCGAGGCAACACAGCAAACTGTGCTGAGATATATCCCAGTTTGCTGCCTCACCCTGGTTATTTATCATTATGAACATCTAGTCAGTGCTTGGGAGTTTCCCTTTGATGATAATTGTCTATGCTGACTGAGACACAGTTTCAACTCAATAAATTTATTCTGAAATTTTGTTGCGTTAAAAACAGGGAAATGCAGATCTCATTCACATCAGATTCACATTTGGTCAACACAACAAAATTCCAATTTTCACTGATGATGTTCACTAAGTTTGCAATCTGTATTAATATATTGCACAGGAGTGGATCAGGAGACTTCAGTCATACTTAAGGAAAACATATCCTGTAAATCATTAAATTAATGCGTCACGAATTTAATGCAAGTGCGAGGGTCCAGTCTAAAATGCGTCACAAAATTAATGCAAGCTCAGGAATCTGTGTTGATGATAAAATGAATTGAGCTTGTTAAGCAATGAATGGAAATGAGCTGACGATGTTTTGATTAAGCTGCCTGTTTGATCACGTGATTGCTTGCTACTACTTGTCTTATGACAACATGTATAAACGTAATCCGACTTGAAAGACAGTCTAAGTAAACTTAGACTCAGTATTATTCGTTACACTACTATACTGAGTCTAACAAAACCTTGTGGAAGGTCGCGTCAGGTAACCTTTGAGCGACCTATGACCGTCCAATCAAGCGCAAGACGACCGAATGGATTTAACCAATCAGACAACGGCTACTATTTAGGGTTTGGCGGGACTTACAAAATGGATTTTCTCTTCCTTGGTCGCCAACACTGATCTCATAACAAATGAAAACCCGCTTAAAACACAGATATATGACCTGTAGAATATACGCTTTTGGGTTTCTGTTGACATGGTTATCATTAGCTAATATTTCCGCAAGCTGACATCCTTGAATACTGACAAAACGCTATTCTCAGTGTTTACTCACTGTTGTGGCGTGCTCCATGTGCATCACTCGGAAGCGATCGTACGGAAAATAGTATTCGGAATCGTTCGGGTACAAAACTTTTTCAAGGTAAAAGTTCAAAAGGTATGTGCGAATGTCAACTTTCGTGATTTGGTAAGCTGTGTTCTGATTGGTCCATTGAAAAGGTCAGCTGACGCGACCTTCCACAAGGTTTTGTTAGACTCAGTATAGCAGTGTAACGAATAATACTGAGCCTAAGTTTACTTAGACTGACTTGAAAGACACAAGTCATCCACCAAGGTACAACAAACAAGTGGCTGGAGAATGTCCGGTCTGGCTGATGTGCTTGAGTGACTTTAAACAATGACCAGTGATTGTAACCAGTGGTAATTACATGTGGCTTGAGATACCTGTAATGAGGAAGTGACCTGTATTGGTGTAATGTGTAGTGTCAACAGATTTACGTTTTCTGCCTTTTATTACTAGACATGGTCAGACTGAAATGCGTCATTATAATAATGCGAGAAGAGTACAGACGCATTTTTCGCATTAATAAAATGCTCGCATTAATGTCATGATTTACAGTATGTAATTACATTTAGATCAGATTTTGTTCTAAATTTCAGATTCAACTCGGCCAAAAAAGACAATGATTTTGTGTACCATGAAAAAGTCCCTGCATTAGACAGTCTGCCAGAAATAAAAGGTGAGTTCATTTGGATTTGTTCAGATAGTTTGTATACATGATCATATGCCTGATCACAATGAAAGTATTTCGTTTTGCTTAATAGATGAACAAATTATTTTCCAAAAGCAAAGTTTTGCTTTTCAAGATTATGCATTGTCTTCCTTGAGGACATTTGACACAGTTTCTAGACAGTATGTCTTCAGTCTCCATGTTTCCATATTTTCAGGGGCATCACTGGTGAAGGGGATCCCATTCAACCCAACAGATCCAGAGATTTCTGGTCCAGATATTTTCCAAAAACTTGTTCCAATGGAAGCGCATGAAGCATCATCAGTGTACAGGTAATACAGACCGAGGAGATAGTGCCTCCATCAGGTCACCATGTCTACTGTGTATGAATAGAACCCAGTGAAAAGACCCACTGTCTGTTGTCCTTTTGACCCGAGAAGATCCGGGTTAGAATTGATCTTCAGTAACCCATGCTTGTCGTAAGAGGCGACTTATGGGATTGGGTGGTCAGGCTCGCTAGCTTGGTTGACACATGTCATTGGTTCCAAATAGCACAATGTTGATGCTCATGCAGCTCATAATCACTGGATTGTCTGGTCCAGACTCGATTATTTACAGACCGCCGCCATATAGCTGGAATATTGCTGAGTGCGGCGTAAAGCTAAACTGACTCACTCACTCACTGGTGTGTTTTGATTCTTGGGCACACTGGCAATTATTGGTTTACTCAGTCTGGCTTGATGAGTTTGCCAGAATTCTCCGCTAACCCTGTCACGCTAGTTGTAAACATCGAGTTTGATGCTGCTAGCTGTATCTTTGTTCATTTACGAACTAGGAGCGGTGGGGTAGCCTTGGGGTTAAAGTGCTCGCTCATCATGCCAAGGACCAAGGTTAAATTCCTTACATGGGTACATGAAGCTCATTTCTTGTGTCCACTGCTGTGATAATGATGGAATATTGCTAAAAGCAGTGTAAAACCATACTCACTCACTCGCACAGTCACAATGCTTTTACTTTTGAGAAAGATGAAAATGTGCTTGTGTACTTTATGTTTCATTTAGCGTTCATGCCTTGGTATAGATAGTTTCTATAGTATACAGGGTTGACATGATGTAACAGTCTGTTGTGATGTTTGTTTCAGTGAGGAGAAGGCAAAGCTTCTCAGGAAGGTCAGCGGAGAAGTGGAAGAGAAGGTCATGGAACTTGAGTAAGGAAACTTTGGACAACACTGCAAACTCTAGTTGGTCAAGTACTCTTGTTAGGGAATAATCATGCAGGAACTATTCGTTTAGATTATGATAGGAATTATTTTGAATTATATTTGAATGTTTTTCGTCAAGGATGTTATGGTTGAAGTGGAATGTACAGGACAATTCTGGCATGCTTGTCTCTTACAGACAGTACATGTCGTCGCTGCAACTTGACCCTCACAAGCTGATGCCCAGGATGGAGCCCCTGCCACAGGAACTGCTGGAGAAATGTGCAGCCATGAGTGTCAAGACTGGCGCCATCCAAAGCCTGATAGAGTCAATGGCAGGTCAGTGTAATAAGAGTGAGTGAGTGAAAGTTGTTTATGCCACATGCGACAGTATTCTATCCAGTCATGGTGGTCGTCTGTTGCTTCTCTCATCTGGACAAGACTAGTGGTCAATGGCGTGATGTGTTAAAGCTCAGCTCATATTTTGTCAAAACATTTATGAACTATATATATATTTGCTCCTTCACCAATAGGATCAACCTCTTCTGCTTTGTAGACAGTGTGGAAGAGTAGAGAATGGGCGGACTCTCTCTTACAAAGTGGTCCCTTGGCGGGGGTATTAATGTGCACTCCGTGCATCCGTCCGTCCCTGCACATTCGTCTTTTCCGGGGCAGAACTTCAAAACCGTTCACTACTAGTATTTCTTCACCAAACTTGGCACATGGATAGGTCTGGTGGTGTACTGGTGCCTTTTGGTATTTTTGGAATTCTGAATAAAATATTTTTTTGTGTTTCCATGCCAACAAGTTTGGCTTCGACTGCATTTGGTGGTAGTGCTCCTTTCTGGAGTAGCCTGCCATATACACACCCAAACATTTGACATAATCATAACTAGTAGACATATTCATGAAGAGTATTTTGTCATTGCGGGGGATATTGATGACTTTGTCTTCTTGTGTTGACCAGTTGTGTTAATGTGTTCATTGTGTAGAGCAGTTGTGTTAATGTGTTCCTTGTGTAGACCAGTTGTGTTAATGTGTTCCTTGTGTAGACCAGTTGTGTTTATGTGTTCTTTGTGTAGAACAGTTGTGTTATTGGTCCCTTGTGTAGAGCAGTTGTGTTATTGTGTCCCTTGTGTAAACCAGTTGTGTTAATGTGTTCCTTGTGTAGACCAGTTGTGTTATTGGTCCTTTGTGTAGACCAGTTGTGTTAATGCGTTCCTTGTGTAGAACAGTTGTGTTATTGGTCCTTTGTGTATACCAGTTGTGTTAATGTCTTCTTTGTGTAGAACAGTTGTGTTAAAGTGTTCCTACTAGTGCACTATCAGGGCTCGATTTAGTGCTTTGTTACTTGCACTGGTGCAACCCAATATTACAAAGTGCTACCTAGTTATTAGTGTTCTGCAGTTGTGTTAACGTGGTCTTTGTTGTACAGTTGTGTTAACGTGGTCTTTGTTGTACAGTTGTGTTAGCATGGTCTTTGTTGTACAGTTGTGTTAGCGTGGTCTTTGTGTTGTACAGTTGTGTTAACGTGGTCTTTGTGTTGTACAGTTGTCTTAGTGTGGTCTTTGTGTTGTACAATTGTGTTAACGTGGTTTTTGTGTTGTATAGTTGTGTTAACGTGGTCTTTGTGTTATGCAGTTGTGTTAACATGGTCCTTGTGTTATTCATTTGTGTTAACATGGTCCTTGTGTTGTACTGTTGTGTTAACATGGTCCTTGTGTTATACAGTTGTGTTAACATGGTCCTTGTGTTATACAGTTGTGTTAACAATGTCCTTGTTTTATACTGTTGTGTTAACATGGTCCTTGTGTTGTACAGTTGTGTTAACATGGTCCTTGTGTTATACTGTTGTGTTAATGTGGCCCTTGTGTTGTACAGTTGTGTTAACATGGTCCTTGTGTTGTACTGTTGTGTTAATGTGGCCCTTGTGTTGTACAGTTGTGTTAACATGGTCCTTGTGTTGTACAGTTGTGTTAACATGGTCCTTGTGTTATACTTGTTTAACATGTCCTTGTTTGTGTTACATGGTCCTTGTGTTGTGTGTTGTACAGTTGTGTTAACATGGTCCTTGTGTTGTACAGTTGTGTTAACATGTTCCTTGTGTTGCAGCTGTCGCTGGTACTGCTACTGAGGTGGAGCTCAACTTGAAAGAAATCTTTGGTTTGTTGGATGAGGAGCGGAAACAGGATGAAGACTTCCAGGTGAGTGATGGAGAGCCTGTAACCACTTGGGAGAAGTGTGTAAATGTTCGTATGAAGTAGTGAAGTAGCAGTCGCAGGTGACATTCTGCAACAGCAATTTTGTCTGTATGATGTAACGATAAGAAGTTGGTACAGTTGTTAGATTGCCTCTGAAGAATGACCCTGCCAAGTATATTTGTATAAACCTGTTCAACTGGTTCAGGTCTTCCTATTATCAGGGAGATATGTGAGCACATGATGCCAGTTGTTTTCAAAGAACAGTATTTCTTTGCTGCTTTATGTTCTGGCGACATCAAGTGCTGATTATGAAGTATATGGCCGAGGAGTTATCAGACAGGTATAATTTTGCCAGAAATTGTTGGTTTCTGATTACAAGAATCTTTTTCTTTTAGAAAACATTTGGCAACCGGGCACCCAATATTGTGTTGTCTGAGATCCGTAAAGACACTGAGATGCAACGCTAGAAACACAAGCAGGGCAGCCAGTCAAATGAGAACCTCCACAAGGCCATGAACGTCCACATTGCCAACCTCCGCCTGCTGGCCGGAGCACCTGATGACCTCCAGGCCACACTGCCCAAACAGGAGTTGACCAACTGTAAGTCGGAATGTCCACGGTGACAGATTGTTTTGCTAACACACAATCTTTTAAACATTTTATATGAATTTGGGCCATTTTCCCAATATTTTTAAGGTTTGAAAGTGTAAATGTCATGTGGTCATGAAATGTTGCATAACTGCGTATTCAAGTATTCAGTATTTTCAGTATTTGTGAAACTGATTCTTGGTGGGAGGTGGGGTAGCCTAGTGGTTAAAGCGTTCGTTAGTCACACCGAATACCCGGGTTCGATTTCCCACATGGGAACAATGTGTGAAGACCATTTCTTGTGTCTCCTGCTGTGATATTGCTGGAATATTGCTAAAAGCAGTGTAAAAGCATACCTCACTCACTCACTCACTCACTCACTCTTGGTTTAGTAGTGCCTCATCCACTTGGATATTTATAACTAGATTAGAATGTGGATCAGCTGATACAGGAATAAGAATCCAAAGTCAGAATCAATATATAATACGTTAAGGGTATCATCCATAACCTGTTTCAGCACCAGAGGATGAAGCTCTTGTACAGGAACTTCAGCGACTTCTGTCCAAAGTTGATGAGATGAGGAAACAACGTCAGTCCTTGATGGAAGAGCTTCGAACAAAGGTCCAGAATGATGACATCACAAACGTACTGGTTACTCAAGACAGTGGCAGTAAGGATGTAAGTTTGGGAATATTTTTATCCTTTACTTCAATCTTTCCAGTGTAGAAGTGAGTTACTTTCTGGCCATGCTTTATTTTCAATTCAAGGGCTCAATGTAAGATGTGTGTCAACACGTAACATATGTTATATTTGGGATTCCACTTTCTTAGTAAAGTGAGTGAGTGAGTGAGTTAAGTTTTACGCCGCACTCAGCAATATTCCAGCTATATGGCGGCGGTATGTAAATAATCGAGTCTAGACTAGACTATCCAGTGATCAACAGCATGAGCATCGGTCTGCGCAATTGAGAACCGATGACGGACCACCCATTCCCATTAGTCGCCTCTTACGACAAGCATAGTCACCTCTTGTAGCAAGCATGGGCTGCTTAAGACCTATTCTACCCCGGATCTTCACAGGTTTTCTTACTAAAGTACACATTCTAGTACTTTTTGTTGGGTTGATTCCCATCCAGGATTCAAAGCCACGTCTTCAGGGTCAGGCATCTTATCGCCAACACACAAAGTGTAATCCCAAATATAACATATGTTACATTTGACCACTTTCTAAATGGCATTGTGTAATCGTGTGTCAACACTGTCAGTTCTGATAAATGGAATGGTTCCAAGGTAACTGTGTGTTTGTGATTACTTGGTGAATTCCAGGTTTTATAATCCATGTAATTGCTTAGTGAAGCTGACTTCGCAAGTAACAATGCTGATTAATGCTTGGTCATGTATTATTGAATTTAATGCAATGTTCACTTACTCAAAGCTTTCAGAAAATAAGATTGTGAAGAAATATTAAAGTTTTGAACATAGTTTCTGAATTTGCCTATCAAGGCACTAAAATCTGAATTTTTAAACTTATCCTATCTCACGGTATGCACCTATCTTCTTCTTCTACAACCATGTGTGGAAACGTGCTGTAGGCTAAGTTGAATCAAAACTTCCTGGCCTCTGACCCCCGACCTCTGCCCCACTCCAATAGCAGTACCTGTAAATCATCTCAATAAGCGTGCAGATCGCTCAGATGATCACATGACGTTCTGTGCCTGTCATTCTCTTTCTTGTTGCTACGTTGTGTGGAAGTGTGCTGTTTCTTAGTGAGATTTTGACTGTGTGTTCAATATAGGTAAATCTTGTCGCAGTGCTTCCAATAAACGCAAACATTGCGACAGGTGTGATAGTATTTCTGCTGCGGACCCACATGCGTTGTGTGTAGATTGTTTGGGACGTTGCAACTGGTCGCAACGTTGTACTTTTTGTGCTAAACTTGATGATGATGACTTTTCGGAATATCTCCGTTTGGCTTCCCGATGTTTGGCTGACAGGGATCGCCGTAAACCCTTGGAGGGTCCTTCCTCATCTAAACATTCGAGATCTGAATGTCGTACGAAGACACCTGTTCACCGGTCTAAGTCCCCGTCTCCAATGAAGAATTTCTGGATGATGCTTCTGATTCTCATCTGAGTGAGAATCTCCGGCATTTATTTTATCCGCAAACGTCCAGTCCTATTGTAATTCAAGATTTTTCGCCGCCTAGAGTTGTAGTTTTAACTACTTCTTCTGCCCAATCTCGTCCGTCTACCCAGGTGACGATTTCTCAGAACCCTGGTGCGGCGCTCGGATTGATGGCCAGCATTCACTCTCAACCACCACCATCTAGCTGGAATATTGCTGAGTGAGGCGTAAAACTAAACTCACTCACTCAAGCAGCGATTACGTTCTGTTCGGCGCTTTCCAGCACAGTGATTGGCTCAACGCTTTCTACCCATGCGCTGCTTGTTTCCAGTTTGGCGCTTTGTCCCGGTTCAGCGCTCTCATACCCTCCTGTGATGTCTACAAGTATGGCGATGATTTCAAGTGCGGTGCTTTCTACATCTGACTCGAATGTCGTCCCTCCTGTCTATGGACCACCGCCTATTTCCAGTGCGCCGCTTACCTCCAATGTGCCGCTTGCTCCCGGTTCGGCGCTTACTGTCAGAGGGCCGCTTGTTTCCAATACTCTGCTTGGTCCCAGTTCAGCTCTTCCTGCCAGAGTGCCGCTTGCTTCCAGTGTGTTGCTTGTTCCCTGTTCGGCTCTTACTTTCAGTGCGCCATAAGTTGTTCCTGGTGCACCGCTTGTTTCCCAGTGCGACGCTTACTTCCAGTGTACCACATTCTTCCAGTGTGCCGCTTTCTCTTTGATCAACGTTGCCGCCTTTGCCAGGTCATCCACCCATGCCAACCTCTGGTTCTACTTTGCCTCCTACCTCGGGGACTACGTCTATCACCTCGGCCAGGCTTATTTTACCGGTTTCTTGCTTTTGGGATCTAAACAGAGAGCCTATTCTCCCTCTCTGGTTGAGGCCCGTGAGTTGTCGCACTTGGATGGCGCCATTCGGAAGGTTTTAGCTCCCTTCAACATGGTTTTGACAGCGACTGAAGCTGTGGCTATGTCTGTCTCGCATGCGTCTTCCCCTCAACAAGCTTATTTTCGGGCTTCGATGGTGTTTTTACAGGAGCAGTTCCAGACTATCTTGGATCAGCTGGCCCATTTTTTCTCTTACCTCACAGCGGTTCGGCGCAGGGGCCCACTTCACTTATCAGATCTTTTCCGTCGACCTTGGTAGGGCAGATCACTCTGTAACGGGGCTATAAGAAATATAGCCACAAAGGTTGGTCAGGATGCTCATTTGCAGGTCTCTGTGGAGCTATTGAACTTTCAGCGGTTTCAAGTAGAAGATTTGTTGTGTCAATGGCGGCCAGTAGGCGGAAGACTTGGGATTTATGCCCTCAGTTGGACCATCTTGGACAACCCTTACGTTCTCTCCACTCTGTCCAAGGGGTTTCACCTTCCCTCCTCTCACATTATTTCCGGAGCACAGGACGTATCCAGTTCGTCAAACAGCTGTGCTTCGATCCACCATAGCTCCTCTACTTCAGAAACTTGCGATCGAATCCCTGGGCCTGACTCCTGCCGACCCAGAGTTTTACTCTCCAATCTTTCTGGTTCCGAAGAAGGATTCCGACAAATTGAGTCTCATCTTCAACGAGATGTTCCTCCAACCACCGCCTCATTTCCGTATGGTGTCGTTGGCCCTACTCAAGACTATCATCAAACCGGGGAATTACATGGTCAGCCTCGTCCTACAGGATGCTTACCTTCACATCCCGATCTTCCCGGATCATCGCAAGTTTCTTCGTTTCGTCTTCGAGGGCCCCCACTATCAGTGGCGTGTTCTCACGTTTGGAATTTCTTCGGCCCCGTGGCTGTTTACACGGGTGACGAAACCCATCACCAGCTTCCTCCATCACAAGGGGATACTTTTTGTAACATACATCCAGGCTCAGACTGACCGTGCACTCCTCCTACATCACATGGGGTTCATGATGCAGCTACTTCACCAGTTAGGCTGGCTTGTCAACATGGAGAAGTCGGAATTAGTCCCTTCACGCAGTCTGCATTTTATCTGGGCGGTGTTCGGCACAGAGCTCAACAGACTGTTTGTGCCAAGGGACCGTTTCTACAAGATCTGGCGGTTAATTCCCCTTGTGTTGTCTCAACCCAGGACTCTTTGTCAATGGCAGGAGCCTCAGGGGTCAACTTCAGCTTCGACCTTTGCAGTTATTCCTGGCTCCTGGCAACCCGCTTTCACTCCTATGGTGGATGGAAGAGTTAAACTTCTGCGGTGGAGTCTGCTTAAGGCCATTCGTCCCGACTCACCACCTGTACGTGGACGCATCTCTACACGGGTGGGGGGCTCACCTTCTCGATCAGCAAGTGGCAGGGTGGTGGTCTCTCGCAGGTCACGCTTACCACATCAACATTCTAGAGCTCAGGGCTGTGATTTTTTCCATCACTCAGTGGCAAGAAATTCTATGATCGACCTCTTTCATGGTCCCGTCGGACAATGCAGCTGCACATCAACCGGATGGGGTCTACAGGGTCTCCTCAAATCCTACAGTGGACACAACGGTTCTTCCAGTTGGTGGACGCTCTCAACATCTCCATTCGAGCCAACCATATTCCAGGAGTGAAGAACGTGATTGTGGATCTGTTCCTTCCGATTCATCCCTCCCTGACAGAGTGGAAACTACATCCACAGGTGTTCCAGACCATATGCCTTCCGCTGATGACTCCGACAGTGGATTTGTTCGCCACTCGTTTCAACCACCAGTTGTTCGTGTCTCCGATTCCGGACCCTCTTGCCTGGGGTCACGACGCTCTAGCCATTCTTTGGGGCGACCTAAACGTATACGTGTTTCCACCAGTGGCCCTACTTCCACGTATACTACTGAAACTGCGCACCACTCAGCGGATGACACTGTTTTTTGTCACACCCTTTTAGCCGGTCAGAAGTTGGTTCGTAGATCTACAAGAACTGGCTGATCCAGATCCTGTACAACTTCCCGAACGTGCCGATCTCCTGGTTCATCCACACTCGGATCAGCTGCATTGGTCTCCGCTCACACTCCATCTTCACGTTTGGCGCATCTCCATAAGTCGCTAACTGCTAAGGGATATTCTAAGCGTGTCGCCACTGCCATCACTACAGCGCATCGCACCTCCACTAGGTCACTCTATGATGGCAAGTGGAAGAATTTTGAGGCGTACTGCAGAACTAAGGGTAAAGCTTCTCCCACTACTGTTTCGCCGCAGATGGTGGTGGAGTACCTACAACATCTTCGAACCTCCAGGAAGCTTAGGGGTTTTACATTGTCTACTTACCTGGCTGCTCTTAACACCGTTATTGCGCCAGCCTCAGGTGTGAAGGTGTCTACAGTTCCTGAGCTCCAGTCTCTCCTCAGATCTTATAAACTTGCTGACCAATCCGGGAAGTTCCGACCAACAGCTTGGGATCTTTCCGTTGTGCTTAATCATCTTACGTCAGCGGACTACGAACCTTTGGAGGAGAAAGACTTTGAGCAGGTCACTTTTAAGACCTTCTTTCTCTTGGCTTTGGCCACTGCAGCCCGCATTTCCGAGTTACACGCCCTCGACTTCTCTTGGGTGCGTTTTGACAGGTGAAGACATGCAAAAGTATTTCTTGGTTTGAGGTGGGACTTCGTCGCCAAGAACGAACTACCAGGACAGCCGGACCGCACGTTCACGATTCCACTGCTGTCCACTATCTTGGGTCCTGATGACACGGAAGATCTTTCCCTGTGCCCAGTTCGGGCATTGCGGATATACTTGGCTGATTCTATGGACCGATGCAGGTTGTGCAAGATACTCTTCATCCCGTTGTCTCCTGCCTCCACCTCAGAGGCATCACCTCCACCTCTCGCATCACTTTGGCGTTTTGGATGAGATCCACTCTCCTGCATGCCTATGCCTATGCCGACGTTCCTCCACCTTCGACAGCGAATCCTCATGAAACCCGGGCCCTAGCTTCCACCATGGCGCTTCATAGGAACTGTTCCCTTCAGGCAATCATGGAGGGATGGTTTTGGAAGTCGGATACTGTTTTCGCCTCATGCTATCTTCGGGATCTCTGTCAAGGATCTTTGTACCTTTTTCGTCTTGGGCTTAGACCTCACCTCACCTTCTCACCTATGCAACTAGGGTGTGTTTGCACTGTCATAGCCATGACTCGTTAGACTGAGAGGCCAGTCTTGTGCTACATGCTGAGATGGTCGACACTCAGCTTACTGACCTCTTCTCTCAGCAATTCCGTCAGTGAAGTGTTGATTCCCGATTACCTATGTGGTTTTCAAAGCTCCTAGTCCTTTCTTCCCTTGGTAAGTTAGGGGGATTGGTACTGAACGTTAAATCAGAGCAACCAGGCTGTTCTCCCTTTACCGCCTTCCAGCGTGTCTGTCGGGGAGGGTTTCGAAGCTGGGGCTGTCCAGATAAGGGTCTTAGACTTTAATTCACTGGGGCCACCTGGTAAATCGCGGGGTGGCGGGGCTTACTTGCCTAACTGCGTCCTTTTGCTTGTCAAAAGTTGCGGCTGAAAACCACATTAATTTGGGACCGCCCACTCCCTTGAGTTTTGGAGTCTGCATATCGGGAGTTGGTGCTTTCTCCTGTCCTCCTTATGTTTTGCGACCTCACGGTTGTAGAGTTCACACAGGGTAATCTGCGGCCCGCCTCCAACCGTGGGATAATGCATACTGTGAGATAGGATAAGTTTAAAATTTTGGAAATTTTAACCATAAATTGTATATTTATATACTTATCCTATCTCACGCGATGGATGCCCACCCGACCTACCCTACATCTCAGAATACTTGACGCTCCAAGACGAGAATGACAGGCACAGAACATTATGTGATCATCTGAGCGATCTGCACGCTTATTGAGATGATTGACAGGTACTGCTATTGGAGTGGGGCAGAGGTCAGGTGGTCAGAGGTCAGGAAGTTTTGATTCAATTTAGCCTACAGCACGTTTCCACACGTGGTCGTAGAAGAAGAAGATAGGTGCATACCGTGAGATAGGATAAGTATATAAATATACAATTTATGGTTAAAATTTCCAAATCCCAGGTATATGCCTGGTTATACTTGTTTCTGGATTTACTGTTTTAATGGTATTTTGAAGAATACATATTGCAGATACTTACCAAGTAAAAATCAAATGATGGTTCTCCTTGCTTCAGAGCATCTTTGAGGAGCAGCTGAAGAAACATGACAAGCTGGTGACTCTGATTCAGCAGAACCTTGGGGCCCAGGACAACATCCTCCGAGCCCTCACCGATACCAATGCCAGATACGCCACTATTAGGAAGGCCACCAGTGAGTCTATTGCCAGGTAGGTCTGTCATGGCAATAAAAATGCCAGAAAATTGGTATAATCCCAGATCAACAACTGGTATGATTCTACCCCTTAGCACAGTTTCATGATGACCATGTATTCTCCACAGACGTGATGCCCGGATCAGTGAGCTTATCAAGTCATATGAGGTGTACGAGGATCTTATGGGAAAGTCTCAGAAAGGTCTGGAGTACTACAAGAAACTGGAGGAAACGGTCGGGCGCATCTTGACTCGGTGTCGGTCTGTGTGCAAGGTACAGCAGGAAGAGAGAGATCAGATCACAAAGAGATTTGCTGCCAAAGGTCAGTACTATGACAGTCATGCTTAAGATGGGGATGGAAAGGTTCTGGCTACCTGATGCTGATGGAAGAGACTTGTCTTGAACTACAGATAAATTGACATTAAGGACATAACATGGTTCAAGTGTATTACTTTATAGTATATGTGTTTGGTGTTGTCCTGAATCCCTGTGTTGTGTTTTCCAGAGGCCCCATCAAGGCCAGCAGCACCAAAACCAGCATCAGCTCAAATCCCTGGCCCAGCTCCCGGCCCAGTGCCCGGCACAGCACTACCGGGTGAAACAACTTTGCCTTCCTTTGAAGGTCCCAAACTGCGAGATTATCTCCCATTCATGAAACCAGCAACATTTGGACCCAAATCTACAGACCGAGGTCCTCCAGACTCTCCAGGAGATCATGTCCCAGGTGGATCCCTACCTCCCAGTCTCTCGGGATCTCCAGTACACCAGAGAGGGGGATCTCCCCGGAGCAGTCCCGCAAGACAGGTTCCTGCAGGTGGAGGTCCTGCTGGAATAGATTACTCAAGTCTTCCTCCAGAAGTGGCTGCCCAGCTGGCAAAACTTCCTGCAGGCTTCTTCAACAAGCTCAAAGATGGAGGGGGTCCTGATGCTACCGATGGTCTTCGACCCCAGCAGCATCCCACTGTGCCTAGTGTCCCCAGTGTCCCAGACACTGGCATAGACCCCAACCTACCTCCAGAGATTCAGGCCCAGTTGGCCAAGCTTCCTAAAGGGTTCTTCAGTCATATGAAGGGCAGCCATGCTTCTGGAGGTGTTAGTGATAACCAGCCTTCTTCCCTCCCTCATCTACCAGTGTCTGGGTATGGAGCTGCAGCAAACATGGGTCAGAATTATCATGGTTCTTTGCCCAACATGACTCAGCTTCCCCAACATCCAGCAAGAAGGTTCGATAGCACTAGCACTGTCTCATCCGTGGAAACACCAGTTATCTCCCCTACAAAAGGCCCACAGGGTGATCCTAATATTCACCAACACACCCATCATGGTGGACAGGGTGGAGAATTCTCGGCAGGACAAGGACAGCCTCATCATCAAATGATGGCACAGTATCAAAATAGAAACTTACAAAGTCAGTATTCTGCAGATCAGATGTTGCCATCTGTTGGTCGTGAACCAAGCGCTATGTCACCTCACAATATTGGACAGTTGGGCCAATCAAACACAGCACAACCAGTTTCCCAATCTCATCCAGGAATGCAGCATCAGGCACATCATGGCCTCCCACAGCAACAATCTCAACAGCCTGTGGTTCCCCAACAGCAGCCACAGCAGCCTGCTCCTGCCTCTTCTCCTCAGCCTGGTCAGTATTCAGCCACAGGTCCTCAGAGTGCACCTCAGCAAACCCCACAATATCAATATCAGCAGCAGCCTGGGAACCAGTTTCAACAAGGTTATCAGCAGTTCCAGCAGCCAGCTGCAAGCCAGTATTACCAGACACCTGGACAAGGAACAGCCAACCCTAGTCAAACAAGGACCATTCCTCCTAACCAGGCTGCTCCATCACAAACTGGTTATGGTAGTCAGCAGTACACCTCATCATCCCAGTCTCACTATGGATCCCAAGTCAGTGGAGGTCAAACTTCACAGACACCTAGTGGTCAATCCTTTCCTCAAAATCAAACATATCCTGTTAATCAAACCCAGCCTGGTTCTCAACATGGGAGAGTTCAGATGCAGACATCCATGACGCAAGGTCCGGCTAATGTTGGACCTTCTCAAACAGTATTAGCACAGCAGTATCAAATGCCTAATGTGCAACAGCAACCAAGTGTTCAAGGAGGTCAAAGAAATGTGCAATCTTGGCAGGGCCAGCCAGGCCAACCACCTGTATCACAGACTCAGCCACAGCCTAATGTTAATTATGGTGGACAGATGCCAAATACTGCACAAGCCAAATGGCCACAGAGTCAAAGTCAGCTGCCACAGCAACAACAACAGCAGCAGCAGCATGTGCCAGCCCCACAGCAAGTATATCAACATTATCCAGGACAGGCCTCTACCCCATACAGCCAGGCAGGGTACAGCATGCAACAGCAACAGCCAACTATTGCCAGCTCACAAACATTCGTTCAATCTCAGCAGCCTGGAGTTGCAACTTCCTCTGGATATTACTCTCAGCAGCAGCAGCAGCATCACCAGCAGCCGCAGTCCCAGCAGTCTACAAACACTTATAATCCTTCGTTCCATACCCAGCAAACCCAACACACAAGAATGCCATCACAGACACAGGTGTATCCACAGTCTGCAAATCAAGCCCCTCAGCAATACCAGACTCAACCTAGAGGTCCTCATCCTGTTCGTCCCCAAGCCAATTACCCAAATGTCCAACCAGTTCAGTCTGCCACAGGGCAAATCCAGCCTCAGAGTCAAGGATACGGAATGCAGCCAGCTAATCAGCAACCACAGCAACAGATGATGAATCAACAGATGCATTTCCAGCAGCCACAGACTTCCGTTGGGCAGTATCAGTATAACAAACAAGGACAGACTTTACCCAACACATATTCCACCCAGCAGGGTGTACCTGGGCAACAAAGTCCACAGATGAGCCAAGGCCCATACCCTCAACAACAACCAGTGAGACCACCTTCAGGTGGGTACACTCAACCAGCTACCCAACCTCCCATGTCATACCCAGTAAATCAGAGAGCACCTGCTCCTCAAGGCTTCAACCAACAGATGATTCCACAGACAGGACAGACCAACCAACTGTCCAGATCACAACCGCAACAGCAGATGCAATACCAGCCTGTTCTGCAACCAACCCAAGCAGCAGCTATGTCAAATCAAGTGTCTGGTAGCTCTCAGCCAACTCCCCAATCTCCTGTAACTCCTCATCCAGTTCCCCAGCAACCTACTTCCAACACATCTGTCCATCCTGCTCAACCTCCTCAAGGTGCTCTTGCACAAACTCCTTCCCTCCATCCTGGTCAGCAACAGAACCAAGGTCTGGTCAATCCTCCGAACCTGTCCAGACAGAGCTCCTCCCTGGATGAGATTCTTTCATCCAGTCCAGAGAGTGCCAAAGACTCATCTATTCCTGCACCTGTGATTGCCCCCAAAGTGTTAACTGCCCAGGAGATTCAGCAGCAGAAGGAAGAAGCTAGGAAAAATAAAGACATTTTTGAGCCTCCAAAAGAGCCTTATTCTTCTGGTTGTGAACTCAATAAGTTTGTTTCGGATGTGGAAGCGTTTGGAAAACTTGTTGATGAACTTATGATGGCAAATGTGATGGGTCAGACAAAGCTCGATTTCATGTGGAAGGTAAGGATGTTTGTTACCAAACATTTTCTCTTCCTCCACAATAATTGATGAACTAACCAGTATTCCTGAATTTATATTCATTGGGTTTTTGGTTCCTGGAATTAATCAGTCTGAACATAATTACCACTTATTGCAGTTAAGTCCTTTGAAGGATGTGGAGGTGCCATTTCTTTTAGCTCACATGGCCATGCAGATTTGTTTCCTCTTTATTCAATGTCAAGACTCTTGTAAGTTTAGCTGGGATTGTATTTAATGTTTTGTGTTTTATGTTGAAGGAGCTGTCAGACCACCAGGAACAAGAAGGCAAAAAACATTCCATTGCAATAGCTCGATGTTACCCCATGAAAAATAGAGACCCAGATATTATGCCATGTAAGTAAAGGCCTGTTACTAGACTGTTAAATGTTTTTTTGTATCTTAAAGGATTAAGAAATGACATGCTTAAACTTGATGTACAGTTATAATTATTTGGTAGTATAGACAAGGCACACTTCAAATGACAATGGCATGCCTGAACAAACAGGTTCATTTTAATGGATAGGAATTTATGTAAGTATTGAATTTTTAAGTATACACGGTATAAGGTTTACTTTGAATCTCTGCTGTAACTATGTATTTTTCCTTATCCTGACTCATGCTAAATGCTTGTCTCCTTCTTGCGAATGATAGTGGAACACTTGAAATCCCTTGAAGTTCCCTTTTAAAAAGCGGACGTATAATCATCACTCACCCACGAGTAGTCTCCCTTGCCTCCTTTGGCGCCCTTTTTGGTCACATGACCAGCCATGTTTGTCACTCTCTCCTTCTTCGCCCTTGAGGACGGTTGTGAGAGCACCTGGGTCCCTATACGGCACATATCCTTTTCTATTTTGGACCTTTTCCATCTAAATGGCAGCTATATACGGTTTTTGGATTGTATATTATCAAATGTTTTGATATTATCATACTAATTTATACGTTGTTTGCCATGTTTTTCATCTGGTTTACAATTGATGAAAACTTGTATTTGTTGTAGGTACCGGCTGTCTGTGGCTGACCCGCATATGTTATGTCCTGATTGCACTACTACATGTTCTTCCAGCTATCGCTGTAAACATTGTCAGAAACTAACTACTTTTGAATTTAATAACTACCTTTTTTCTCTTCAAGGACTGAATAAGAAGGTATTCACAAGTCATGTCTGGTAAATCAAGTGATTGCGCTGATAACCATGTGTTAACTACTGCTGCCGATGTTCATATTCCAGTGAATTGCCGAGCGGTTTACGAGGGAAGGTTGCTGTTCCAGTGATGAACTCCGTCTTGAATAAGTAGAGATCATCATCAACGGAGCTGTCCTCATCTTCTTCAGTGCAGAAGAAGAAGTCTACAGCTCCTAAGACCTAGTCGAAGTCTCTTCACAGCTGTACGCAGAAGACGAGATCCTTCACTGCCGATATTGTACCTCCGTAAGAAGCAGACGTGTATGATGATCCCCCCCATCATCATACCTGAAGTCACAGTCGTCAGCAAGAAGACGAAGCCTGCTTCAACAGCTACATCGGCAACTATATCAGCGCAGACATTGACAGAAGAACTTCTATCAACGCAGACATCGGGTACCAGAGATAGCAGCAGCGTCAACTCTTCACAAGTGCAGCGTAGCTTACAAGAGGCCTCAACGTTCTCAGAAGCATCATCAACCCTGCAGCAGTCTCAACAGACATTCAACGCAGAACTTCAACCTGGGGCTGTTTATGCAACAGTTTACAGATCAGATGATGTCGCTGATGGAACGTCGCTTCATGCAGGAGGAAGCTGCTACGAAGACCACTATGACGACTACAAGCCTGTGTGAAGATTCAGCAGCCTCTCCAACGCACCTGGATGAAGAGGAAAGCCTGCGCGAACGCGAACGCCCACGCACCTGACGATCTTCAACGACTAAAGCTAGAAGTCTGGACAACGCTACAAACGTCAGTTCAGCCTTAGACGTCCCCGAAGAAGCCTCTAAGATTCTCCACACAGTAGCAGATTGAAGCGTTCTCCAGAACCCTACAGACGCCACAGATATGGATCGTCATCACCGTCGGACTCAGACTCACATCGGGAACCTGCACGCAGGCACCCCACATCTCACAGGGGGGAGATTACGTCAATCAGCCTTCGTGAAGGCTTAGAGAGATGTCTCATGACTCCAGGAGGAATACACGGTCACACCAAGACCGTTCACCTGCACACAGCTCTACATACAGATCTATATACAGAGACTCACGTCATTATGGATCTTCAGATAGGGAAATGTCCAACTTCATCGTCTGAAGTTAGAAGTCTGGAGAACTCTACTAACATCAGCTCAGCATAGCAGACCCCTCCGATGACAGTCGCCCTGCGCGAAGGAATATTAGCTATACAAGCTCTCTCGGATGAAGGCCTGCACGAACTGTTACGTTTGCAAAGATCTTTACTGTCAGAAGTATCAGCAGTTAGAAGCCTGGAGGATTCAACGTACGCCAGATCAATTCTAACCCGGTTCTTCACAGGTCCGATTCTGACATGAAGTAACATATGAAATGAAAGAAAGTGAAAAGGAGGGTTAATTGCAAGCTTATTGATGTATCAAAAGTGATTAAGAGTTATCTGATAGAACAATTTGAATGCCTACAACCAAAGCTTAGACGTAGTTATCGGCCATGAAGCATAGTTTTCAAACACTTTTGGATAATGTTATTTCATCAAATATTTTAGGAGTGTGAAGCTTTGATTGACCCTATCATTGAAATTCTATTCCTATACTGTATTAAACATTAGACAACAAATGATTTGTTTGGATTTCATATCAGTACAAATTTAGTCTTCCAATAAGTATATGTAGTTAAACTACAATGGTGGCCATTTTGAATTTTGGGTAATATGTAAACATTCCTAATAATATGCCGTCACTCTAGAAGTAAAGAGAAACCAAAAACAACTTGTTTTAGTAACAAAAATAATGTTAACTGCAATTAAATAAATCACTCTCACATATTTCCATGAAAAGTCGGAGAATTGCAAAAATACCCCTGTCTCAAAGAATAAGCTGTAAAACATTAAATTACCAAGCTATGGCCATACAATATGACTTGTTTTGTGCCCAAGCCATCACTCTAGGAGAAACAAGTGTCAAAACACATCAAAAGTATCAACTTTTGATGTAAATGGAAACATTCAGTGTTCATTTTTATGTAAATTTAAGTGCTGAGAAGGCTAAACACGACAAAACAAAATGGCGGCCATTTTGAATTTTGTTTCAAAACAAAATTATGTCAAATAATTTCTACACCCTTTAGCAGTACACAGAAGTCAAAATGAAAGTGATCAGATTGATAGTAGTAAAACTATTAATGATTAACTTTGAGGTGTTGTCAGGCAGCAAACCAAATGTGACGAAAATGCTCGCAGACCCCCACCACATATAATGGCCTGTAAAAAAAAACTGATACCACAATCTGAGAGTATTACAGGCCTTTTCATGAGCCCAAGACATCATACTAACTGAAAATAGTGTCAAACAAAATCAGTACTGTGGAGGCTACGATTTGAAATTTTTCAGCTGCCTCCTCCTGGACTACTTCATCATACGGAGCCCTTCATGATACATCAGGGTTTGAGATTACAAGATCATCAGTGAATCCCGTAATAGATCTTTAAGATAGAAGATAACGCAACTGGACACTACAACTAGATGTTGGCTCTGTTGGATCAACGCGTGGCTGAAGGAAGAGACGCACACCTGAACTAACGATGTCAGATAACATCCGATGAAACACTTAAGATGAAGTTTCATCACATGGGCTTACAAAATATCAAGGGGACAGTTAACAGCATTGTCGCAGTTCCTCAGCGAGACATCGGTTACGGTCAACTGTACAGAACATCTGTATAAGATGACGACTGCAGTAAAGATTATAAAGTTGAAGAATACAGTAACAACAGACAGGGAATAGTCTGCTTACATTGGTACTACGCGACAAAGTTTTCGCGCGCTTCCACTCAGCCATCTAGACATGTGTTCACTCGTGTAACTCCGGCACAAGCCGAACAGAGAGGTAATGGACAAGGCCGAGTGTTGACGAAGAAATCAACGACTGCACAAGATTCTACGAGGATCATTTACCTGCAACACCGGTGACGTCACTGTCTTTCAACGTGGGAAAGGCTCCATTTACAGTCCAGTTACCAGGGTACAGCGTGGTTCGACTATCTTCACGGGTCATATAGGACTTCCCCTGTCAGCAGATTTAATATTGGTTATCTGGGGACTTGCAGCGACAAGCGTTTGACAGTTTCTACTCGCGGCAGCCAGTTGACTATAAATAGACTTCACATCGATGGCAGTCCCAGTACATCATAGATTTTTGCTGATCTAGAGACGACGTATTATGCATCATTGCTGCACATTGTTCGGATTCTGGTTACAACATCTTCATTACATAATACCGGAAGATTGATGAGACAAGCTTCAAGCCATGATTCCAGAATCAATCATCTCTTCGCTTCCATGACGGACATGGCAAGGGTTCCTAGATCCACTTGCCTACAACGTAGGACATGATTGCAGTAGATGGCTAGTAATCTCCTAATCGGAGTTGGAACCAAAACAGGATCTTCAATTCTGGGAATATGGCTCATCACACCACAGAATCACACGGTCGTCTCAGAGGATTGTTGGGTCAAGATACAACATATGATATCTCAAGCAATGCTCTATCCGTTGACACTATGTGCTTGGCAAAGCATGCTCGGTCTACTCACCTCAGCTCAAGACATGACTTGCAGAGGGAGACTACAACTGTGCCCACTACAAATATTTGTGAACGCCCATCTCGACAGTCTGGATCCGCTGATTCTACGGAAGAGCGTGAAACCATACCTCTTATGGTTGACTCTGAAGTCGAATGTTTACGGAGGAACCTTTTTGTCAGAGCCGGTTTGCAACACACATCTCTACATAGATGCATCGCTACAAGGATGGGGTGCCCACCTTGACAACGAAGTGGCAGCAGGGAAGTGGTCGAGTCAGGATCAGAGTCTGCACATCAACCTGTTGGAGATGAAAGCAGTAATCAACGCTTTACAACACTGGTCCAGCGTACTACTACTACTACTAATAATAATAATCTACTTCTATAGCGCCGAGTTCCAGCTAGGCTGCTCACAGGCGCTTGTGCAGTTCAGTCTATTTCATTTCAAATAGATGTGTCTTTAAATGTTTTCGAAAAGTTTGTAGACTTGGGGCGGATTTTAGCGACATAGGGAGGTTGTTCCATAGCATGGGAGCTGCACATTCAAAGCAACGGTCCCCGTATTTGGTCCTGGATGGTCTGGTGATAAGCAGATCTTTATCTTGTGATCTAAGGGTTCTTGTTGGTCTATGGTTGTTTAGAAGAGATGACAAGTAAGATGGAGCAGTGTTGGTCTTCAGGCACTTGTAGATAATGGTAAGCACCTTGAATTTTATGCGTCTGGCAACGGGTAGCCAATGCAGTTCTCTTAACCTGGGGGTGATGTGGTCTCTTCGAGGACAACGAGTTATTATCCTGGTGGCTGTGTTTTGTATAACCTGGAGTCTATGAACCAGGGAAGCTGTTATCCCAAACAAAAAGAGCGCAAGGCTCATGGTCCACACGGACAACTCCACAGTAGCGTTCTACATCAACAAACAAGGATCAACAAGATCAAGAAGTCTGCTACAACTCAGCTTTCTCCTGTTCAGCATCGTTGGCGACCTGAACATCTACATGAAGGCATGCCACATTCCAGGAGCAAATGTCATATCAGACACCCTATCTCGTCCACTTCAACCATCCCCAACGGAGTGGATGTTACACCACTGATAGACCTGTTTGCAACAAAGTTCAACAAGCAACTACCAACATTCGTCTCCCTGATTCCGGATCCTCAGGCATGGGCAACAGATGGTTTAAGCATCTCATGGGAAGGACTAAACGCTTATGCGTTTCCACCTCCAGCACTACTACCACAAGTAATACAGAAAATCAAGCAGACAACAACGCTGCAACTGATTTTGGTCATGCCCCATTGGCCAGCGAGGGTATGGTTTCCCGTCCTCATACAAGAATTCGTAAGTCCAACCCTGAAACTACCAGAGTGGTCAAACCTGCTTGTCCATCCACACACCAAGCGAGCTCACTGGAATCCGGCATTGTTCCAGCTACACGCGTGGTCTGATCAAAGCTTGCCTGAAGACTAGAGGGTAGTCCGCTAGAGAAGCGAAAGCAGTAACACTAGCTCTACGCAGATCAACTCACAACTTGTACGACGACAAGTGGCAGAGATTTGAACAGTATGCAACGAGGAAAGGCTTTACAGCGGTAAAAGCAACCCATCCTCAAGTGGCGGAATACTTGTGTCATCTGCGACAGATGAGACACTTAAAAGGTTCAACACTCTCAGCATACCTGGCTGCTCTCAAGCACAGTTATCACCATGAAGATGGGTGTCAAGTTGACCAAAGTACCAGAGATACTGGGACTACTACGCTCGTTCAAGTTGGAAGACCAACAAAAGAAATTTAAGGCTCCTGCCTGGGATCTGAACATAGTTCTACATCATCTCACCAGTGATGCCTACGAGCCTCTAAAACGGACATCCTTTGAACTACTGACTCAGAAAACGCTGTTCCTGATCGCCCTAGCAACAGCAGCACGGATGTCAGAAATACATGCTCTTGACTTTGAACGAACACGATTTGAATGAAGACATCGTACATCTAGGACTTAGATGGGATTTTATTGCCAAGAACCAACTGCCCGGCCAGCCTGACAGACAGTTCCACATCCCAGCACTCTCTACAGTCCTTGGGCCACAGGATACACAGGATCTATCCGTATGCCCTGTCAGAGCATTGAAAGTCTACCTACAAAGGTCAAAAACAAGGAGACGAAAATTCAAGCGCCTATTCATCCCTTTATCCACTGAGACGCCCACAGAATGGAGGGCTGCTTTTGGGAATCAGACACCTCAGAGACATTGCCACCGAAGACGTCTCAGGCATTCACCAGTTTGGGCCACTTGTTGTAGCACAACAACTAATGGTTCCACAAAGTCGCTGAGAAAAATCTCACCCTTTTATCTGGATAACAAATGGTTACAGTCCATGCACACGTCTAGGACAGACTAGCATGAGTGATAGACCCTGTACTTGTATAGGACTTACTCGTACATGAAGAAGGGTCACATCTCCACTTGATGCACGCATCAAGAGATGGAGTTGCAATAGATAACTAATGGAACATTAGTATATCTAAAAATCCACATGAAAATGTCAGGAGAAGTTTCGGAAGAAATCTGACAAATTGTGGTTCCCCTACCCCTAGACTCATCAGAGGAAGTTGAAAGTACAGAATCATCAGCAGTGCCGTCATAAGTTCCCATGGGGAGTAATACAGGACGTAAATCAACAGCCAGAGAATCCAGAAGTGGCCTGACACACCACCGAATCCAACGGATTCTGCAAGCATTTAGCATGAGTCAGGTTAAGGAAAAATATGTAATTTTCTGACTAAAATTGATATTTTATACTTATTCTGACTCATGAGGTCAGCCCTCCCAACCTCCCCTCTTATGGCACTCTGGATTTCCCTGTAAATCCGGGTGTCGGGCATACATACGGAGAGAGTGACAAACATGGCTGGTCATGTGACCAAAAAGCGCGCCAAAAGGGAGGAAAGGGAGACTACTCGAGGGTGAGTGATTTTACGTCCGCTTTTTAGAAGGGAACTTCAAGGGATTTCAAGTGTTCCACTATCATTCGCAAGAAGGAGACAAGCACTTAGCATGAGTCAGGAAAAGTATAAATTATCAATTTTAGTCAGAAACTTACATTTCTGTACGTGTTTCAGATGATGATACCAGAGTGATGCTGTCAACCCTGAAGGATGACTATATTAATGCCAGCTGGCTCAATGTATGTCCACAATACACAGTATAGATGCTTGTGTTGGTGTTATCTTGATAAAGAAGGTTCTATTTCTCTGTTTTGAGTCCATTAAGGCATTATGGAAAGAGATAAATAACTCTTTAGGCTGTGTATATTGTCAATATCACAGAACTAAACAGTTGAATGGGTTTGGATTTTTCAAACAGCCATGATCTTTGCATTCCTAAAGGCTAAAAAAGAATAGAATATTTAGTATCCAGTAAAGCTTTACCTATTTGAGGTTTGCTTGCAACAGTGCAAATTACTTTAATCACTACTGATGTTAGCTTTTATTGAACAGATTGTTAACATTAGAAAACTTTCTTTGCTTCACTAAGGACCTGGCTCCATCTTGTCCCAAGTTCATCGCAACCCAGGCCCCCATTCCAGTGACAGTCAATGACTTCTGGGTGATGGTGTACGAGCAGGGCATCGAAGTCGTCGTGATGATCACCAGTGAATATGAGACGGGGAAAGTGAGTAATTAAGCCATACCGAACTAGTAACTGCAGACATCTGTTTGGTGGTTGACCTGAAAGGCAGTTGATGTCATTGATCCGGACGTCTGTTCAGTCAGCTTGTAACAAACACTGGAACACCCATACTTGACCTTACTGAGAAACAAGTACAGGAACTGAAACGCGTGGAATACAAACTTCCGTATCTTTTTCTGAAAGACATGCTCTTTGCTTTAAGATATTGTTTGTTTGTTGTTTAACGCTGCACTCAGCAATATTCCAGCTATATGGTTATGGTCTGTAAATAATCGAGTCTGGACCAGACAATCCCATGATCAACAGCATGAGCATCGATCTACGCAATTGGGATACAACCAACCAAGTCGGCAAGCCTGACCACCCGATCCCGTTAGTCACCTCTTACAACAAGCATGGGTTGCTGAAGATCAATTCTAACCTGTATCTTCACAGGTTTTTGCTTTGAGACAAGATTATACATGTTCGCCACAATATTGGATTGCATTACAAAAGTACATATGTGTCGGTAACTACAGGTCTCTGAAAATATTGAATGTGTGTGTCTTCTCAGAAATACCCCTGCTACTGGCCGACAGAGAAAGGCAAGCAAGTGGAACATGGCCACGTGATACTCAACATGCAGAGCGTCAAATACAAGGAGTTGTGGACAGAGAGGATAATCCACATCAAACATTCCGAGGTAGGCCCAACGTCTAAAGGTGTCTGTCATTCCTAGTGAGTGAGCATTGTTCCTGATGAGTGATTTAGTGGATGGGTTTTCAGTGAGAATTGATCCTGTTTGGTTTGGGGCATCAGTCCTAGTGAGAAGCCATGTTGGAAACTAAACATGAATGTGGATGGCGTCCTTGTCACAACCTTCTGGTTGACTGTGAGAATTTGAAGAGGTTACTTGTTCAGGTAACCAAGTTGCAGGCATCCATGACCCGTCTTACATTCAAACAGTGGCAAAGTAAATGCAAGCCCAAGATTACATGCACATATTAGTGTTGGTAACCATGGTAACACAGTCATAGAATGAAAGTACTAAATTAAGGAGTGGAGGTCGGCAGAAACTTTCAGGAAGTTGAAATATTAAGGGAAGTGCTGTCAATTGAGAGTTTTCCTAGAAGAATGATGATTATTATATGATTACTATAACAGTGTGATTGTAGTGTTGCTGCTGTGTATATTGATGTTGATGTATGATGTATCTACTCTACATCCCATCTGACGTGCTGTTCCTCCACAGACTAAACAAGGGCGCACTGTGGTACATCTGCAGTACAAGAACTGGCCTGTCAGGTGAGTAGGCAGTAGTAGAGCAGTTGGGGTTATGAACAACAGCACAAGGGATGATTAGGACATACTGAATGACATAGAATTCAAGTAGATTCACAGACAGAGGTTTCATTGATCTTTTTAGACGGCAGGCTAGGCTGAAGAAACAGTCATTGTTTCCACACACTTGACAACACAGTGACAATTTGCACACACTTGACAACACAGTGACTATTTGCACACACTTGACAACACAGTGACTATTTGCACACACTTGACAACACAGTGACTATTTGCACGCACTTGACAACACAGTGACTATTTGCACGCACTTGACAACACAGTGACTATTTGCACGCACTTGACAACACTGTGACTATTTGCACACACTTGACTACACAATGACTATTTGCACATACTTGACAACACAGTGACTATTTGCAAGCACTTGACAACACAGTGACTATTTACTCACACTTGACAACACAGTGACTATTTCCACACACTTGACAACACAGTGACTATTTACTCACACTTGACAACACAGTGACTATTTACTCACACTTGACAACACAGTGACTATTTCCACACACTTGACAACACAGTGACTATTTCCACACACTTGACAACACAGTGACTATTTGCACACACTTGACAACACAGTGACTATTTACTCACACTTGACAACACAGTGACTATTTCCACACACTTGACAACACAGTGACTATTTGCACACACTTGACAACACAGTGACTATTTCCACACACTTGACAACACAGTGACTATTTCCACACACTTGACAACACAGTGACTATTTACTCACACTTGACAACACAGTGACTATTTCCACACACTTGACAACACAGTGACTATTTACTCACACTTGACAACACAGTGACTATTTACTCACACTTGACAACACAGTGACTATTTCCACACACTTGACAACACAGTGACTATTTGCACACACTTGACAACACAGTGACTATTTCCACACACTTGACAACACAGTGACTATTTCCACACACTTGACAACACAGTGACTATTTACTCACACTTGACAACACAGTGACTATTTCCACACACTTGACAACACAGTGACTATTTACTCACACTTGACAACACAGTGACTATTTCCACACACTTGACAACACAGTGACTATTTACTCACACTTGACAACACAGTGACTATTTACTCACACTTGACAACACAGTGACTATTTACTCACACTTGACAACACAGTGACTATTTACTCACACTTGACAACACAGTGACTATTTACTCACACTTGACAACACAGAGACTATTTCCACACACTTGACAACACAGTGACTATTTGCACACACTTGACAACACAGTGACTATTTACTCACACTTGACAACACAGAGACTATTTCCACATTACTTCATCTGTGCCTATTTTACAGCGGATTTCCTGAAGATGTCTCACACATTGTCAAGTTCATCGAAGAAGTCCACAGCTTCTACAGACAACAACGAAGCTTAATGAAACCTGTCATGGTGCATTGTGGGTAAGCTGAACTCCACTTTCAAAGGGAAGATTTATGTAACTGAGCAACACTATACAAAAACAATTGTAATGCAGATCATATACGGTATGTTACTGTAAATAATCCGAATTTTGAAGACCAAAAAAGCAGCCTTTAGAAGGGGGTCGGCTCATCTATGGTAACACTTTTGTCAAACTTTTAGTTAGTAGGCTGTAGGCATGGCTGACCTGCCCAGTTTAATTGTTTGTCCAACTAAATCTCCTAATAGAAAACTATATCAATAAATAATCACAGTACTACATTTCAGACAGACTGTAAATATATTACAGTCTCCCTCCTCATAACCTGGACCTTGGGGTCCATGGATCATTCTTTCATTTAACAGAGGTTGTATAAACTTAGTGCTTGTCAGAGGTCCTTCATTTCCAACAAGGGTCCTTCATTTTGGTGTATATTACATATTTGCCAACAAATGTTTGACAGTCTATATATACTGGACAAAAATAGTTAGGGATATATGTAAATTTTGAAATTATGAATAAAGCTTTATTCATTCATTGACACACTGATAAAATATCAATCTTAAAAATACCAATATTCCTAACTTATTTTGTCTAGTATATATATCTGTTATGTATCTATCCAAACGCAGTGGACCTTGCAAGTAGTTTGGACTTCAGATTCATTTCATCTGTGTTATTGTTTTCTATTCAGTAACGGCATTGGTCGGAGTGGTGCCTTCCTGCTCATATACACTGGCATGCAGGAGATTCTCCATGGCAACAGTTTACCTGACATTCTGGTAATGGCAGGCCGGCTGTTGCAGAAGCGTAAGAATATGATACAGAACAAGGAACAGGTCAAGTTTGCCTATGACAGCATTCTCTTCTTTGCCGAGGAATTTCTCAGAAAGAGTAAGTTCAAATGTATACCCTTCACTGCTCAAATAACTTTAGGTGGCCATTCCCCCATGAGATTCCATGCTAGATATAGTTCACTGTTGGAATTCTTGGATAAAAGTGGTTCCTAATTGGGATTTCAGGATGGAATGGTCCCCTTCAGGATTCTGGGATAGAATTTGATTCCCATGGGATTCTGAGATTGAAATGGTTCCCTGTAGTGATTCTGGGGCAGAACTGGTCTCCCATCGGGATTCCACTGTAAAATTGTTGCCTGGAATTCTGTGCTTGCTGTAACAGGCAACAATATGGTTGACTTGGTTGACACATGTCATTGTATCCCAATTGTGTAGATCGATGCTCGTGCTGTAACTGGATTGTCTGGTCCAGACTCAATTATTTAGAGACTGCTGCCATGTTACCGGGTATTGCTGAGTGTGGCATAAAACTAAACTCACTCATTCACTCCATCCCTGATACTAATTTCCTGAGACCTGAGCAAAAATGGGAATGATTAGGTAATCCTTTACTGATGAGCAATGAAATCAATCTGAAACACAGATGCTATTGATCAGCCATACATCTTGGCTAGTTAAGGAACATTTGATTAATTTTTCGTTATCCTGACTCATGCTAATTATGCTTGTCTCCTTCCTCTTGCGAATGATAGTGGAACACTTGAAATCCCTTGAAGTTCCCTTCTAAAAAAGCAGACGTGAAATCACTCTCCCTTTCCTCCCTTTTGGTGCCCTTTTTGGTCACATGACCAGCCATGTTTGTCACTCTCTCCTTCTTCGCCCTTGAGGACGGTTGTGAGAGCACCTGGGTCCCTATACGGCATATATCCTTTTATATTTTCGGACCTTACATCAAAATTATTGCTGTATACGGTTTTTAGGATTATATTCTACATTAAGGTTTGAAATTTGATCTAATTTTTCCGTTGTTTGACATCTGGTTTCATTGTGTATACATTTGATGAAAACCTGTATTCGTTGTAGGCACCGAGTGTCTGCGGCTGACCCTCATTTGTTATGTCCTAATTGCACTATTTCATGTTCTTTCAGGTCTCGCTGTAAGTTTTGTGTAAATTTAACCTCTGTTAGATTTGCTAATTACTTTTTTTCCATCCATAGACTTGCTAAGGACTGGGTACGAAGGTATTCACAAGTCATGTCTAAATCGAGTGATTGCGCTGATAACCGTGTGTTAACCACTGCTGCAGACATTCATAATTCCAGTGAATTGCCGAACGTTTCTCGGGAGCAGGTCGCTGTACCAGTGGTGAGCACCGGAGGCCATAAGAGATCATCGTCTACTGAGCTGACCTTGTCGCAGATGAAGAAGGCTAAATCATCTTCTACGCAGAAGAAAAAGGCTACTACCATGAAGACTTCATCGAAGTCCATGCTCAGCTCTACGCAGAAGACGAGGCCTTTTTCAGCCGAGATTCTTCCTCCGGAAGAAGCAGACGTTTATAATGATCCACCCATCCTCATACCTGAAGTCTCCATCGTCAGTAAGAAGACGAAGCCTGCTTCTACAGCTACATCGGCATTGTTATCAGCGCAGACATTGACAGAAGACCTTCTATCAATGCAGACATCGGGTACCAGAGATAGCAGCAGCGTCAACTCTTCACAAGTGCAGCGAGTCTTGGATGACGTCTCTTCAGTATCAGATGAATCATCCCTGCAGCAGTCTCTACAGACAACGCAGAACTTCAACCCGGGACTGTTCATGCAACAGTTTACAGACCAGATGATGTCGATGATGGAACGTCGCTTTGCTCAGGAGAAGGCTGCTATGAAGACCTCTACAACGACTACTAGACTGCGTGAAGGTTCTACAGTCTCTCCACTGCATCCGGATGAAGAGGGAAGCCTGCTCGAAGGCCCACGGACACCACGATCTTCCCCATCTGAAGTGAGGAGTCTGGACACCGCTACCAACGTCAGTTCAGCCGTAGATGCTCCTGGAGATTGCTGCTAAGAAGTCTCCACGCAGGAAGAAATTGAGGCGTTCTCCTGAACCCCACAGACGTCGCAGATATGAGTCTTCATCTCCATCGGACTCTGACGCCCATCGAGAACCTGCGCGAAGGCACTCCTACAGAGGGGAAGCTACGTCCAGAAACCCACCTTCACGCACACCTAGAGAATCATCTCAAGACTCCAGAAAAGATACACGATCGCATCGGGATCGCTCGCCTGCTCGAAACTCATCATACAGATCATCCCATACAGACTCAATTCGTCGTGGATCAATAGAGCGAGAGATGTCCAAATCAGAGGAAGTAGGTGAAGGCATATTCTCTGATACGGAAGTTAACTCCTGGATCGCCAATGGCTTGGACTTAGCATCATCTTCTATGGACACAGATGAGGCGTTTACCTACAAGATGTCCAACGATGATTTTGACATGCTCACCTTTCCACCGATCGACCCAATCTCTCAAGTACCAGACAACCTCAGCGCAGCTTTTGATAAAGCCACCAAGTCGAGGGCTGTCAATGAAACACTCATCTCAAAGTTCAAGAACTCCTCCACTGAAGAAGACCGGATGATATACTCCGCTCTACTAATGCAGAAGAGGGACCATCAGTTTATGTCGGAGCACCTAGCATCCACATCAGCGGGCCTGACTCTCCTGAGAAGACAAGGGTTATTGTCAGCGTGCACTTGGAGTGAACGCTTCACCAAGTCCTTATACAGAGCCCCATGGTCAGCATCTTACATCTTTGGAGGAGGAATTGAAGAAGTCGCCAGAGAAGTCTCTCACGACTCAAGGGAGGTTATGATGATTAAATCCATCGACACCTTGGCTAATGTGATTCGTCAGACTGGAGTCTTCCACCCCCAGCCGTTCCTGTACAACCTTCCACAGTGGGTGGACGTCTTCAACGATACTGGGAAAATTGGGGAATCCTACAAGAAGACTACGTGTCCCAGATACTAAGCAGAGGGTACAAGATACAGTTGGAAGCCACCCCGCCACTCACAAGCAACCCGATGGTCTTAAACTATGCAGCCGACCAGATAGAGAAACTGGACGACGCTATCAAGACCCTACTCAACAAAGAGGCAGTAGAAGAGATAGATCAAGATCTCATCACGCCCGGGTTCTACTCCCCAATTTTCCTGGTACCGAAGAAGAATTCCAAGGAGAAATTTCGGCTCATCTACAACATGAGGAAGTTCAACCGGGAGTATCTACGCAGACCAGCAAAATTCAAGATGATACATCTTCCTCAGCTCCGACATCTCGTTCGTCCAGCAGACTACCTCGCCAGCATAGATCTACAAGATGCGTACCTCCACATCCCGATACATCCAGACTCAAGAAAATACCTAAGATTCCTTTTCAACGGACATCACTTCCAGTGGAAGGTTCTACCGTTTGGAATATCGTCGACCCCTGGTTGTGTACTCGAGTGACCAAGCCCATCGCCACATATCTACATCGTGAAGGTCTACACAGTGCTTTCTACCTGGACGACAGGGATTCAAGCTCATCAAGATCCCAGTCAACTCAGACTGCAACTAGACTTCACCATCAGGCTGCTCACTCAACTAGGTTGGCTAGTAAATCTCCTCAAGTCGGAACTGGAGCCTAAACAAGATCTGCAATTTCTAGGAATTCGACTCATCACACCAGTGAATCGCATTGTCGTTCCAGAGGATCGTTGGGTCAAGATACAACAGATGATATCTCAAGCAATGCTCTCTCCGTTGACACTACATGCTTGGCAAAGCATGCCTGAACCTCAGCTCAAGACATGACTCTCTACAGTTGCGCCCACTACAAGTATTTGTGAACGCCCACCTAGACAGCCTAGATCCGTTAATACCACCGGACAGCCTGAAACCATATCTCCTATGGTGGACTCGGAAGTCAAATGTTTGCGGAGGAACCTTTTTGACAGAGCCGGTTTGCAACACTCATCTCTATGTGGATGCTTCCCTACAAGGATGGGGTGCACACTTCAACAACGAAGTGGCAGCAGGGAAGTGGTCGAGTCAGGATCAGAAGTCATATATCAATCTGTTGGAGATGAAAGCAGTAATCAAAGCTTTACAACATTGGACTAACGTACTAAAGAATGCACAACTCATCGACAACTCCACAGTGGCGTTTTACATCAACAAACAATGGTCAACAAGATCAACAAGTCTGCTACAACTCAGCTTTCTCCTGTTCAGTATAGTTGACAACCTGAACATCTACATGAAGGCATGCCAAACAATGTCATAGCAAACACCCTATCTCGTCTACTACAACCATCCCCGACGGAATGGATGTTGCATCCAGAAGCATTCCAGTTCATCATACAGACTATAGGATCCCCACTAACAGACCTGTTTGCAACAAAGTTCAACAAACAGCTATCAACATTCGTCTCTACGATTCCAGATCCTCAGGCATGGGCAACAGACGCTCTAAGCATCTCATGGGAAGGACTAAACGCTTATGCGTGTGTACCACAAGTACTACAGAAAATCAAGCAGACGACTACGTTGCAACTGATTTTGGTCGCCCCTATTGGCCAGCGAGGGTATGGTTTCCCGTCCTCATACAAGAACTCGGAAGTCCAACCCTGAAACTACCAGAGTGGTCGAACCTACTCGTCCATCCACACACCAAGCAAGCTCACGGGAACCTGACACTGTTCCAGCTACACGCGTGGAGCGTATACGTATTAAAGCTTGCCTGAAGACCAGAGGGTACTCCGCCAGAGCAGTGAAAGCAGTTACACTAGCTCTACGCAGATCGACTCACAACTTGTACGACGACAAGTGGCAGAGATTTGAACAGTATACAACGAGGAAAGGCTTTACATCGGTGAAAGCAACACATCCTCAAGTGGCGGAATACTTATGTTATCTACGACAGACGAGTATCTACGACAGACGAGACACTTACTTGGCTACCCTCAGTACAGTTATCACCATGAAAACGGGTATCAAGCTGACCAAAGTACCAGAGATTCTGGCACTACTATGCCCATTCAAGTTGGAAGACCAACAAAAGAAATTTAAGGCTCCTGCCTGGGATCTGAACATAGTTCTACAACATCTCACCAGTGATGCCTACGAGCCTCTAGAACGGACATCCTTTGAACTACTGACTCAGAAAACTGATCGCCCTAGCAACAGCAGCATGGATGTCAGAAATACATGCTCTGGACTTTGAAGGAACACGATTTGAATCAAGACATCGTGACTTTGTACATCTTGGACTGAGATGGGATTTTATTGCCAAGAACCAACTGCCCGGTCAGCCTGACAGACAGTTCCACATCCCAGCACTATCAACAGTCCTTGGGCCACAGGATACACAGGATCTATCCTTATGCCCTGTAAGAGCACTAAAAGTCTACCTACAGAGAACTAAAACAAGGAGACGAAAATTCAAGCGCCTATTCATCCCCTTATCCACTGAGACGCCCACGGAAGTCTCATGGACAATGATATCGATCTGGATGAGAGCCCTTATACTAAGGGCCTTTTGCAGCAGGACTTGAGCCTCCACGAGCCTCCAACCCACACGAAGTCAGAGCCCTGGCATCAACACTTGCTCTGCATGGAAACTGCTCGATTACAACAATAATGGAGGGCTGCTTTTGGAGATCGAACACGGTGTTTGCCAACCACTACCTTTGAGACATTGCCACCGAAGATGTCTCAGGCATTCACCAGGTTGGGCCACTTGTTGTAGCACAACAACTAACGGTTCCACAAAGGCGGTGAGTAAATCTCACCCCTTTTATCACGTGACTTGTGAAAACCAATGCTCTGGAGAGCAATGGCTATAAGTCCATGCACACGTCTAGGACAGACTAGCATGAGTGATAGACTTGTATAGGACATACTCGTACATGAAGAAGGGTTGCATCTCCACTTGATGCGCACATCAAGAGATGGAGTTGCAATAGATAACTAATGGAATATTAGTATATTTAAAATCCACACGAAAATGTCAGGAGAAGTTTCGGGAGAAATCTGACAAGTTGTGGTTCCCCCCAGACTCATCAGACAGAAGTTGAAAGAACAGAATCATCAGCAGTGCCGTCATAAGTTCCCATGGGGGGTAATACAGGATGTAAGTCAACAGCCAGAGAATCCAGAAGTGGCCTGACCCACCACCGATTCTGACGAATTATGCAAGCATTTAGCATGAGTCAGGATAAGGAAAAATTGTAATTTTCTGACTAAAATTGATATTTTATACTTATCCTGACTCATGAGGTTAGCCCTCCCAACCTCCCCTCTTATGGCACTCTGGAATTCCCTGTAAATCCGGGTGTCGGGCATACATACGGAGAGAGTGACAAACATGGCTGGTCATGTGACCAAAAAGGGCGCCAAAGGAGGCAAGGGAGACTACTCGTGGGTGACTGATGATTATACGTCCGCTTTCTTAGAAGGGAACTTCAAGGGATTTCAAGTGTTCCACTATCATTTGCAAGAGGAAGGAGACAAGCATAATTAGCATGAGTCAGGATAAGTATACAATATCAATTTTAGTCAGAAAATTACATTATTGAAGTATAATAGTTATTATTGCTAGTTCATAGTCATCTGATTGATGTGCAGTTTTGATAAAGACAATTTTTGTTTTTCAGGGGATATTTTAGTGAAAGCTCCCCACTTCAGTGGACGAAAGAAGTCGACAGATTCCCATGTCTACCATCCAGACAAAGATGACATAGTTCTTGGATCTGTCAATCTTGAAATCATCAAGAAAAATGTTGGAAAACTTGGTGAAAAACACAGCAGTGATGTGCATGTTGCTTCCTCAAATGGAGACTTACAACAAGGGCAGACAATTCATGAAACAAATATCCCAAGGGAAGACAACTCCATTGGATGTTTGCCAGACTTAATCCAGCAACCATCGAGAAATGAGAATGTTGTGGGCGTTTCTGGTCAGAGCATCGCACAGACAGATATTTCGAGCGGTAGTGGCAGTCCGCAGGTACGAAGCAGATCAGGATCCAATACATCCATCAAGAGCGGAAGCTCCGTCAGTGCATCCCCTTTGAAGGGCTCCCCTCAGCATAAGGCTGAAGGAAAACCTGTTCCAAATTCTCTAGTAGATTTACAGAACCCTAGTACATTCACTCTCGGGACTGCAACACCAGAGAAGAAGAAAATAACGAAGGCAAGTTTTGCCGGAAAACCAGCAGGAATAAAGGAGAATTTGAACAGACCGGATGATCCATTAAGTTCACTGGATCCCTTGTGGTCAATTGGGAAAGAAAAATGATTGGCGTCCTTGACTTCCGGAAGTTTCTGTGTGACCTTGACATTGTGATGAATGTAACGTGATATGGCCACTAATGAAGGATGAATGTTGAACAGTCCTATTAATTTTAACAATTGCTCCTCAGATTAAGATATTGTATCAAAGCCCTGCAAGCACACCAGGATCCTCTAAATGTCCAACCTGTAGTCATGACAACCTTTTATTTGCATTTATGGCTATTTTTCAGTGTGTGAGTGAGATGTATCATCCATCTATGTATGATATACAGACACTGCTTTTGCTGCCTTCACAAATAAACCGGGTCCTTTGTCAAAAGGTGCAAGGAAACTAGTATATATAGTTTACTGGTGCTGACCAATATGGCATCTTTGTTTGAGAGTCTGCTTTTTTCAGAGTACTATATCTCCATCTGGTTTTGAACTATACCATGCACCCATTTGTTTATTTCTGACTCATGGGGCTCTAAAACTAACCATGCAGTTAAATTAATCTCATGTGCAAGAAACATTCTGTGCTGAGTTTTCTAAGTGAGTGAGTGATTATGGTTTTACGCCGCTTTTAGCAATATTCCAGCAATATCAAGGCGGGAGATGCCAGAAATGTTTCTAATGAAAGATAAGGAGATAGTGGTATTGCTTCCAAAAAGAAGCTATGGTGGCCCCAGGGATTAGATTAGAGGTGTAATCCACTGGATCATGCTGAAGTCTTGGTCAGAATAATGAGAATTGGTCATGCATTATCTAACATGTCATGAAATGAAATGAGCCATTGCTCGGCAGATGTGAGTGACCTTGAATGGTTATTTATTAAACATGGCTACAACAAAGGGGAGATGCACAATCGAAATGCTGTATTTACTCTGACAAAATTGGCTACAAATTTCTGTGTGTAACCTTTGGTTTTCCTTCCTATTTTAGATAAAACATTAAACATTGATTATGTTCATATATGATCCTAAAATATTTACTCCAAAACTGTCTGTTGTCTGGCTGTATTTAAGATATATCAGACTTCTGAAGTGCATTAAACATAGTCAATATATATTCTGTTATATAAGAAAGAAAATTCTATATATACTGGTTGTGGCAAGACTTATTACAACTGATGTATCAGATTCTTAGAAGGGCATATATTTTATTCTCTGTCTTTCAGAATATGTAATATTGAACTAGTCAGTGGGATTTTTTGAGAGTGGTTATTGTGACAGATGGGGGAAAACAATGGTGTTTATCTTACTTGTGTCAAAGTATCAGACTAGGACAGCGTCTCAGCCTGTAGTTACAGAATCAGCCTCCCAGACTGATCTTGACAGTGTGATATGAACGATCTTGCTGACAATTGCATCTGTGTGTTTGGTACTGTTGGCGAAAAATGTTTGTGATATTTCAATGTCGGTGTCCCGTTGTGACAAATGGATATTATTGATTAGGACGGTCAGTGTTGTAAAATGATTGACTTTATCATCAAAATGTCACGTAAGGATGTTGTAGACTTCTGCTTTTACCGTACTAGGATTTATATATTTATGATTGATTCCTTTTGCCTAGCATTGAGGAATAACATGGAATAGCTTCACTGCTACCGAGGCTGGTAACTGCAGCCCCAGTTTGGTGGAGTATTCGGATCAGTTTTAGTTAAACTGTTAAAGATATGATAATATCTTTATCATTGATTGAATAATTATGTCATATTATTATTTCTGAAATCACCAAAGTGTTATTCACTTTTCACATCTGTGAGAACATGGTATTTTATTTGGAGTTTGTAGTTAATAAACATTTTTAGGGCCAATTACTTAAAAAACAGCTTAACTATGCCATAGTATTCCAGAAGAAACAGTCTGACCAGAAGATGTGTCTGTGTTGTATTATGATTAATCATTAATGTTATTTGATAATACGAAGTGAGGAGGAAATAGGCCACCCACTGTCCTCATTAGGGTGGATATAGGTCAACTAGCGACAGCATGCGTGTTAACAAAGTATTTGGTCTCATGGAATTTTTCACCAAACTGCTTGAAACAAATACAGCATCAAACTTCAACAATATTGTGTTGAATGCTGAGCATGTTTTTTGTTTTTCTTATTTTTTCAACAAATATTTATTCTTTTTTTTCGCATGAAGAAGTACTACATTCATGACAAACATTGACAGTTTATCAAGTGGGGTGCTTAAGCCTGAAACATTCTTGAAGATTCTACATATGTAATTTTAATCTGTATAATTCATTCCATAGTGTTTCATTGTGGCCTTGTATCCTCTGTGTTGTGTATCATCAGCTTTAAGGAGTTACTCGCAACACGCTCACACCATGCTACCTCCCCAAATACTGATGTCATTTAGTAGAGACACAGCAACTTGTTTCTTTCAGCTTTCCACCAAACATTTGACTTGTACCATTTGCTTCTCTCTCCTGTATCCCGAGATATAGTGGAAATGTTCTGTGACATGTCCCCCAAAAACCCAGTAAAAACATCTCACTTAAACACACCCCTGATCTGGGCATGGGCACTGGCTTGCATGTGACCAGCCGACTTGTCACTTTCTCCATTTTCGTACTGTTCAAAGAGGACAAATAAATAGTTGAGAGCATGAAAGAATATTTTTACTCTATTAGATTATATGACGAAAAGAAGAAAATGCAAGTTTAACCTGTTCAATCAAATTCTGGGGTTTAATTGTATTGACCTCTTTATTTTGCTAAATAATGACAGTGAACAGTTCAACTTTGTGACAGCGTTTTGTTGTTTCATAATGTACTGTGGTAATAGCTGCTCAAGAAGTGTAGCAAATGTTGAAGACGATCACGCAGGCTTGAAAAGTGTTGAGAGAAATGTTTGGGGAATTTATACCCAATATTAAGCAATTATTTGTTATTGAGAATCATCACACAAGAACCTGTTTTTGCACATACTAGTAGATATGTCATTGTATATTCTGATGTTGTGGAACAGACTTAATGTCAATTTTGTATAGATTCAAATTTATGAATGTCAAAATTAAATAATCAGATGTAAACATTTCCATGGCATTTTGTTACAAGAATTAGTATGGTTATGGAAGAGAGAAGAAAATTTATTTTAAACATTTCACATATGAGCCTAGTTCATAATTGGCATTAACTCAATTAATTCCAGTGTACATGGTTAATGTTATCTGAAGACATACACAATACTAGTAATTGATTTGATTAATAAGTTATTTGTCATTATATCAATATATTGTGGTACTTTTTAAAAACTTGAGTGATGTCATTTAAGAATTTTTGGTGTTAACACAATCTTACATAATGGACTCAAATGGAGACGTCCTTGCATGCTTGAGTCAATTCACACAAAAGGGATTGTTGTACACACAAAGTTTGGTTTATTCATTCAAATTTGTACGTTTTTATGTGAAGATACAAACTAGGGTATGTTCATACAAAATGGTTGGTGGACACCCTTATTGAAGCCTGAGCAATATACTCTAAACTGTTTAATAATGCAAGCTTGGGACATAAATCCATTTCAGTCTGTCTGAAAGAGTGTCCTTTAAGAATGATCTGTAATTTACAAAGTTTGGAAGAACTGTGCTTGAAGCTTTGTCTTCCTCCAAATAAATGCTTCTGTTTGTGCAGATAATTGTGCTTTCTCTGGAAGTTAGTGATGGTATGTTGTGCAACGTGTGAATGGTATGCAGGTTATAGATATGATGTTGTGATTGAACAGCCGATTGTGTATTTCATTGTATATTTCATTCAGAAATATGAATTGATACCTGTCGTGTGTGTGCATGGTGTATATTTCATTATTATTTTCTTTTGAGGATTATGTTCAGAACAGTAATTCTACCAGAGATGGGGTCATTAATGCTCCACTCACCTTTAGCGTCTCGGTTGGCTGTGCAGCGAACATACCAGGAGATCCATGAAGATCCGGATTAGAATTGGTCTTCAGCAACCCATGCTTGCCATAAAAGGCGACTAACGGGATTGAGTGGTCAGACTCGCTGAGTTGGTTGACAAATGTCATCGTATCCCAATTGTGTAGATCGATACTCATGCTTTTGGTCACTGGATTATCAGGTCGAGATTTGATTATTTACAGACCACTGCCATATAGCTGGAATATTGCGGAGTGCGGCGTTTAACAACAAACCAACATACCAGGATCCTATTCCGGTGCTAATGGGTTTTCGCAAAAGTGGGAAATGCTTTGACATTCATCATTTAAATGTTTTTGTATTTTTTCCCTGTCAAGTCACCTGCCATGATACTGGTCGCTGATAGAGGCTTTGGAAATATTTTCAGGGAATAAAATAAACCCACATTTAGTACACAGTGCTCATGTGTTTTATTTATACTTGATTTTTGTTAAGTTTGAGGTGCTTATTCAATGAAACAATGTGTCTGTGGAAACACACAGTGAGGGAAGTAGTGGTACAACATACATTATCATGATCTGGACTGGATGATATTTATTCACATAGTGGCAAACAAGGATAAGTTGAGAACCGACCTGACAATTGCCCCGTAATAGCATCTATGAGTGCCACCCACTGGCGCTTGCCATTTTTAGCGAAGGGTCCCAGGTTGTCCGCGATCCAGTGCAGTGCGACTTGCTACACCGACGTGACAGTCTTATGAGCAAGGCATGTGCAGCTACGCGCTTTCATTGTCATGCAATGCACGTGCACTAGCCTACATCTGCTCTACCTTTCACAAACCAAATGGGTTTGCTCATTGCTGTGCACCGCCTACTTCTCGTAAATGTGTTCTCTGCGATGGTCCAACTTATCCTTGTTTGCCAGTAGTATTTATTCAGTATATGTCTAGCTGGCTCAAACTGGTCAATCTGTGCATGAATTTCTGTGTTGTTTAATGGCATTACTAGTAAGAGGAGTTTTGAAAACAATGCACCTTTCCTTCATTAGTAAATAATTCATGTCCTTTGTTAATGATATGAATTAATTCTTGTAAACACTGTTTTAGATTTTCATTCTTCATCCTATGGAGGAGATGCTGAGGGATACAATCAGTTAGTTTTCATGGGTGTAGATATTGATAAGAGGTTTCATTAGGTAGCTGTTCGAAAGTGTTCCTTGTAGTTCGGTGTTATCAATCTAACAGTAAAGAATACTAAGTGGCAGTAAACTATGGAACATCACCAACCCCATCATAGACATGATGGAAGTTTGTTTCCAATAGGCACAGTTGCTCTTGACACCATTTTGTGTATCCATGATAAAAGTACCATTCATTTTCTGGGCACATATATCATGATTACTGCTCTTATTGGTTCACTTGAATCAAACGCTGATAATTGACGCTGCCTAATTTGCATGCCTTGTATCCCCACCTTAGCATCCTCTCTCAAACTTAGAGATTTATTTTACAATTTTTACAATTATTTCCTTGAAACTTTGGACTGCTCTCTCAGACGTTTTTTTATTTATTGACGAATTCCTTTACTGAGGATTTAGTTTTTCATGATATCAGAGTAAAACCCTATTGATTGAGGTAATCAGCTTGACAACGATTGTCCAGTAAGGATGTTGTTTCCCTCACTGTTTCAGAAGCCTTAAAGTCAAAGTGCATGTCAACAGATGACTGGTGTAAATATGCCGACTTATTATTTTTGTTTGTTTTCTGTGACATGTATTATTATTCATTTTAATAAGTTTGCTTGTAATTAACATTAAGTTGATTAGAGGACATGTTCATGGCCAGTGCTTATTGTGTTAAGTTTACTTAATGCTCGTGTAAGTTGCATGGCTTACAACATTGCCACACTCCGATAGCTGGCTCTGTCTGCTTGAAGTAAAAGTTCCTTTGCTATCATTTTCAGTTTCCATTCTGCCCACAACAATCGAACAAGAGATTTCTTTTTAAAATCATTTTTGTGCTGTTGACATCTTTAATGCCCTGTGCTATGAGCCAAAAATGTCTGTCGAGAAACATATTTGATAAACTATTTTGTAACATTGGTGCAGTTTTGGGGTGATCCTATTTCACCCCACACTGCTCCAGTAATCACTGGACAGATATCCAGGGCTTGATATGTACACCAGATGATGTACATATCATGCAAAGACTTGTAGATTTCATTGATGGAACCTTCACTGTATGAAATCAGCAATGCATGTATTCTTGTCAATATCAGTTGTTCATATCATGCTGGCATCATGGCTGTACACCCTCAATTGAAAATGAATAATGTATGGCATTATATATAGACTAGATAACGTGACTCAACTGATTGATGTTGATATCAACATGATATGAAATAGATAACGCTTAATCTGTACAATGTTGTATAAATACTTTATTTATTTGTTACTCTGCTGCATCTCACCCTGATGACATTATCAATAAACTGGAAAATCACAAGACAAAATGTTGGTCTGTTGTCTTTACCTCAGAATGAGCTTTATGGAGGAAATATAAATATCTGTCAGAATGAAACCTTTGTATAATATGTTAGCTTATACAGTCTTTAGTTGGAAAACATAGGCTAACTCAAAATGCCATATGAGTGATGAATAATCTGTCTCACAGTCTCTGAACAATATAATTCTTCCGTCCTGACATTTCGGTAATGCAAAACCCCTAAACGAAGCAAGTCTAGATTTCCGCGGCTTGGGAATACCCATCTCACCGGGAATCGTATTCAGTGTTTCCATCCTACATTTGTAGAGATAGACCGTTAGCCTGACGTTTATAGTTCTGTGTCACGCAGACCCAACAGTTTACAACCATCCACTGTTTATTTACTGCCCTAACTACAATACCGATCTTTTGCTTCTACTTGATGTTTGTACAGCACAGATGTCACGCATGAATAGGATTAAAAGGTTGAGCTTTCACATCAACAGGACCCGTCCAGGACCGTCACCTTACAGAGGAGTACATACAAATACCATGCTAATCCGATCGAAATACGAACTCTCAACAAAGAAAAGCCACAGAGCAAACACCACACCATGACCAATGTACAAAATAGGCTACAAACATTTATCTTTCGTTTCATACCTTGTGGGCAAGCTGGAAGCCTCGCCATAGTGAATAGCCCAATGTCATCTTTACTTCTTAGGGCAGGAAGCTATAACAGATCTATTAGGGAACAGGTCCGAAGTACGCTGGATCAAGTCAACACGCATACATAATTTACAAACACTGGGAACACAGAGGGACTTGGGTGGCATTCACATTTAACACGTGTACAGGGTAACACATGGACTTAAATACGAATTCGAATCTATTATAACCTATTTCATGTCATTCCGGGGCTGTTTGGTTTATATTAACGTATTTATTTTTCCCAGGATATAGAAATAAGATGGCATTATTGTAATGTATTTATGAAACCACCCGAGGGCAAGAAAATAGTATGACCATGAGTAATCATCTTTAGGATATTATATTTTCATGAATGACTATCAACCCAAATCTTAGCAGTGTGTGACATTAATGCCGCTGTGTTACAGCGAGGTCTAAAAATATCCGGGTACTTGTTCGACAGGTTAGGAGGATTTATATTGTTTTCTCAGTGTCAATCTAAATTTAACTCAATCTAACTCTCAATATTGGAATTCACATTTATCATTTTTGGAAGTTAGCCATGATTGTTGCACGCGCCATACATCTGCGTTGTTGGAAACCAAACGTTTTGGCTGATTTTGTGAAAATATGCACATAGAACCAACCGAAGCCAATACCGACAAATATTTGCTTGAGATATACCCTAACAACAAGCTACAACCACACTGAAAGTGAACCGCTTTTCCTGGAAGTCGCTCGGCCATGACATTCTGCCACTCCGTGAATAGAACATTGTGTATGTAAGTAGGTCCCTTCTGACCTAATATTTTTACACTCCTCACTTATTGTGGTATGTTTACTATCAGTCACGTTTTTAATTCATTTGATATAAGTATATCGTCACTTCCAAGTACTTCATATAACTCCACCACTTGGGTCTTAATGGGCCAAACACAGAAAAAAACCAAAAACCAAACGAATATGACTCTCCAGGCGGGTTTTAACATTGGTCCATTTCTCTTTGAAATGTGTACATATTCCGCTGTTGGTACCTTCTTTAGTGAAGCGGCTAAGAGCAAGTTTCCTTTAGAAATGTGCATTTAATGATAAAAGCACAAAAATTGGTGATCATATACAAGAACATGTCTGAAATAATTTCTGATATGGAAGCACATGAATTGTCTGTCCAAAATGGCAGGTAGCAGACAGTTTTTTAGGAATAGTGAACTGTGACCAAAGAGAAGTATGTTTGGTTTTAGCTGATCAATTTCGGCTGAAAATGCACATAATATGTGCAAAAGAACCCTAGCACAATAATACATAAGTTTTGATATTTTGAACAATATAAATTCTAAGTGATGATTCCCCAACTTCATGACTCAAGGGTAAGTGAGGGAGATAATCGAAGTTTGTACTAATTCCAGGAAACATAACTGAACAGCACTTTTATTGTTTAATAGTACAAAACAACAATTATTTTTTGCAATTCAGAGACAATTTTGCCTAATTCGATTTTAAATAAATGTCAAATAAAACATTTTCAATAAGTCTTCTTTAGAAAATACCTTTTCAGCATTATGAAGTTTTTCCAGAAAGTTGAGGATAATAAACTCAATTTATGATCATGAAATATTTTAGTAGAAATTCAGTAGGTATGTTGACACAATAATCTTCTTCACTTACAGGCACCGTGGCAGTTATGATACAATGATCTTCTTCACTTACAGGCACCGTGGCAGTTATGATACAATGATCTTCTTCACTTACAGGCACCGTGGCAGTTATGATACAATGATCTTCTTCACTTACAGGCACCGTGGCAGTTATGATACAATGATCTTCTTCACTTACAGGCACCGTGGCAGTTATGATACAAATGACAAATTACGATATTGCAGTTGGACTTCATGCTTAACACCATAATGAAATATACCCACATCCATTAACCATGCACGGCCCACTTGTATAAAGATGAGTACAAAACACTACATGTTGTTGTATATGTTTTGAAAACCAAATTCCGCGGATAATGTTTTTAATTGTAACACATCTTACTCCGCTTTAACAAATAGAAGCGACAAACGCCTTTTCCACATTCATAAGAAATCTCTGCCAAAAGCAGAGACGATTGTACAACTGTGACTATATCATGAGTATACATTTCAGCATTATTACAGTTGTACGATGTTGTTTGTAAACAAATCGGGCCTGAACCAGACAATCCAGTGATTGTCACCATGCGATACGATGACAGAGCATGTGTTTATGAATCACTATGAAATAGTGATGATAGCAGGTGTTCGCGAAAAGGTGAGCGTATCCTGCCCCACTGTCATAAACATATGTTAAGTCTAATCGTTTGTTCACCAGAAATAATTCGGGAACGTATGGTATAAGTCAAAATAGGGAATTGCATCATTTTTGTCACTGATGCATCAAATTTGGGAAATTTCCTCCACAGCTTTACTATGGCCTTGAATATTGAAACATTGTAATAACTTACTTTCAATCTGAGAAGAATACACAAAAACATATGATTTTCAACAATGACGGAAAGTATGGTCCCCATCACTACCCCACAAATCTGATTGTCGCACAGTTTTAAAAAAAATAGTTGTGATTGTATGGGACCCGTGAAGATACATAAGACATAATTTAGCCAGTCGTTTGCCTGTTCTATCGAATTCAGACACGAAGCAGTCGCAGTAATACCCCGTTACATGTCAATGTTTCCTTGTTTTTATCACAGGATTATTTTATGTATTTCTGTTCATTCAGATAATTACCTAGTTCAGATCCATGTCTGAACGCCGCTGTGATAAAGTTGTAGTTCCCGTGAAGCAACCCGTGAAGATCCGGGTTAGAATTGATCTTCAGTAACCCATGCTTGTCGTAAGAGGTGACTGGCGGGATCAGGTGGTCAGGCTCGCTGACGTGGTTGACACATGTCATCGTCTCCCAGTTGTGTAGATCGATGGTCATGCTGTTGATCACTGGATTATTTGGTCCAGACTATTATTTACAGACCGCCGCCATATAGCTGGAATATTGCTTGCGGCGTTAAACAACAAACCAAGCAACAACCAATCTGACTGCATGAACCACAACAGGCGACCACACCAGTACCAGGTATAGCCATCCCTCGCACTTCTACCATTTGCCAGTCTCCTCCTCATACTGGCAATCAAGCATCGGATTATTAGGATCTGATTCCTTTGCCATTCCACATGAAGTGACTGCTTCAATTTTTCATTTTGAACATTAGGTGCTCCAGCTCCAGCTCGAACTTGGCGTCTAAGGTCGTCCCAAAGATGCATGATGGGGTTCACGTCGGGGCTCCATGTGTGTTCATTCATCGATATCTGACGATTGGCAATGTTCTGCAAATGTTGCACCATGGCTTGAATCCAGTACATGCTGTCCATAACATTGACCATTGCTTGTCCCAGGTACTGTACTGAGATCCAACTTGGAGCCATACGAAACAATGCCACACCATCACCTGGTACTGTGAAGATGCTGTTGAGGTTGTCATACCACACATCCATGCAATGATATGAAATGCCACACGTTTGGATCTCCTATGGGATAGATACAATCTAACAGTCTGAGCCCATCGGGGAACATGTGTTCGGAGTCAGGTCATTGGCACTGCTACTGTATCAGAGTGGAGAAAGCTACAAAGGGAACTTCCCTATATTTCCTCAAAGGTTTTTCATCAGTCTGTCCAGGAACAAGTAGTGTGCAATCCTCAACAACACAATCTGTCTACACTTGTCCCTTGCAACCATCAAGAAGCCGATGGTCACATCATGCTTCATACTACTCATGCTGCACAAAATGACCATGAAAGAATTATGGTGTGAACAGTAGCTGCAGTGCTTGCAGCAACGCTCAATACATACCGTCCCACCAACTCATGCTGCTCTTGTACAGCATTAAAAGGCACGTCATATATGGGGCCAGTCACCTCTACCACGGCCTTAACTCCAACCGAGTTCATCTGGAAACGGCAGGAAAGTGGACACTTCACCAAGCATCAAAGTCTTGCCAGGAGTTCTCTTGTGGCTGCAGAAAGTGGTGCCACTCTGTTGGTGTGAGGGCCAGTGTTTATAAAATTGAATCTCCTTTATGTTTAAGACACTTCACCAGAATATATTGGCCATTATTTGTCTGGTTAAAATTCCCCTTTAGTTCATTGAGGGCCATTCCAAAGCCAAAACAGCAGCCAAAAAAATCAAAGTGGTATTAACCATCTGCGTATGCCCGTGAAGATCCGGGTTAGAATATTGATCTTCAGTAACCCATGCTTGTCCTAAGAGGCGACTAACGGGGTGGTCAGGCACGCTGACTTGGTTAACACATGTCATCGTATTGCGTAGATCGATGCTCATGCTGTTGATCACTCGATTGTCTGGTCCAGACTTGATTGTTTACAGATATATGCGCATGCACAAAATGAAAATATTTTGAGTGCCTCCATATCCTTAAATGTTCACTATGCATCAGTCAATATGCAAGGTTTTATGCTTTTATCATTAAATGCACATTCTATCTGTTCAGCCGCGCCACTACTTCTGGTTTTAATTGTCAGGTCTGATCATACTGCTCAGAAGTAGTTGGTCTTCGTCATTTTGGGGTGCAATATATCACCCTAACAGAAGTTAGCGTCCGTGCCCAAGGATATGTGAAAATGTCTGAGCACATCCACAAAGGATATATTGTATTAAGTACAATACCTTTCATACTTACATGCTACATTGAATCAAATACACACCCACACTGCATACTTCTGCAGCTATCAAAATGACGAGGTATTAGTATCCACAACTGAAATGGTTGACACCAAACGTCGTCAAAGCGTTCATGGTGTCACATTTAGGGGTGATGATAACTCCATTTTCAGTGTTGGGATTGTCTAGTGGTTAAAGCGTTCGCGAGGGCCCGGGTTCGATGCCCCATATGGGTACAATGTGTGAAGCCCATTTTTTGGTGTCCCTAGCTGTGATGTTGCTAAATATTGCTAAATATTGCTAAAAGCGGCGCAAACCTACACTCAATCAATGTTAGGGGGTGGGCAGCCGATTTTAAGAGATCAAGAGAAACCCAAGATCTTGAAAAAACACCAAACACCACCCTTGATTAAAATGTTGATATGATCATGGATGGTCGGCGACTCACCACACATCACATGGCCAATACGGTAACAGTTTCACATGAGAGATGAGATGATTCTGAGAAGACAACGTCTGTAGAGCCCTGGCGTCAGCGCTAGAAATCATATAGGTTACTCGTTATAAAACGGATCACACCAAATCGGCGATGACACTACGCCGTCACGACAACGACGAGCATGTCCTGTAGTGCCAATCTCGAAAACATTCGTAACTACTCGTGTCATTCCGGCAAGCCGGATGGCGACTCGTACCCCTCTCGTGGCCATGTTCACGACTGGGCCTTGTCTAAGCGCAAACGGGCACGGAGATGAAAATAGCCTAGTACTATTTCCAAGGAAAGATAACTCTGAATTTCCAAACATGGCTACTCCTAGAATATCCCATATCCCGTGGGCAAAACAGCTATACAGTCATTCCCTTTGTAAAGATGTTTCAGTGTTGAAAGTAGCTGATCCTTTAGCACAAAGTTTATGTTTAAATTGTGCTTTGCATAGTTTAGCGAAGTTTTAAAGTTCGACAGTGCCGCCATTTTCATACTTCGAAATGCGTTTTGATTGGTTTGCCACGATTTTTGGCAATTCTTGAAGGTTACGGAAAGAGGCGAGTAGTTACGAATGGTCTCG